TCTTCTTCGTCCCCCCAATCCTCCTCATTAAGCCCATCTTCATGTTCGACCAGATTCGCCATCTTCCGCGGCGGACAATCACTCGAATGGTGCCCAGGCTCATTACATTTAAAGTACTTTCCTGAATAGGGCTTGGTATAAAGATTCGGAACAACATCGCGAGCCTTTGACGCAGGGGATTCAGAAGGTTTGGACGCCTCAACATTACTCCCCGAATTTCGGTTTGTATTGTTGAATTGCCGATTAGAGGATTCAGCACCCTCTTGCGATTTTCCTCGCCCGAATTGTCCTCGAGGAGCATAATTTCCCGTTCTGCTTGAGTAATTGTTTCGCTCCAACTACAATTCCACTTTCCTGGCCATCTCTTTCGCATCCTTGACAGAGTATAAACGATGTAACGAAACACGATCTTGAATATTCAAACGTAGGCCATTGATATACCTGGCGGTTTGTTATTCGACAAGATTATTGCAGGTCGAAAGTCGAAGGAATACCTCCGTGTAAGCTTGAATCGTCCGACTTCCTTGTTTGCAAGCCTGAAATTGCTAGAACAAAACTTGCTCAAAGTCAGCAGGAAGGAATCGAAGCTTCAACAACTGCTTCATATGATTCCAAGTTCGGATAGGTGCTTTCCCTTGTCAACGTCTGGAAAGTTGTGTCTACTCCCACCAGGCTGAGGCGCCGCCCTTCAATTTATACGCCGTGAGCTTTACTTGGCGGTCCTCTTCGATCTCCATGGCATCGAAGAACTTCTCAACCTCCCAGAGCCAATTTAGAAAGTCTTTGATGTTTAAGTTGCCATTGAAGGTAGGAAGGTCGACTTTCAATTGATATTGTTCGTGTTCTTGCTGATATCCTCCATGTTGACAATCCCCACGAACATGCTCTCCTTGGAATCCTCCATAACAGCGACCTTCACGAATAGGCATGTCCTGGAAATCCTCTTCATCTTCTTCTTCAGAATCCTCGACATAGTCTTGACGCCTTTGTCGAGGATTCGCCCTTTGCTCCATAGCTACTTCGGGAACTCGAGCAACAGGAATATGCTCTGCGGGAAGATCACCAGGGTTAGGGTTAGGGTTTGCAGACAACCGTTGGATGGCGGCAAGTAATTCTTGCATCGTCCGTTGGCGGTCTCGTAGAGTTTGTCCAGTTTCCTCAGTAAACTGGGTAAATTCCTCACGTGTAACAGGCTCAGCGCCCTAAGCTACGGAGGTGTTTCGATTCACGTTATGAGACATCGTTGTAGGGAGAAACCTTGCCCTGATACCAAATGACGCAGGGTAAGCTATAACTGGAAAAAACTTTCCAAAGTAATTCTGAAATTCAATTGATAATAGTCTGTTTATCTCATTCATCGTAGCATCCTTTTATAGGCGAGTAAGGAACAACCCTCCAAGCTTGGAAAATAGAGAACTTAATAAATTCCTAGAAGACAAATCACAATTAATAAGGACTCTGGAAATCTAAAACTATTCAACTACTCTCGAAAATATAAGAGATCATTAATGGCCTTTGACGTCTTCGAGGAATGCTCCGACATCAGTCACGGTCAAATCGCGTTGGTTTCTAGCGATCACGTTTGTCAAGATAATCACATGCCAATCGTTCTACATCAGTTTCCATTGTACATGAAGTTTTGTATATGCAAATCATACTTTTTCCTTATCTCGATACGAATGCTAATCTGTGTAGTTGTGCTTTGCCCGCATACTATTCAATGGTCGAGTTCATTCATAGGGGATATGGCTTGAAGTATTAGGTCCAAGCATTATTGTTGTCAACTACTATTCAACTCAACTTGTGTTTAGTGCAGTTAACAATTTACCCATGGGATACCCAGTGATGCAGCAGCCTGCAATTCCAGCACCAGGTCAACCTCATATCAACCCCTTGGGCTATGGAATTTCTAGCTGTCATGTAGTGAATGGAGTTCCTGCACCAAGCAACTATCATGCTATGCGTGTAAATTCAGGGAATGAGTAAGTACCAGTACATTGTCATCATAATCTACTTCATCATAATTGGCAACGACATTGATTTTACTTTCATTCTGGACCAATGTCCTGCGTATCCTGATCTATAGCTTTATACCAATTGGAATTGGGGATTGATTGTGTACCGTGTGGCAAATTGCTCAGTATTTTACATATTGCGGCACTGTCCTTTTAGTTGATCCGCTATGTGTTAATTGCAATCTTTGTGCATATAATAGCATGGGGCACATGGTTTGTCCCTCACCATGGTACTTATGGCAAAATGTAAGAGCAATTGCTGAGCATAGTAATGTTTACATGCATGAGTTATTTGGTGTTGATACAAAAATTTGGATTTGTGGGTTGTCATTTAGTCCTTGGCATTTAGTATTGAGCTGTATTCACTCATACCAAATCCTTCAATTCTCGCTTTTCTTTCATGAGGTGAAAACATGATGTTTTACCATAGGTAGTATGACTTGTCTAGGCGATTTCTATGGATGTTTGGTTCATCTTTTCTCATGCATTGTTTAAGCCAAGTATTTTCCTGTGTGTGCATAGTTGAAATTTACCTCACTCTCTTCACTGGTATTAACAACTATCCTTTTCCTTGATTTAATATGGCAATAAATAGCAGCGCAGCTGATGCATCTTCCATCATTCCTCCAAGCAGTGCCATGTCATCCATGTCAGAGATGCCAGTGAGTCCTACATCAGCGGCTTCTAGTGGTCATTTCCCTTTCTCTGCCTCCGAAATATCTGGATTGGGTGCAGATACGTCGGCACTTGATACGGCATTTACAGCTGATGTAGCAAGTTCAGTAGGATTGCAGCTTCCACCTGACGGGGGACCTGGGAATTCAAGAGACTCTCTTAGGTCATTGGATCAGATACAGTGGAATTTCAGTCTCTCAGATCTAACTGCTGATTTTTCAAACTTGGGAGGTATGTGGTTAATTATTTTTCCTACGGTCATAGGTATTTGGTGTTCTGATGGCGTAAGTGTCCATTAACTCCATTCCTTTGACCTATGGCTCTATTATATCCATACTCGTACAAATCTTTTGGGATATCTTTAATTGGAATTGCAGATTTAGGGGCCCTTGGAGGCTACCCTGATTCACCATTTCTTCCATCAGATTCGGAAAATTTTCTGGATTCTCCCGACGGGGAGGATATAGGTACGAATGCCTTCTCTTTTTTATGATGATGAACCCCATGCATCTACAACCCATGTATGGAAAATATTCACATGGAGACTGCTTTGAGTTGACAAATGTCTAGCACGACGGAGAGGCAGAACCCAAGAGATTGTATTATAGTCCTTTCCAAAAAAACAAAGAGAAACACGTCACTCCTTGCCTATTTACTAGCTGTCCACGCTTGAGTCGCCCTAATGGAGTTCTATTGTGGAAGACTTTAGAACCTTATGCTAGTATTACTTATATGACAAACATGATGCACCAGATTTGTCCTCTTTTGTAGGAAGGAATTCAAATCTCTAGGTTTCTTTTTCCCCTTTTCATAAGTAAAGTGGAGATGAGAGAAGACAAGGAGTGAGTTGGCTTATTGGTCGAAACCACTCGAGCAACGCAAGATGGGGGGAGATCTTATTGAGCCCATTTAAATCTCAAGTTATCTAGCTGCTTTTATAGATTTGGAAGAGTCCCCCTTTTTGGTTCATTTTGCACTATACTGTATTTGCTCAATAGATTGCATTTCCATCCAGTTGGAACGTGTGCTCCACTTAAAATTTTTTACCTTGTCCTTCTGCATGCAGTAATTTTCCATACTGATATTTTAACTCTCTTCTTTTTGCTACAGTGGAGGAGTTTTTTGTAGGTGTCCCTGGGCCAGCAGGTTCCCAATCAGATGAAGAAAGGTCCTAGATCCAAGTGAGACCTGATTTGTTAGGGTAGTTTAATGTTTAGGTTAGAAAAATAAGTCCTTGTCATCCAATATACTGGCTTTATAGGTTTTTGTCAGTGACCAATGGGGAATTCTTTACTTTCACTAAGCTTGTCAGTGACAATGTGTACTTGCTATTACTTTAACAATTATTAGCCTCAGATGGAAACTATTCTGCGGTAACTTTAATTTTCTCAGAATAGCCCAGGTTATGGACGTATTCATGTACCTCATTGTACATTGTCTTGGCAGAATTGCTGCGGTCACAATCCTTTCTTTCTTAACATTTTTGCCGTGTTAATTACGTGGTGGTACGGTATACGCCTATTCTAGTTCGGAGTGCAGACACTTTTCCACCAGTGCCATGGTTGATAAACACTAAAATGGAGTTGCTTGATGAAAATGCAGCAAGAGCAAATATCTACTGCTTTTCCTGATCCGATTCCCTGTTGGGGTACCGATGTTGAATATCTTTATGACGATACCTTGCGAGATCAATGTGATTATGCGACATGCTAAATTTGTTTTTATCGATGCCATAATAAAAGGCATTTGAATTGATCCTTACAAGGAACCGTGATCGGAACGCGTGTTGACTTCGAGGGGATGGTCGAATCTTGGCAAAAAATCTTTTGGTTGTGTATTCTTATAGCTTCCAAATTATCATAATGTCAAGTGCCCTTATTCCATGCTATTCCGTCTTTTAAGTGCGTGCTACCCATCAAGGTGGTCATTAATTTCTTTGATACTTACTGGAACAATGACAATAAGAATTCACTGTCCTATAGAGCTGCATAAAGTCGTTTTCTAAGTGATTTACGCAAGTAAAATTGGGTTATAATTAATTTGGACGAAGCTGTCACACTAAGGATCCTGACCCAACCTTACCCAATACAATTTGCCTTTTTTTGACGTTGCCTCGTTCTTGGATGTTGGCTGATTTGGACGCCCCTGTGATGTTGGTACACGTCCAGGATCAGAAACCAACCGCGAGCATCTCAACTTTGATGAGAAGTGTAAAATGCAAATTGCGATAACCCTCAGCTGATGCGGGTGAGCGGCACACTGGGCCATCATAGATATCTAATTGATTGTGCGACAGAAAGATATCAAATATTTCGTAAATAGTACCAATTTGAGGAATTGCCAGTTGGTTTTATGCCATTAATCCTTGCCTCAGACTTGAGACTGCGGCAACATATAGTCACAGCCCAACAACTCGAGTGATACAGGCTTCCCCAACAAATGATTCCGCCCTTTCTTTGCCAGCACTTACGATCCTGTTGGATGGCGCAAAAGCCAACATAATTCTACGACCTGAAAAGTTTGCATACTTCTATTCTACTTCTAATATGTACATGTCACGTGTGAATTGCTCACTTTTTACAAATTTTGGGATCCAAACTTGGCATCAGTTCCTCGCTTCGCGAATAAGGTGCCTGCAGCTGGAACATCAGCATGTTGAGATACTGTTGTGGAAAGTGATTGAAAGTAGGTATTCCCAATAAACCAGTAGAGAGCCCATTTGAGATTGCACAGGGTATACTTTAGAGCTTTCGTCCAATTCTCCTGCTTATGGAAACTTAGCGTGATGGAGTAGTTCTCGACTTTGTCATTCTCAATCCTGCAAGAACATCTCATGTTTAGTTTTTCTCAGCAGTGCGATATGCAGTATTCACTCAACATTCTGAAGCACCCTTGTGTGCACACAATGAAAGTACTTAAAGGTCCCGATGTTCACAGATTGACTACGAACTGGGGTGTAAATAAGATTTCTCAATAGATCACATCCGTAATTGATAACCGCTACTGTTGCAAGCCATTTCCAGAAGTTGCAAAAGTTGCTTCTTGCTTCAACGCAACATCCATTAGCAAATCATATTTTTTGCAAAAAGCAAATGAGCCACGTGGTGAATTCTGTCAGGTGATCCACATGTTCAAGAGTCAAATAATATTCCTACTATAAATAGCACAAGGAAAAGAAATATATTTTTTTCTTACGACCATGAGGACATCTACTAGCAGTCCAGTCAGGATATATCAAATCGACTGATTAACATCATAACAGAAAATTCGATCGAGACAATTATGTACGTACTGAAATAATGAGATGGTGCATTCCATAATTCAAAGTTATATCTTCTTATAGGAAAAGACACTTACTTGTATGGCAATTTGAAACATTTCTCTGGTGGTATATTGTTCTCTTGATCCTTTGATTTTGCAAACTCAGCAAAGTCTTTGAGGCATGTCAAGAACAATGTCATAGCCTTGTTATAACGAGTGCTCCAGAACAAGTTCACAGGACCAAACCTACAAAATAAATTTAGGTTAAACCACAAACGAGAAATCTACACAGAGAACTACAACCACGACCAGATGTCTGACAATTACATTTTAATTTAACTTCCTAAAATTATTCCTGATCCTGATATGCATGAAGAGGTGACAAACGTGACAAGTTAATCCTTAGTGAGGTTTTCATAAGGAAAAAAACATTAGTTACATGCTAGACTTATGGCAAGATGTTTCTTTTAACCTACAGCATCTACTTTAGGGAGGCATGGCTCAACTTTGAGATGCACATACAGGCTAAATGATACGAGAAGATTCGGTTCAATTGCGGAGAAACTTATCCGTACTTACAGCTCATAAGAATTGTTGCCGAGGTCCATAATCCGGGGGTAGCTTCCCATGGGAAGTATCTTTATACGGTATCTAAAAAACCACTCAAGGGAGAAACAAAGCAACACCTTCAATAATTTAACTCAGGCAAAATGATGAGTGCAAGAGTAGAGCTTGCATTTATCTACTTGGGTGAAAAGGGGAGTGCAAGAGTAGAGTTTGCACTAATCTATCCTTTTGTCTTTTAATGATGAAATTCCCCGAGCTTTTCTGCTGAAGATCATGAGAGGCCAGGATAAGCAAAATTCTCGAAACCACAGACCACGGGAGCATTGAGTTCAATCTATATTGTTTCAAAATGGCACACAAGCTAGTCAACTTATGGTTGGATCAGAACCTAAGAGATGACTGAGTTTTTTTACAAGTTACACTAAGGCAGAGGCATATCTGCCACAAAGAATGCTTATATATGTGCATTGCTCCGAATCATATCGTAAAGATACTGAAGTATTTACATCACCAAAGAAGCTAGCTAAGAAGTGAGAATTCCCAACATGCAACCTTCAAAATATATCCACAAATGTAAGAATCTGGAACAAGAGACACGTAGAGGCGATCGGGACACTAACATCCTCAAAGAATTTTAAACAATAGCAATTAACAAACTCATGCACATGGTATGCTGTGGCCAATTAAAGCATGAAGACAAACTTTAGATGAAATTAAGTAAAAGGATACGGAAACTTGGACTGAAAATATTGACACATGGTATGTAAGAGGAGGCAAGCTTGGCCCCAGGCAGCATTTATCTCATCCCACTCAACCTGAGCAATTCAACACAAAGTGAAAGGACAAAGTCAAACCCTTTAACAGGTTGAAGCAGGTGAAACATAGGCTTAAAATATAGAGCCATGTTAGACGAGGCTGAGAATCACTCGTGACTGCACTGAAAGAATCCAAGCAAACTTTTTTTAACACTAGTCCTTGGAAAAAGTAAGAGAATAAAACCACAACATCCACAATGTAGCTGGAAGCCTGAACTTCTAAAATCGTGGTGCACTAAATTTCAGGCGAGGTGAAAATGACGCCCATACCTCATCAATAGCCTTTCACGAAAATCTTTCCGACCTTAGACCAGAGAATCAGGGAAAAGGTTGTCAAATGTACTGAATGCAACTCACTGCACAGCGTTTGTTCACTATGTGTCCATAATTATGTAGCAAAACTTTATTATCTCCAAATACTCTCATTAAGTTTTACCATAAATAAAATCTCATGAAGGTTTCATCAGCAAAAGTACCTGCAGCAGGAAAGATATTTCCTGGAAGAGGATGGATGTTTCACCAAATGTTTTTGACTCTTAAAGAGTTGTCCTAAAAGCAAAGGACATTCACGTCCCACTACATGATTTGATTCATTATGCATAAAGAAAAAATAGGAAGAGCTACAAATCAACCATCCTATACAACACATTCAAAGCTTGATCGAAGTATTTTCTCACAGGAATTTTGGGAAGTCGTCCTAGTCGAAAATTGTTTATTGTCCCAAACTCTCCATCATGCCAGATGGGAAAGGCATCATTGAGGACATTGGTTCGCTTCAGCAGCTCTAGATGTGCTTGTGAAACTTCAATTTTTGCCAAGATTGCATCTCTCTCTTCCTGTAGTCAATTTTTTTTTTTTCAATTTCAAAATTTTCTAGTTAGAAAATCAAGTGTGAACTTCCAACACGAAGGGAAGATACATCACTGTTGCATCGCCTGTACATGCTTTTCACAATGCACGTGCTACGTGTTTGTACAGCAAACACCGCAAAGTCACACGAAACAAATTGCAATTGTTCGTCGGTGGAAATGGAGTTAGCAACTCACCCAAGAAGAATCTAATTTGGTTAGTATGAAAAAAAAGCCAGATTCACTTGGACAGATTATATGCTTCAAGCACAACTTATTGAGAATGATAACTGAGAATCAAGTAAAATACAAACTTTGATGTCACATAGGCAAAGGCTGCATAATTTGAGCTTTCACCTAACACTTTCAGTCCACTGATCTTCTACATATGGAGATTTCCAAAGAGAGTTGCAATCGTACTCAGAAAAGAAATTTTGGAAATCCAGACTTCATTTCTTATGATGCTATAGAAGGATTCTAGATTTTGGATAACAAAACAGTAGTGACAGCATAACAATCTTTGGGACAATGTAAGGATAAACAATCAATTGTGAAATTATAAAAGACAATCTCAAGAGACAAACCATGCTTAGTTAGCTTCTTTGCAGATGGATTGTGGGAGCCCGTTTAGACTGTGCCCAGCAATTATAATATCGAGAAAGTCAAAGGATTTTGAATTTCATTTATCTTCTTGTCAATGCAAGTTGATAAACTTAAGTTCTTTCAAACTGATCAAACCAATTGAGAATAGTAGAATTGTCATGAATAGCATGAGAAGGGTGCAATTCACGAACTATAGAGTATGGACAGACCTGATGTGAAATCAGCTGAAACTGAAAATTGTTAAACTCGTGCCAATACCTGATGCACAGAAGTTCAAGAATGATAAATAACTAACAAAGTTTTGATTCCCAAGTCTACGAGCAAGCAAGATCCAAAACGAATATGAGGACTGGTATTCTTTTCACCAGTGGAGACAGGAAAGATACCTCTCCTCCAATTCTTGAAAGCGGCTAGATTTTGTTTCTAGTTCCCTTAGTTCACCACTAACTTCCTCATACTGTTTATCTATTTCTTGTATTGCAACTTCAAGTTTCCGCTCTTCTTCTTCAATCTTCAAAGGAAAGCTATGGGGCGTTAGTATTGATCTCCATCGCAGAAAACTCCATTAACAGTATAATATATGCATCAATGATGAACCAAGTTCTTGGATGGAAAGGCAAAATGGGAGGAAACACTGAACCAAGTGTCAAATATATGTCAAATAACAGGAATAAAATTAATGGTCTAAACTGCGAATATTACCCCTAAAAAATATTATATAATGAGATTACTACCCTTAAGCTGCCAAATTATCCATCGAAAGATAAAATGCCAAGTTGTAAGCTTTGAATATCCTTCCTGCAAGTGACCAAAAACTTTACCACTTAACATCTAAAAGTATAGGCATTTTGTCAGCTATCTAGTCAATCTGAACATAATGCAGAAGAAATTGTTTTTAGGGATGGTGCAATACTAGATCTTATGACTCTAATATAGACGGACGGACGCCAGCTCTTTTTCATCATCACTTCGACTGAAGCATAATGAAGTCTTCTTCCAGTGTTAGATCTTAGGACCGTGCAAAAACAGTGTAATTCCAACACCCCCCGCCCCGCCTCCCCCAAAAAAAAAAAAAACCAAAAAGAAAAACATTCAAAACAAGAATACCAAAGAATGAAAGAACAAACCAATGACAAAAAAAATTTCAAAACCAAACTCAGAGTTCTATCCGGTAGCCTAATCACACCTTTAGCTTCTCCTTAAGAAAATCAGCCTCACTAAGAATATCACGTGCCTCGCCCTCCAGTATCTGCAAACAGGCTTCATAGGCTTCGATATCTCTGTTTACATCTTCAACCTCCTTATCAAGTTTATCAGACAATATCCTCATGCATTCAAGGCACAGAGGTTGTTCAACCTGTGAATGGCAATCAAGGCAATGAAACAACTATATAATTCCACCACAAACAGCAAATGAAGCAAATTCTGCAATCCTCAGAGGAAACACATTCGAGTTACCTGAGACTGTGTTGTAGCGATCTCAAATGCACGTTTAAGAATCATTATAGTCGTGTTAAACCCAGAATTGTTCGGTTGCAGAGGAGCAGCTGCATGGCCACCTTCGGATAAGGGCAACTGGTCAGTTCCTCCATCTGAAGCAGACTCATTCTTATAAACTACAACAAAAGATTCGTCCATCGCCTCCCCTGATGGGCTCGCATCAGACTGGAGGCTAGCACCGTGAGCACGCGGAGGAACCCCTTGCACCTGAGCTCTCTGTTTTGGCAACACGACGAAAGAATTGTCCATGCGAGTCGAACCCAACACGCTGTTCGCCACATGCATTGAGGACCCATGCATACCTGCGAACACAAGTGCCGGACATGGGATTCAGCACATAAGAGCGATCGCTCCCATCAAATTGCCTCGTCGAAATGATAAAAGAACGAATCCCCCGTAATTACTACATCCTTAAAGCAGCAATTCGTGGTTTTTTTTTTTCTGGGCAAAGATACAGTAAAAGTGACACTTGATCGAGGCTGAATTACAACTCTCAGCAAAGGAATGGTTATAACAGTCTCCAGAGGCAAGAAAACCGGGACATCGTACGGATGCTCCTCCGCAATCACGCCACGGCAATCAAATTAGAGGCGAATGCTATTCAATCGCTCAATCTAGTCATCATGATTACTCTCACCAGCATCTGTTAACAAAAGATTTATTTCCCAATCTCCAGCCCCAATCGCCTAAAAGGAAACAGAGCGACTTCACGAAAACCACGAGCTAAACATTGAGCTGGCTCGAGCAGAAATCAACACCGCAAACACAAGAATCCAAAACCCGGACGGAGAAGAAACCGAACCGGAGCGAGAGGAGGGATCGTTCAAGTACTTGTCGGCGTAGGAATCGACGCCGGCGATGGCGAGCGGGTGGTGGCAGTTCTGGCACAGCCAGCGGGGCAGATTCGGATCCACCGGGAAGCTCCGGCCTTTGCCCTCGCCGGCGTTCTTCATCCTTTTTTTCTCCGAGCGTCCGGTCGCCCCCCGCCGGAGACGAGCTCTCCCTAATTCAGAAAAGGCTTGCAAACCAGCGCGCGCATGCTTCGTCCCAAGGCGGCGGCGGCGGCGACGAGATCACCCTCGCCGGGACGGTTATGGAGCGCTCGCTTGCTCGGGTCGTGATATCGCCGAAAACCTTCTCCTTTTCGTCCCGGGTCGGGTTTGCGGGTAGAGAAGGAGGGTACCGTACTGGTAACGTTGGACGCAAGTCGTTTTATGCGAACACGATATCTTAGATTAGCCCGATCGGGACTGATTTTTATGGATGGAGTGCATTAAAAAAGTTTAGTTATTAATCTGCATTCTAGCCACCGTTTATTTCGCGAAACATAAAAAATTTAAAATATATATATTTTTAAAATGATTATCTTTATCGCTTATAAAAATGAATAAATTTTCATCGATCACGAAAAATATTTTATTAACTAATCACTTTAAACTATACAAGTGATAATTTTTAATAAATCATTTTTATTTTTCGCGAAATAAATAAAACATTAATAGATTTTCAAACTTGTGCCGCTACTAAGCTGGCTGATTTGTTGAGATTTCCGCGCTCTTTCCTCAACTTATCCATGGCCATTTTCTATTGGTTTGCACACTTGAGTGATGGTCTTCCGCCTAAGCCGTAGAAGATGTTTCTGGCAAGAATGAATTTATAATCCATTCCAGTTCTGAATGAGTTCCTCGAACCAAAATATATTTTCTATTTCTCTCGGGTTCCCGGATGCTCAGCTTCGAGAAAAAAACCCATTTGATAAATTGACAAAAAATTTTTATTTCTAGTAATCGTAAAACCCGTTTCGATAACAAGACAAAATTCTCTATTTCCTCGAAATAAAAACCCGTTTGATAAACAACAAAATTTATTTCCAGGAACAAAATCCATTTTTTGAAATGGAATAAAAATAATAAAAATCCGAAAAATTCATAAAAAATCTTTAAAAAATTCAAGAAAATCAAAAAATTGAAAAATTCCAGTAAAAATCATCAAAATGTCGAAAATAAAAAAAATTTAGATTTCGGGAAAATAAGAAATTTGTTGAATTTTTTTCAAAAAAATCAAGAATTCAAAATTTCAACTGCACTGTAATCAGCCGTAATACCCGCCGGCCACCCACTTTTAAAGAAATTTAAATTTTTTAGGTGCCCAAAACAAATCAGGGTTCTAAAAAATTTCAAAATTTCACAGTATCAGCTTAGATGACACGCGCCATCCACTTGGTTTCTAAATTTAAATTTTTAAGCTGTGCCCAAAATTCAAAAACTCAAAATTTCAAAACTTTGGCTGCACGGCTTAAATCACCCGTGGCCACTCCACTTTCGAGTGAAATTTTTAATTTTTAGTAGGTGAAAGCAAAATCAAAAATTTTTGTGCCTTCATTGCACAGACTTTAATACATGTGGCCATCCACTTTCGAGTGACAAATTCTAAATTTTTAGGTGAAAAAAACATAAAAATCAAAAAATTTCAAAACTTCACGTAATTTACTTACACATATCTAGCCAAATTAACCCACTTTGAGTAAAATTTAATTTTTTTTTTAGATGGCCAAATGTATTTTTATTTTTTTATTATTTTTGTTCCTAAAGATAAAATTAAATTTCACTCAAAGTGGATGGCCACACGTATTCTGGGTTCTCCACTCATAAGCTTTTTGAAAATTTTTCTTTTTGCTTATTTTTATTTTTTTTTCTCGACACCTAAAAAAATTAAATTTCACTCAAAGTGGGTGGCCACAGTATTCTAAGCAATTATGTAAAGTTTTTTTTTTTTATTTTTTTTTTATTTTTTTCTGACACCTCAAAAATTTAAATTTCGTTGTAAAGCTCTATTTCACTACTGTATTCTAGTTCATTTTCATGTTTCTTTGAAATTTTTGAGTTTTTTTTTTTTTTTTTTTTTCGGCACCTAAAAAATAAAATTTCGCTTCAAAGTGGGTGGCACAAGGTGTATTTTAAGCCATTCCGTAAAGTTTTGAAATTTTACTTTTGCTTATTTTTATTTTTTTTGAGCAGTATAAAAATTTAAATTTCACTCCAAAGCCGCCATACTACGTATTTTAAGTCTATTCTCAGAAAGTTTTGAAATTTTTTATTTTTTTTATTTTTTTCGGCACCTAAAAATTTCTAAATTTCACTCAAAGTGGATTACTACAATATTCTGGACGCCATTCTCACAAGCTTTTGAAATTTTCGATTTTTTGCTTTTTTTTTTTTTTTATTTTTTCGCACCTAAAAAATAAAATTTCGCTTAAATTGGGTGGCCACAGGTGATTCTAAGATATTTTGTGAAGCTTTTAAATTTTTTAGAATTTTTTATTTTTTTTTGGCAACTAAAAAAATTAAACTTTGCTCAAAGTGGGTGGCCATGTAGGTTTTCTAAGCCATTTCAAGTGAAATTTTGAAATTATTTATTTTTATTTATTTCTAAGTACCTCAAAAATTTAAATTTCAATTGAAAGTTGGTAACATCACGCATTCTAAAAACTATTCTATTAAGGTTTTGAAATTTTTGATTTTTCGCTTTTTTTTTCACCTATGTGTGTTGAAGAAAATGAATTCTCAAAATGGTTCTCACTTTTGTTCCGGTAAATCGAAAAACCAACTTTTTTTTTTGTTCTCATTTTTCGGTTTCGTAATCGCTTTGGCCAAGCAAACTTGTCCCTTAAAATAGTAAAATGAAATTGCGTTACCAAACGGCTTCGATCCAAACTCGATTCTGGGAACAAAAACCAGCCTCCGGGATTAACCGAATCTGTTTTCATACAGCACCTCGGGTGGCTGGAGTAGGGATATGGTGAGGTCAGCGGAGTTGGTTGCTCAACAGCTTCAAATTATGGTCAACTCATGGGCTGAGTTTTGGCAGCTGGTTTGAGTGCTTTAATCCATCAATTTTGCTTTGAGTTTTTATCAATTGGCAAGTTCATGTATGGCACTTTAAGCCTCTAACCAGACTTTGCAATTTGCTCCTTTCGATTTTGCAAAAAAGTCCCTCAAAGTTTGCCATTTTCTTGCCCGAGAATGACCAATTTGATTCAATTTGGTTCTTTTGGCTTTATTTGATCAATTCAACTTGGCCCAAGCTCAATTTCAACCTTAATTAGGGGTAAAAATGACGATTTACGGGCTTGGGCAAATTTTGCAAAACTTGCAAATTGGTCCCCCAACTATTGGAAATTGCAATTTGGCCCCAACTTCTTGTTTCAATCGCAATCCGACACGCCCAAGGCTTGGCTAGTCATATTCAGATCCTCGGCCCCAACTTTTATTTTTAGAAAGTAGTTAATATTTTCTAAATATTTCGCGAGCACTATCGAAATTAACAAAATAAATTGCATGGGACCTCCTACTTTTGTTTGAGACTCGGAATTAAAACAAAATCCATAGCATGATTATGGAGAAGCATGAATTTGTCTCACTTAATCATTAATTTGAAAAGGATTTATGTACTAATGCTTTGAGGACACTAAATAATCACATCACAATGTGCTAAGAAAAGGCTCGATTTTAAACAAATAATAGAAAAAAAAAGTTATAAACTTTCTTGATAATTAAGCACCTGAATAGTATATCTGTCAAACGGGTAGGTCGGGTGGGCTATGAGTCAGGTCGAAAATGGTCCGAGCCAAATTAACCCATTTTAACTCATTTCCATTCAGCAGGAACCTTGTAACCCATACCAACCCGACTCATACCCAACCCGCCCCGACATATGTTGCTAAAACACTTCTATATTTAACCTAATTTAGAAAAATTCATATCCCAACTTAGGTGAGGACACGGAGTGAGCGAGTGTGAGATTGTGTGAGAGCGAGAGAGAATGAAGAAAGAATCATTGAGGTGGGTTAGATCTAAGTAAGTTGTAAACCTATATTATTATGACCCAATTACTGAATATAACTAACCCATATAACAATTTAATTTATCAAATATGGGTTAATAAATGAGTTTATGATCTATTTTGACAGGTTTATTAAATAGTACTTTTTGACAAAATCTCATGAAAATATAAATTCGGATTCAATATTTGCATCAAACTTGATGGCCTGATCCTACGATGGACAGTAAATTAATCAAGAATAGTATTTCAAACACGGCTCGTTTTCACCCGATGGTCATTTACATACATTTATTTTTTGAAAATACTAAATACAAACATGAGTTTTACCTTTAGAGATCGCTTTTCAACTTAGCACTAACCATCTTTATATCCCTATTTACAGAAATGTCATTTTATTTTAAAAAATGCCACGAATTCTAATTCATAATGCTAAAATGAGTTTTTAAAGAGAGACAGTTTGATTTTCTCAGTGTTGGGTTCAATTTATTAGAAATATGCGATTGGTATTTATAATAAGGGGAAAAATCACAAAAAAGGCCAAACTATACTCATTGTGACACATTTACCTTGAAGTTCTTTTGTAACATAAAAAATCCCAAATTATACTCATCGCGATATATTTATCCTAAACTTTTTTTTGTGATATAAAAAATCCTAAACTTGTATTTATACGACGCATTTATCCTCCGTCTAGATGCCGTTAGATGATTTTTCAGTCAAAATAATGTCTTTTTTATTTTGCTCAAGCAACGTGAGTGCCATGCCAACACTGTTTGCTTTCTTACGTCTATGTAGGTAGATTTTTAACGGTTCTCATTAACCGAACTTTGAATGAGGGTAAATGTGTCGCACGTGTATAAATTTGAGATTTTTTATGTTACAAGAAAAAAATATAAAGTAAACGTGTTATAATTGGATACAGTTTTGAGTTTTCGGTGGTTTTTGCCCTCGTAGCAACGTGAATGATCATTGACTCAGAAGTGAAGCATGTTTGTGATTTTTATGCATTAATTAATTTTGACATGTACGATATGGGTGGCGGGTGACTTCTGGTCTAAAGAACCCCGATTGGATAGACAGCCGGATCGCAACCCGATAACATAAAATGGAATTCACGGGCCGGGTGGGCCGGGCCGGATCCACTCTCCTCCGAATCCGACTCGCTATCGGGGCCCCGATTTGTCCCCCCACGTTCTGTCCATAAATTAGGGCACGATCTACGATTTTCTCCCCTTTCTTCTCCGTCCTCCTTTCTCCCACACGCAGGTGCGCGCAGAGAGAGAGAGAGAGAGAGAGAGAGAGATCAGATCAACCATGGAAGCCTCCACGGAATCCGCGAGGCCCTTCCAGTTCTTCGTGAAGCTGATCGACGGCAAGACCTCCGTCCTCAACTTCGCCGCCCCCGACGTCGACGCCCTCTCCATCAAGCGCCGCGTCTTCGCGGCCTCCGGGATCCCCGTCCCCTCCCAGCGCCTCATCGCCTCCGGCCGCCAGCTGGACGACCGCTCCGTCGTCTCCTCCCCCGGGCCCACCCTCCACCTCTCCCTCCGCCTCCCCGGCGGCAAGGGAGGGTTCGGGTCCCTCCTCCGCGGCGCCGCCACCAAGGCGGGCCAGAAGAAGACCAACAACTTCGACGCGTGCCGGGACATGAGCGGCCGGCGGCTCCGCCACGTCAACGCCGAGAAGAAGCTTGAGGAGTGGAGGGCCGAGGAGGAGGAGCGGAAGCTGGAGAGGATGGCGGAGGAGTTTATAAAGAAGGCCGCCAAGAAGGGGAAGGGGAAGAAGGGGGCCGGAGATTTGGAGGCGGAGAAGTATGTGGAGAAGTACAGGGAGCAGTCGGCGAAATGCGTGGCGCAGGTTGAGGAGTGTGTTAGGGATGCGATCGGGTCGCACAGGACGTCGAAGCGGAAAGCTGGGGTTGGTTCGGGCACAGATGCAAAAAAGTTGAAGATTTGGTAAGTATTGGAGGTTCGAGCTAATCTTTTTTTGTGGTTTTGATGATGATTTCTAGTGCTTACATTGGTTTTCTAGTTATCATAGAAGCATTTTGATCTCGTTTATGGTATGACCGCTGGTTTGCTTGATGGAGGAAATTGGAGAATTTAGCGGAACAATGTCTATCCATCTGGGAAAATATTACGAAATTGGCCTTTTCGGCAACCTCTTGTGCGCGCCAATTCGTACTATTTTCTTTTGCTGGCGCTTTGATCGTGACCATTTGCTCTGCTTCCTTATGCAATAAGTTCCTGTACTTGTAAGCTTTAGTTTCTTTGTATTACTGAGGCCTCGATACCTCACTTTAGTTCTACAGTTATCCAAATTATTTCGAGCACAATACTTGGAAATAGCTAATTGAACTTGAATTCTGTAGTTACAGATGTAATCTATATCAAGATCATCATACACGGGATTTTACAAATTGTTAGTTGCATATGTAAATAAGTGGAACTATGCAGGCTAGATTCTGTAGAGGCACAAGTTTTCATTTTGCTTAACCTTCTTTTTTAATCATGTGAATAACATAAGGAAGAGCAAAAAGCTAGCAAAGTTGTAGTTGTCTTTTCTTTTTTTCACTTATTGCTTAAATTGTAATGATAATCTTTAGTATGTTTTTAGTATCGTGACTCAACCTGTGTCCTAGGTATGTTCCCCGCAACTGTTTTGCTTGCTGAATTTGATCGATTATAAGCATGAGGGTGGGGAGAGGAGTGTGTATCATATGTAATAAAGAAATTGCAGAGAACTTAACTAGATCGTCGGAACTTGTGGATCAGCGAAGGTGGTTTCTTGCCAACCTGGGCCAATACTGTGCATTTTCGTATATAAGCACGTGTGTACATTTACTCTTCGAAAACTAAGATCTGCAGTAGCTTCTGTTAGTTAAAATAATTTATTGAATTCTTGCCAATGATTTTGTCTGATGTTGTCAGGATGGGGAAGAGAAAAGTAGGAGAAAGTGACAGCGATGATTCGGGAGACGATACCAGTGAGGATGAAGAAAATGAGAAGTCCACCATCTCAGATGGTGCAACGCATTTGAATTTGATTAGGGAAGTGGATGGAAGCTCTGACTCTGTGACTGGTGGGAGACAAGATGGAGAAGCATATACTTCGAGTTCTAATGGAAGTGGTTCTGAGGAAGAAAAAGAGACCAGCATGCAAGTGTGTCCAGAATCCAGCGGGTGCTCTGGTGGAGTTGTGCCTGATGAAAATGGTGCTTTGGTTAACCCAGTTTCTTCCGAGGGTTGTGCTGTTATGTCATTGGAATGTGCCGTAGTTTCTGAGACTGAAGCAGTTGACCTCGTGAACGAGAGTCACCATAAAGTAGAACCTGAGAATTTAGAAGTAATGGTGAGTCAGTCACCAAGTGCTCCAGATTCAGGAGATGAGGTAACAACTGAAGCTGTACAAGCACCTCCAGGGGCTGGTGGGTTTTCAGAGGACAAAGTAGCAGTTGTTGAAGAAGCTGAAAATGTCGAAGCTAATGTTTCAGAGGACAAGGCATTTGATTTCGATGAATTCAATTTAGCTGCTGAAATGGAGGTATTGTACTCTAAATTTTTACTCAGATGACTCGGAACAAGCGTATAGTGAATTCAGTTATTTTAAAGGAGACTATTTTTCAATTATTGACATTCTTAAACATGCAACTTTTTAGCTACCAGAAAGGCATTATCCTAAGTAGCAGGATGTTCCGTTGGAAATGGGTAAATGTTATTGATGCTTGTGATACCACCCGTGCCAAACTACAAATTTTTGCTCTGTTCCTGCAGGTTCTGGGCATGGAAAGGTTAAAGCTCGAACTTCAATCTCGTGGATTGAAATACGGAGGTACTATGCAGGAGCGTGCTTCCAGGCTTTTCCTACTCAAGACCACCCCTCTGGACAAGATCCCAAAGAAGCATCTTGCAAAGAAATGATGCATACGATGCCACCTCAAGCACAAACTTAGTCATGAAGCTGTGATAAAGCTGGAACTTTGTCGGCATTCGATGGGAATAGTCACATGCCATCCGATGCTTTGGGCCTCCAAAAGATTTTATCACCATCTACTTTACACATTGCATGTATAGTCGTCTTTGTTTGTGTGCTTTTGGAGGAGACTAATTTTTGTAATCTGACGTCTTACAAGGATCAAAACCAATTTGGTGATGTTCATTTTCTGGCTACTAAGATCAGATTGCCCAGAGCATTCTGAAGCAATGCTTCCCATCTGTATTTTTTTCATAATCGGAATAAAACGTATCTTATGTTGCCTGTCTGCTGAATGTGGTTTTGAAACTTGCAGTAAGCTTTGGTCTTTTGATATTGTGAAGTGGGCAATGTACTTTTGATATCCACTTGATATAATTTGAAATCATAATAACATGCGTAGGCAAGTAATGAGCGAATAGCTTCTAAATTTGTTACTGGTGCACACGTCTAGTCATAATCAATATATTCTGCTTGAGAGTGTCCCTTTGTGACAAATCTTGCTTTGTTTATGACGTTGCCTTTATCATCCATCTTGTTTTAGAATACTCATTTTGTATCTATCACTGTGTTTCTATTAGCTCTAGAATCCAGCTACCAGACTTCATTGGCTTCAAATTGATGAAGCTTTTCTTGCATAACTGCGATCCAGTTTTCATGGATGATTGCTTCGTCAATTTCTTTAGGACTCATAGATTAGAGCAAGAGAGTTCATGAGCTCTTTGAAATACGATCCGGTTCTGATGCCTTCACCAGAATCACCAATGATTTGCTCTTTTGGATGATTTGTCTTGTCCTTCTAGTCTTGAGGCATTTTAGCTTTGGTTTGTCCTTGTGGTTCGGACTGTTGATTGCATTGATGATGGCTCATCATCTTCAGTGCTACCTCGGACACTTATCATATTGTCATCAAACTTGACACTGATAGACTATTTTACTTCCAGCGATATTTTGTTAAAAACACAATATGCTTTGCTAGTAGTAGAGTGGCCCAGAAATATACCTTCATTTGATCTTGGCTCAAACTTTCAACGTCGTTGTTTGCATTCTTCAGTACGTAGCATTTGTAAACAAAGATCTGAAAGTAGAATATTCTTGGTTTTCTTCTTTTAGATAACTCATAGGGTGTTTTTTCCGACAATGGTCGTCAAAAGACTCGGTAAGATGGAGTGCCGTTCCGATCATCATTGTTTTTGCAATCTCCGGCAAACTTCTGTTTTTCCTTTCGACAACCCTGTTTTGTTGTGGAGTGAAATTGTGCTCAATTTCATTTTCTTCACAATAATCAGCAAAAACTTTTGTTCTCAAATTCACCGCTATGGCTAGTCCTGATGGTTGTAATACTATATACTTTCTCGTTCTATATCTTCCATGCAAGTTTCACAAAAGATTTGTATGCTTCATTTTTGTGAGCAAGAAACATTACCCAGGTGAATTTGGAGTAGTCATCCACAACGATCTGCCTCCTCCAAGACTTATATCTTGTATGTCCGAATAGGTCCACATGAAGAAGCTGCAAAGCTCTGTTAGTGGAAATAATATTTATAGATTTGAAGGTACTCTTTACTTGCTTAACGAGCATGCGCAGCACAACCCAGTCTCATCATACCTTATTCTTGGAAGACCACATACAAGGTACTTTGTTGCTAATTTAAAAATCTGCTTCATACTGATTTCATCTAGCTTCTTGTTCCTAAGCTCTTGCTTCTCTTTGATAGATATCAAGCAACAAGTAGTATCACAGGTGATATTGAGTAAGTAGATGTTACCATACCTCTTTCTTGATAATGACCATGGTGGATCCTTGCCTTTATCTTTACATTCACCATCTGTAAAGCTGATTTTGTATCCTTTGTCACAAAGTTAACTAATACTAATAAGATCATGTCTTAATCCTTCGACTAATGCTACATCTTCAATTATTAGCTCTCCAAGCTTGATGTTACCTTTGTCAACTATCCTTCCCTTGTATTTTCCTCCAAAGTTAACTGTTCCACCATCAATTTGGGTCAAGAATAGTAATTTGTTGGTGTCACCGGTCATGTGTCTTGAGCATCCCCTGTCGAAATACCATTTGCTACTTGACTTTATTTCCTACAACACAGAAAGATTCCATTACTTCTTTGGTACCCAGACAAACTTGGGTCCTTTACTTTTAGTAGGCTTGAATTTCTAATGGACCCTTTTTGGTTTAGCTTACTCAATTGGACATTAATATTTGTAATGACCATCTTCATTGCAACTGGAATAGTTAAAAAAAATATTCACTAACAGATCTAGAGAAATTTCTAATAAAATGATTTTTGTAAGCATGAATAGGAGGCTCTTTCTTTATTCTCTCTTTTGCGCAGGGAAAGGGGTTTCTTTCTTCTTCATTTTTCCCAAATCCTAAACTGGATTTGTTGTAATAAGGAATCTAAATGGAAAAAATGGGTTGTTTTGAACTGAGAGAAAACTTTGTGGTGATTTTGGGAATCTCTTTCTCGAGAGAGATACTTCCATTTTGAGAAAGTTGGTGCTCACTTTTGAGAGTGACCATCTCCTTCTGCAAATTTCCAAGCTCCTCTTTGAAAAAGGTTTTGACTAGTGAATTTTGAAACTTCCCTTTGCAAATAAGAGATTTTCTATGAAGCTTTTCCATGTTCCCCAAAAACCTCTTAAAAAAATTCTTGCATTTCTTCATAAGTGAGTTCAAGAGTTTCTACCTCAATTTCTTCATCATGTGATTCGGTCATGAGACATAGGTTGGCTTGGTCACTATTTTCATTGCTCGTTTCACATTTAGTGTCACTTTTTCTCTATCTTCCCTTTTCTCTTTTTCTGGAGAGGACAATCTAGCTTGATATGTCCAGGTTTTCGACATTTGTAGCACACCACTTCCTTTCCTTTGAAGTCGTATTTTACTTTGAAATGTCTTTTCTCGTCTGAAAATCTTGTTTGCCTTTTCCCTTGGAAGTTTTTTTATTTTCTCATAAGGGTTTTAAATCTTTTGGTTAGCTGTGTCATATCCTCATCATCATCATCATCTTCATCTTCATCTTCAGATGTTGAAGGATCACCTGCATCATCACAATTAGCTTTGAAGGCAATTTTTTTTTTTTTGGTACCCAGGATCCGGCCTAGCACAACCTTACGGGTGCTCACGGCCACCGCGGGCCCGACAGGCCCAACAACGACCACCGACTAACCTGGAGGGGAGCTAGCCCAGGAACCCACCACCAGGGCTCCCCACTTAAGACGCTAGCGACTGGAAGATTTGAACTCGTTCCCTCGGCGATGAGGTAGTAGAGCGCAAACCATCTCAGCCACCCACCGGTGGGTTAACTTTCATATCTTTAGTGTTGGATTTTTCATTAAAGTGTTTAGCTTCATAAGACATTGAGTTCCTATCAGTTCATCCATTGTGATTGGTTGAATTCTCGTTATTTCATGAACTGAAGTCTTCACATGACTCCACTCCTTTGGTAAAGCTCAAAGAAACTTGTTCACTTTCTCAGCATCAGTGAAGATCTTTCCTTGGTTGGCAAGATCATTCATGATTTCCGTAGACTTTGTGAACAATTGCGTGACATCCTCATCTGATTTCACCTTGAACAAGAAGAATGTTTCTTGGGGCTAACAATACAACTTAGAATGGGGTTGACTAGGTTATATGAGGATATTGAGAATCTTTCGCGGGAATAATAGTAATCAGCAATGCAAATTGTGAAAGATGTGAACCAATGTGTGCAATGATTGTGCACTACAAATGGGGGTAATGAATATTGAAGGTAAATCACATGGCACGTTTATAGTGGTTCAGCTTTATATCAAAGCCTATATCTACTCTACAGCTAATAGAATAACAGCGACTCGATTCCACTAGTAATCAATAATGCAAATTATAACTGGCAAGTGTTGTTCCATTCACAAGTTCTATCACACTATCAGAATACAATTACTGCACTTACACTTGTACACTTGACTAATAGTTATTACATAACCAACCGTTTCAGAGAGATATTGATAGTGGGGATGTCTAGGTTAACATACAATTACTGTAGCGCTCCTGATTAAACTCTATTAAGCTTTGCCAATCCATATTAATAGAAGTTCTTCAATCTATACGTTGGAGATCTTCAAGGATGCCAACTAGTCGTTTGAGAGTCGTTGGAGATCTATACCAGAACTAGGAATGCTTTTGCGATCGCTTCCCTTTACTTCTCCAGCTTTCCTAAAATAGAGCTACAGCAGCTATCCCATCGCTTGAGGGCAAAAACCTGTCAGCTACTTTTCAAATATCTTTCCCAGTTTTTCACCTTCGGAACCCAATGCTTGAAACAGCTCTTTTATGTACCATCAGGAGCATATCTCACCATTATCAGTGTTATCTCCTCAACAAGACAACCTAAAACTCAACATTGGCAAGCGTAGATTGTGAGTAAGTTGATAGATGATCTTCAGTGACGATACTAAGGAAATGACGCGAGATTGTAGGATCAATGGTCCTTTTGTCTTTATCAGTAACCAAAGACCTCCAAGAACACTTGGCTTGATGAAAGTACCTTCAAACTATTGCAGAAACAAATGATTGACCAATAAAATAGACTAAATAAAAAAATTGATTTGACACCAGATTTTCGTAGTTCGGTCATAATGACGTACGTCCACGGAGAGAGCAATAACGAATTCCACTATAAATCAAACGATAGAACGGAGATTACAACCACACTTGAATCACTCAAATACTTTCAGTGTTTCCTAGGGCCCCAATTGCACCAAATAACTGAGAAAGTGTTTAGGCTCACAATTCCTCACATCTCTCAATCTCACGAAGAAACTATACAAATCTTACCATAAGATTTAATTGGTTTCAACTCTCTATTACTTCAGGGTGTAATTCATAAGTAGAAGCTCCTCTTCGATACTCTTTATATGAAGTCCATACGACTTTTGTTCTTCCATGTCTTTGTTCCAAACCATTAGTTGAATTCTTCACTCTTTTTCTTGATTTCATCTTTGTATTCATTCAATTCACAGTCACGTCACACACGAAAGGCAAAGACTTCTATTGGAATCCCTATCTAAATTCATAATTCAGAGTAGTATAGAGCATATCAGATCTATTTTTAGTTCATATATAAGTAGCAATATCTAATATCACATATACATGGGTTTCTTCCATAATGTAAACCAATTATTCGTATTTATAAACAAGAGCATGATCCAAAATAGGAAACCTTATTTGGGGATTGCTAGAATCCTCTTTGAGAGTCATTGGAGACCTTAGCTAGCATTAGGATTGCTCTTGCAATTGCTTCATCTAATTGCCGCAGGTTTCTTAAAATGGATTTTGCTGTAACTATCTTTTCTTTGAAGTTGAAACCTGTCGGTTGCTTTTTTGATATACTTCCCGGTTTTCAACTACGGAGTCCAGTCCTATAATGGCTATTTATTGTGCCATCAACGGTCATCTTCCAACATATATCTCACCATCATCAAAGCCAATGCATCACAATCACAATCCGATGCTCACCATCACCGGGTGTAGATTGTGAATGATATGGTTAACGATCTTCAGTGATGGTATTGACGAAATGAAGCGTGATGACAAGACCAATGATCCTTCCACCTTTATCAATGCCCAAAGATTTCCACGAACACTAACTCGACTCTGGTCCTTCCAAGCTAACATAAGATACCACTCACATTGGTACTTGTTCTCCTGATGATCAAAGCCTCGTTTCTCGTCTTTGCTGATACAAAGAATCATCGATAACTTATGAACTGATTTCACCATCTGCACTTGTCATAGTACACATTAGTACTAAACACAGCTTTGGAATCAGCAAAATTCCATAGGGATGTTTTCCGACAAAAACTAGTTGGTAACTTAATCCAACATAGCTGATGATCTCTCTAATTAAGGTTAACAATTTCTAAAAATAGTTCATAAATTGAACGGGTTAGGAAGCAAGGCAAATAAAAGTTGATAATTCAATAGAAAAAAAAACAAATGAACATTGCTAAACAACTCAAATTAGAGTGATGAACCAAAACTAGTTGATAACCTATTGGGAGAAGAGTTGGTAAGTCACACAAATAAAACTTGGTAAATTCACAAAAGAGACGCTTGTAAGTAATGACAAATGAAAGTTGGTAAATCATAACAAATAACTCAAATGGGAGTTGGTAATCCAAAATTAGTTGATAGTATAATTTGGTAAAAGTTGGTAACTCACTCAAATAAGAGTTGATAAAGTCATATAATATTCGGTAAATTGAAGGCTTTTGTAAGAAAGGCAAATCAAATTTGGTAAAAGATAAGAAAAGTTAGTTATTTCTAAAATGATTAGTAAATTATCAACAAATTACCGTGTAATTAGATGACTATAGTTTTTTTTTTATCATCTATTTTTTGACGCTTATGAGCTCTTTTTGGAATCTACTGGCATGGAGACAAAAAAAAAACCTTTTTTTCTCAAGGAAATAGTAGAATCTCTAGACGATCAGAGCCACATTTGAAGCTAATAAAAGATGGATGTGTCTATAATGATTTTTCAAGGGTCCATAAATCCCAATCTGTCAGTTGAGTTGGCCAAAACAACTCTTGCACAAGTGTTCGAATCATAGTTTTGTTTTTCCTCTCTTACTTTGTGTACCCTTCAAAAGAAAATCAGGCCAAAGAGGAAAAGTAGATAATGGTTTAATGAGGAGTCTAATTTGGTAATAAATCAGAGAGTACAGTTGTAATCTTATGGTAACACAGCAAAACCTTCTTATTACAGCAGACCCAAAATGGAAAAAAGGAACTTGCTGAGTTTGAAACCCAAAATGGAAAAAGGTACTTTCTGAGTTTGAACCTCCTCCACGTGGGATCTAGGCTCTGTATAAAAGACTCTAGCCTTCCCTTACAAGCTGTGGCAACTTCCTGGTATCACCGTGGCTTTGAAACTAAGTAGTGTTTGCATTGGTTTTGCTTTCGATCTGTATCCGAAGATGATCACATCGAATTGGAAGAGCAACTCAAGCTTCTAAACAAGCCACCGGTTGAAACATTCGCGGTAATGAGATAGAAACCCGGTGAAACCGTTTCATCTTTCTAAACCATTTCTCGGTAATAATATTAGTATGTTTTTTTTTTTGGGAGACCGAGGAAGGAGATATTATTGATTGTGTCGATATTGACAAACAACCGGCGCTCGATCATCCTTTACTTAAGAATCACAAAGTTCAGGTTAACATTATTCCACATTTCATTCGTAATTTACTTGCGGGATGGGTTGTTGACAATGCGGATAAGTAAAATTTTTTATTATATGTGCTAATTACGTACTCTCTTTCTTTTGGTGTGTCTTTTGTTTAATAGAGAAAACCCAATCTGCCTCTTATCAACTTCTCCAAAACTTCCTCTACTACCTAGTATGTGCAATTTGGATCAAGAAAACCTTGCCCGATTGGAACAGTTCCCACTCAACGAATCAAAAAACGAAGATTTGATAAGGATAAGGTCCCTTCCTAAAATGCCTTCTGCGAATATGGTCGAAATTGAAAATGCACCTCTTTCCGGGCAACATGTACTCTCTCTCTCTCTCCTTAGAATAACATATGTGCTCCATCCGATATGTGTATTTTGCAGCAAGCGTTCTTGAGCCACGATCTCACTTCTGTCAAAAAGTATGGTGCTAGCGGACATATCTCTGTTTACAATCTAAGCACAGCTCTGGATCATAATATATGGATTCAGACTGGACCTCCTGATCATATTAGCATCATTGCAGCCGGTTGGCGGGTAAGCATATGTTACTGTACATACATCTGATTTAGAGGAGGATTTTAACCTCATTTTTTCGAAAGTTCCATGAATGCCCTTACGTGCTATTAAAATGTATGACAACACTTTTTTTTTTTTTTTGGTAACCGAGGTGTCCGGAATGTATGACAACACTTTTTTTTTTTTTGGTAACCGAGGTGTCAGCCACTTGCGCGCACCTCGACTATTCCTCGGGGGAGACTAGCACGGAACCCACCGCCATGGCCCCCACTTAAATTACAAGTGCTCGTTGGGAATCGAACACTGGACCAGGTCGCTTAACCACACAATCCCAAGACGCCTAACTCAGAGCTAACCCATGGATGGGTTATGACAACACTTTTGTTGGTTGTATAATCGAAAAAAATCGTAATTACTCGTTCAAATTACTTGCTATGTGGTTCCATAAACCTTCCATGCTCTTAATGTAAATTTTAATCTTATTTTCATTCTACAACAGCTATTTAAAATTCATTTGTAAGTATGATTTGAATTTGAAAAACATTCTCTTTTTTTTTTCTTTTTAACGCAATTAAATTCTTTTTTTCCAGGCATTTCATTTTAAATGGTATCGGTAGCTACTTTCCAAGTATAGCGACTTTACGGTCGGTATCTTTAGTGACGATTTATGTGTCGTTGTATTAGGTCGATCCGGGGCTGAATGGCGACGGTGTTACTCGATCATTTTCAGATTGGACAGTATTCCATCTTAAATCTGCACAAACTTCAATAAATTTGCACACCAAATTTATTTTTAAAAAAAAATAAAAATTTAATAAATTTTTTTTCTTATTTTTTATTATATGTAGCTTGCATTATCCTGATTTCTTTTGAAACTAGAGCGCTATTGGTAACAGGGAGATGGTTTCCGCGATGGTTGCTTCAACACATTATGCAGAGGTAAATAGAGCATTAACTCCCAGTCATCCGATAACCCCAGTTTCTCGATATGGCGGACCCATATATGAAATCAGAATCGAAGTCTCGCAGGTTACTTCAGTTTCTTTTCTACGTGAAATCAATAATCATTCGGCAAATGAGAACCTGAACGTGATACTTATGATAGAGCCTCCATTGTTGTCGCTGTCCATGTCGTCGCAGGAACTGACTGGGAACTGGTGGCTCCGCGTTCATGACCCGCCGATCAGCGTGGGCTACTGGCCGAAGGAGCTGTTCGTGAACTTTCGCAAAGGCTCGCTGCACGCGGCGTGGGGAGGGGTCGCCAAAGAAGGCACGGCCGGGTACTGCCCGCCCATGGGCAACGGTCAGATGCCGGATGCGGATACCCGGAAGGCAGCTTACCTCAGGAATGTCCGATGGGTGAATGCCAAGAGAGAGAGTCTGCCTCCCGGCGGAAGGATAGCCGAGGTCGTGGACACGCCCGGATGTTATGGTGTGCTGGATGAGAAACTCAAGCCGGATCCATGGGGTTACGGTTTCAGCTTCGGTGGTCCGGGAGGATACTGCAGATCATGAGGGCATTCTCCTGTATATGCTTGGGTGTGAGAAATAAATGGTTGAGAAGTAAAATGAAAGTAGCACATTCATGAACCAAGTGCAATTCGAATATCATCCTCTACTGAGCATCTTTTGGAAAGCTAAGCCCGACTCGATATGACCGTTCCTAAGCTCAGTTTCGCCTCGCAAAGTCGGTCGCTGCTCGGCGAGAATTGGCTTACTCAAGTTTGCCTAAACACGCCCTCGCGAGCATGCGCTGAATCGAACTTGGCTAACCAATATCATACCTGCATGGCCGGTCTGATTTCGCCGCTAACCATAAGTATCTAACATTAGAGCAGAAGAACGGCTTCTTCTAATTCTTTTCTTTTCTGTGATTATATGTGCACGCCATATCATTTGAATTAGCAGCTTCGGTGGGAAGTAAATTTTTCAACACATGGTACAAGATACGTAGGTCATAGAGAGTAACAACATCGAGGCAAGTAACGAGTTGCCGATCACAGCATTCGTGGTGAGTAACAGCATAAATCGAGTTTGCCGGAGGGCAATTTGAATATTGTTAGACTGAGCTATACGATAGGTGAATGTATTTAATTAGATTATTGTACAGTATCAAATCGATGAGGAGCGATCTTACGCATGCTGCTGTCTTGCTTTTCCGTTGAACCAATCTCTCTACACGGATGAGCATTGGAAACTTTGCTTCAGGGATAGGATTCCTCTCGATGAATGTAATGTATAGATCTGTTCCAGTTTCGGGCCAGGACAGTCGGTTTAGTTAATGATGCGTTATGAACTTGGCGACTGGCGAGTACATATTGAGCTGCACGCGAAGGGCTACTAGTCTGGTAACTTGAACACTACTGAAATGGGAGACTATCGCTTTGATCGATTTGGAAAATCGATAACCAAGAAGCCCAGAAAGATGTCCAATTCACGAACTTATGGACTATCAACAGCTAGCTAAGTGAATTTATACTTCGAAATGCCACGAGAACATGAAGAGTCCTTGCAGGAAATGTGATTCTCCAATATGCTTTTATACTTTTAGTATCTTCTATAATACTCCATGCCTCACCATTGAGCTGGAGATTTCGATTTGACTAGATGCAGCCATGCACTGGTCATACGGCTCCATGAGTTCCCTAAGAATGAGCGGAAAATGGTGCCTCAAATGAGATCATAAGAAATCTGTGCATGACCTTGTCCTTTGTTAGGGGTGATAGGATAGCGAACCTGATCATCAGTTGGTTAGGTATTGTTTCTTCTTTCGATATCGTAGGATTACATATGCATTTTGTTTACGATTAGAGTTTTCAGATTTTTATTCGAGAATTGGTATGATGAATCACAGAAGCTGCTGAGAAATCCTGATCGAAACGACATCGCCGCCGGCTCCAGCTCTCATGACGTGATATTTAAGATGCAATCCTGCGTCGACACGGTTCAAAAAACTGTCAATGCGAAAATAAAAGTCACCGTTCTGCTTCTTAGTTCTTTGCATCTTTATGTCGATACCATGGAGAGAAAACTAGCTCCATGTCGACTTATCCGATCAGATAATTACTGCCGTTTCATGATCGATTCAGAAGCAATGCAGCTTTTCAGTATATGCGCAAAGGTCAACTTTTAACTGATTGGTTTAGCGCAATACCTTCATTTTCCTGTAAATTGGTATTTACTGCAACCGCATGGACCGTGACCTTGGCCTTTGGTTGCCAATCGGCAGGCTTCCCTACCCATGACTTGACATCAAAAATTGCTGCCACAAAGTTACGAAAAATCTTCTGTAATCTCAATACAGCAAGCAATTAATCTATCCAGATTGCTACTATATGATGGTCCTGTCACTGAGGGCTATAGTTTAGTTAGGCATGGGCCTATGGATTCTGCATGTTTCTGTTGCTGCTAGCAGAAAGCTTGGTAGTCAGTATGAAAGTGGGAAATTTTCTGTGGGTGGCTGCATGCTTGGGCATTTTGAGCAGGAAAGCAATGATGATTAAGCAAGAATGAAATGCTAAGATCACCTGAGGTTGAGGAATCTTTGAGGTGTTTGACGTCAAAAATGGCTCCAGATGCTGCTTCTGTATTCTTTTTGATATCGTGAGCTCCTACAACCTGATATTCCCAAGTTCCGTCCTGGAATCCCTCGTTGAGGAAGAGTTCGAAGTGCCTTGCATCCAAAGTTTGCATGGTTCCTACCACAGTGAATATTTTTGAGTCCTATGTTGGCTAAATCAAACGCACAGACCATTTTTGCAATGTCCAGAAGAGACTATGGAAAGGAAGTGATCTCTCTGTTTCCGATGATACTAATATTTCCCTTGAATGCCTAAATGATTCCCCCCAAGAAACTCACGATCAGTTTAAAGCAAGAAACCAAGTCATACAATTTGCAATAGACTGAGAATGCCAGTTAATTCACGAGAGTTATGAAATCCAAAATTCATGAACCTTGCGTTGTGGGTTGGCAATACTTCATTTGAGCATATCTAACATCATTACCGTTTAGCCTATTCGGGCAATTGCAAGAGAAATAGACCGGATATCCACAAGTTCTTTTGAATTCAAGTACTAATTTGTACCGAGTAGTCAGCCCGTGTCAGCAAAGACGGGGACGATATGTTTTACCAAAGAGAGGAGATTCATATCACGTTAGCAGAACACAATTGGTTTACCTTCACAGTTGCTTAGGTCACAGAGAGGACAGCGAACTAGCTGCAAATCTGTGTGCAGACAAATGCGAGAACATAAGGTTAGAGAAGCCATGAAGTGCTTCTGTTGTCCATACTAAACATTTAAATGCGGAAAAGAATGGCGGGGCACTATGCAACTAGCGAGTACCAGCTATCCAGATTCCAGTTCTGATGTTCTTCAGCAAGCAATAGCCGCCAGACCGCAATTTCTTCTCCATATTCTCCGCTTCTGGTATTTCCACAGGACTCAACCTCTCGGTCAGGAGTGCCTGCGATGAATCAAGAGAGAATGCACCAATTCGCATCCAATCTTGAGTTGCCAATTGAAAGAAAAAGTTAAAAGACATCATCGTTGTAAATCAAAATCAGAACATGTTAAACGAGGCACAGAATGTATTCTTCTTACTATCTGTATACTACTGTTTCGAAGTCTCAAAAGGGGTGACAACTTCCTATGCAGTTATCCTTTTTTCGCCCGGTCTCATCTTTAAATGGGACATATCAGAAACGAAACCAACCGAAAGAATTACTCACCGATATGCTTCTCCTGCTGACGAAACATGTAAGAGTGACTCCCATCTTGCAGAGGGAAAAAGAAGTGAGGCGAATTTACGAGCTGCACTCTATGATAAAAGGACAAGTTGGAAAAAAAAGGTTCTGTTCTCTACCGAAAGCCGAAGCATAGAGCGAGATCCACTTGCACGAAACTTGCTTCTGCTTAGGCTCGGGGACTCGAAGATCACGCAAGCAGGCAAACTTCCATATGCTCTCGTCCATCATCAGACGGTAAAACCATTTGCTGGTCAGCGCGAGCATCACCAGGGATCTCCCGCTCAGGAACCTCGCTATCGCCGTCCACACGTCTTCCTCGTAGCTATTCAGATGCCCAAAAGAGAACGCGAATTTTGAGAATTCTTGCTCAATATGATGGGTGGAGAGGCAAGTGGAGGGGGCAAATAAAAATGATTATCGCGGATGACACAGACGAAAGGAAGAGGTAAGTCTCTGAGCTGCTGTCCATTGTCGCGCAACGACGGCGTCTCTCTGTGTCGGTGTACGCACAGCGAAGAGAACATACACACAAATATGTCATCAAACTATGAACAATGAAGAACCGATAGCTTTTCCTAAAGCATGTCAACCAAGGAGGGACATCATGTGAAATCATTAACCACCAAATAGAGCCTTCCTCAGCTCCATATCGAAGTGATCGGTAAAACCTGACGAGTCGTTAAGGAAAAAAGCAAAAAAGCACGCGATAAACTTGATAGTTCTAGCTTCGATCTTCGAGTTTTTTTTTTTTTTTTTTTATCAATGAAGATGACAGATTCCGCTGCAAGCGAAAATTCATGCGTATGGCTCGCTCTTTCGGAAAATCTCGACCGCATAGATTGTGCATTCGACTCTCGAATTGCGTTCTCACAATCCGAGAGAATCGGAGAATTTAAGAAACTATTCAATCTGTCAAAGACTCCTTTCAATCGTTATATGCTAAGAATCCTAGCGACTCGTAGTCTGAAGCGGACGATATAGTTAATCTCCGTCTCATGCAGCCGCACCGTGCTGCTCCTATCAAGCTCAATCGACCTCCACGAACCAAGCCGAGATCGAAACTCAACGAGGACCGCCAAGCCGCGGCTAAGGTTCTCACCAGGATTCGAATCGCGAATCGATCCGCCAGCAGCAGCAGCAGCGAAACTTCGAAACGGAAGAGGAATAAAAAACAGAGCATCCGCGGTTTTCGTGCACGCGCGTGTCGAGTTTTCGAACCGAATCCGCTCCGAGCAACAGCAGCACGAAGCGGTCGCGCGGCGCGTCCGCCACTGAAGGTCGGAGCTGCGAGCGGAGAGCTCGGTCGACGGATCGCGAACGAAGGAACGAAGCAAGCCGGAGGAAGAGAGAGAGAGAGAAGGAGAGAGAGAGAGAGAGAGTACCAGTAGAAGGTGGAGTGAGGAGCGAGGTAGGTGGAGCGAGGGGAGATGCGAGCGCACACCGATCGCTCTCTTCTCAGTCGTTTTCCCATTGCTGCTGCTGCTTCTCTCTCTCTCTCTCTCTTTCTCTCTCTTCTGGTTCGAAGCGGATTTCGATTGTGCTCGGAAGCAGCAGATGTGGAGAGCTCCGTCCTTCTGCTGTTTAAACCGCGCGAAACGGAACGCTCAGATTTTTGAATAAGGACTGTATATTTATTTATTTATTTATTTGATTTTTTTTTTCTTCGGGCGAGAGAGTTTATACGGGCACGGGTCGTGGGCATGGGCTCTATCCATTTCGCTCCGAACCGGGTGATTTTGCCCCGACTCTCTCTTTTTTCTTTTTCTTTTTTTCGTTTTTATTTATTTACGGTTAATATCATAAATGAGCGTGTTAGGCTCGTTCCTGTTTTTTCTCGTGAGTAATGAGTTATATAAAATTTAGTACAAGATTAAAACGAGTGCGCTTGCAATGAAATGTGACCACCACGAGGCTCCATAGCACATTATTTTTTCCCTAAGAAAAGCCATTTATTTATGTTCTATTTTAGCCATCTGAAATACTTTTGTAAAACCTATTCTCTAATTAAAAACTCAAGCTCATTTGAGCTTTCACGAGCTTTTTAAAAGCGAAAAGATTTCATCGGCTTTCTCGCTAAATCCAAATGTACAAAAATCTCTACATAATTCCAAATAAATTTGATTGACCTTTCTTATTGAAGGTTTTCAACGTTTGGATCGTTTAAGGAAAATGAGTCAATGAAAAGTTTCCTCATAATCAATGAAAAACCTATACTTGTCACAACACCATTGTACCATTGCACTCGGGCCCAGGACCTCCCAAGGTCCTCGAGCCCCGGTTCTCCGGGGCTAGGTTACTAGTCTGCGAAGGCCGGGCCCGTGATTCCCCCTAGACTCCGCGACGCCTAAACCCAAACTTAAAGTTGCACTTGAAACTTTTTCTCAAATATGTATTTTATAATTTTCCCGATGAAAATCATTTTCAAATTATTTGCAAAATCCAGCCAAGCATTTGAACAAAAATTTCTTTTAAACATATTTTTCAGCAAAACTCACGCAATGTCCGACTTTGGTGGAGCTTCAAAGCATCGTAACTTCAATTCGCAGCCATGACAGCCGACCGCACGGCTACACCACCACTTCAGTAAAACAGACCCTGATATACATCAAAACTTCGAGAAAACAAGAAACATAAAAAGGAAAACACCTCCACCAAGCAAATTTTTGTTGGTGGTCATCCCATTAATATTATTGTAAATTGAAAGATTTACAAAAGAATTCCTCGGGCGAAAAATCAAAAGAATTATATGCTCGCCGCAAAGGGAGGGCGGCCTCTATTCTCAAATGTACAATGCCTAAGCCTAATTCATGAATTTCCTACAGTTGGGGGCTTTACATAAGCAAGGGACCTTCAGTTCCTCGTGTTCGTCCGGATCAAACAAGTAATCATACCTGCAAAACAACACGAATGTCAATGTCACGACCCACATGATGACTATGCTATGCTTCGGCTTTTTTCCCTTCCCAACAGAAAAAAGTGCGCACAGAAAATCACATCACAAATACAGTAGGAAGAGGGAGTTGACCATCTGGAGGAAACCTTACGTTAGCTCATCACCGGCAGATACACTAGTCTTTGCAATAAGAACTATCCGACTCTCATCATCACCCATACTCAAAATTCTGGCGTAACAGTTGGGCATACACTGCAGCATATCAAGGACTTTAGTTTTTAAATAAGCAACCAAAAGCCTTGTCACACTAGGAATTCATGAGTTAAACACTCAAAGCAGAAGATGCCCATCATTCCTTCAAAGAATGCTCATATTGGAACTTACCGAATGATTAATTAGCCGAGCTATGTTCCCTTTATTTGTGGCATCGATTACAAGTTCTTCACTGATCTTGAAGAGCTGCAAAATGTCTCGTCATGTTTAGAAGACAAACTGACAGATAACCCGATGAGCCAAAGAGACAACGCTTCGGGAGGAAAAATCACGAAGAAACACACTTCCTAAACCCACAGGCACTATGCATCCTCAGCAAGCGACAAGTAAATGAATTAATTAAGAATGTGAAAATAGTGATGGGAATCTTGTATGCCTAACAAACATTTTATTTAGAAGAGCACAAACATGACGGGCAAAACTCTACCCCATGACTTGTGTAACGGAGCACAGCATGTAATGGGGTTATTATGGATGCCAGAACTATCCAAGTGAACACTCCTCAAATATATTATAATCTTACGTAACTGTACAAATGCAATAATTCCATCAGGTAAGCTGGGGCTCAGTTGTAAGTCAAACTCAAACTTCCTTTCACTGAAATGAAATAACAAAAGTGCCGTGCACACAAGAAGGAATTTTAGAGTCTTACATAACAGTCTTTTCCCTCTCTGCGGTAAGTTGCCTCTCTAAGATCTGCCACACTGCGTCTCACCTGCTCACCATGGTATTCAGCAACCTATAAATGAACAAGTCTAGTGTCAATCTCACCTCACTTTTGAATAGGCCTATGGCACTGGTAATTTCATATGATTTCTCATAAATAGGTGATAAGAGTACACCACAGCAGAAGAGACCGGTCTTAGGGAATAGTAAAACATATACAAGATGTACCCAATCAACCATGGCCTTCACAGAACCTGCACTCTTTTAAGATAATAATAAAAAAACAAAAAACATCGAGAATGGAAAAACCCTGTACTGGTCTCTTTTTATCATGTCCTCCTTCATGTCCAAAATAAATGAAAAGCATAATGACAAATACGGGTTTTCGTCCAACTAAAGCACAACATAATATGCAATAACAAGGTCCTTTACACAAGAAAGTACCATTTCTCCTTCCTGAATATTTCTTCGAGCAAAGAGTCCCCATCCATGTATACCAGATTTACCGAAACAAATTCGATGCTTTTCTGTCCTCTGAAACAGTAATTTAATATAAATTATTAAGAAAGACACATCAAGCAAACCGTGATAATAAAAATTGAAGGACCAAATGTACTTGTAAGAGGTGAAGCCGTTCCTTTAATGATGTGAAAATTGTAGAATCATTTTGTTTCTGCAAAAGAAAAGAAATCTGTAAAACACTAATATGACCATCGATCTGTAAAGTAGAGAACAAAGGTATTGAACAAGGAAAAGAAAGGGAGTTATAGTAGGAAAATTACTTCCAAATTTCGCATGTTAATCACTTCTTGAAGAGAATGGTGGCTTGGCCCCATTGGACGATGAGACACCGGTTCTTCATTTCTCTGACAAGTGAATGAGCACACATCACAACTCATATAGACCATGTATTTACCGACAGACAATTAAAATGATGATCATGACAGTGAAATTTAGAGCTGCATCGATACAATACCATTTTGTTAGATCTCGTGAAGACCCGACATCTTGCAGACGAGAGTGGTTCAATTTCATCATTCTTGACAGTTAAGGACTCAGGAAGTTCTTTCCTAGATGATATCAACCTCGAACCTTTGAAATTTCCCTGCTGGCTTTGAACCAAGTTTCTGGCAGAGAACACCCCCAAGGGAGTATGAACAACCACAACGGAATCTGCATTTGGGACCCTGGACAGAAGCCAAAGCACGTAACCCTAATGTTCAAAATGTACACAATGAAGCAGAAAGGAGCAGAATGTGTGCCTACTTGACTGACAATGCAATTTTAAGACAATGCATGGTTGAGTACACTTTAGCCACCTTCATGTCAACTAACTACTATTAAGACACGAAGCAATAAGTAAGAATGTTCAAGTATGAATAACCAAAACAAACAGACCCTGTTCAAATTAATCAGCAGAGTTCCATCATGAATCATCTAATACAGCAGCAGATTATGTAACTGAACAGGCCATAGCAAAAAGGTTCAAAAAAATGCAATTTACTCTTTTCAATTAGAATTAGCTTTGTAAAAATAGAACATATACTGACAACCTCCTAAAAGTTGACACTTTTACGGCGACTACCTATTCTCAAGTTCAAATTGCAACAGAAAAGTGTCCTATTACCCAAGAATGAACTGCAAATATGGGAGAAACAATCTCATAAACAGTAAATCAAAATGACATTGCATAAACATTGACTAACTATTCACTACATTGATGTACTATGCTAATGACCATGACAGAGTTATAATCAACTTCTTGGCTTTTGAATCTTCTGCAGAATCACCCATGTGAAATCATACTTTTCCAGGACAAGGCAGCATGCATCATACAGTTCTAAGTCAATGGATCATAGTTGCTAAATTTCTAGGCAACACACTTAACAAAACAAATCTGGACATGTAAAAAAGAGAATCAAAACATGTAGACAAAGGGAACCAATCTAACCTGTGATCGGCACAATATATCAATTTCTTCGTTATTTGACTCCCACTCTTCTCCAAGCAGTGCAACTGAAACCAAAGATTTAGAATCAGTGTAAAATACATAAGAATCTCTCCAATATGTCCTTCCTTGATATCCAACAGCAAAGAATATAGAAAGAAAGCAAGTGCAAGCACCAGAATAGATTAAAAAAGCCAGCTCAAGAGATTCTACTGATGTTAGTTCTGATAAAAGTCATGAAAATAATAAAATTCTATTGAAGGACTTACTTCCATGCTGTGTCCCGCTCTTGCAGCACACATAACGTGGAAATAAGTAGCACATTTGCTGCATTGAGTGCAGGAACCATGAGTCTGCTTACATATTACACAACTCTGCACCACAGGCAAAGAAAAATCATTTAGAAGAAGTACTGAGCATCTAGAAGTCAATGGCAATTAAATCGAGCAGCAGACAACAAATAAATTAGATCAAAAATAAAAAAATGCACAACTAAAAAGTAAGCTGCCACAACGTTATTATGAAATTAGGTTTTTCTCTATTGCTAGAAGCTTTTATCATTCTTACAATAAGTACAATCCTCCACATCCAAGAAACAGCAATCTTCAACACTGTAAATTTAAAGCACGGATTACCTTCAGAAAAGAAGTCGGAGGAATTCTGAGTATTCCAGTGGCCGGTTCCATTTTCTCGTGATTCAGAAAACCAACTTCAGGGCGAAACCAAGCGCATGTGACATGAACCCAGAGTGGCTCAATATCGGTTGGCTTCAAAGCACCCCCTAGAGACCAGCATTTAAGCCAGTTAGAACAATTTCTAGCAAGAAAATACTAAATCACACAACACCATGACACAGATTTAGAGCAAAACTCACACAACTACGATGATGAATTTCACACGACAGGACTTCCTCAAAAACCCAATAGTAAAAAAAATCAAAAGCGATATATCAATAATGTCATCATAGAAGTCAAATTTCTTTAAAAGCATAAGAAACAACATACAAGGACAGTAGAAGTTTATGACATTGAATCTGACCTTCTACCGGACAAAGACAACACTCCCTCTTCACATCAGGCGTTTCGCATGCTCTACAAACCCATGAAGTAAAGTCTTGAACGTTGTTTGCCCCATAACACTCTTGGTGCACAGCTATCTGACACCTGCAATCAAGAGTGAATCTAGTTCATTTACAGAAGAAGATCCACTATCCGGTGACCTTAGATTCAAATACCAGAAAAAAGTAGACAAATGCTGTCTGAAAAGATCTAACACCTGTTGCAGATTATCATTTTGTTATAGTCCCAATCTTCAACCCATCTACAGACGGCGCACCTTTCCGTCGTCCATTTTGCAGAAACAGGCACATAACTCTCTGCAGTAAAGATAGATAAATATTTAATAAAGTGCTTTCATTCATTCCAAACACTGAGGTCTTTTTTTTCAAGAGAGGGGAGGCAGTCCGCTCGCAAACTTCTGCTTCTGGTTTTTGTTTTTGAAATATCTGTCTCTTTTATGTAGATGTAAACAATAACTTTCAAGCGCTACATTTAATAAATATCATACTTAAAACCAAGAGTCAAAAGCCACAACCAAAAGCTACAACCGCTCCAGTAAAAGCACCAAATCCCCAAACTTCTTCCTGTTCGGGATGCAGCATCACTTCAATGAAGAAGCAATTGTACCATATACACCATGAAAACTTTCAGTGTGTATTTTGACAGTAAATGCAAGAACTACCTTTCAAGAAATCCATCAACTGCTGTTTATCTAGCTTCAAAGGATCAGAACCAAGTGCGGCATACTCTGCAAGCTGAAGTTACATAAGATTAGCATGAAACTGCACTTCGGCCACACGTAGTATAAGCACCACATATAAAATACATACAATCGTCGCCAAGATATATTATTTCACATGAAAAGGCTGCAAAAGACAGTTTCAGACCCTCGACTAAATTGAGTACGTCTACCTCAAAGACCTACAAAAGATTTCTTTCCATCTGAGTATTGAGGATATATTTAGTCTCTAGGTGGAAATCTTCAAAATGAGAAAAAAATTAAATCAAGGAGATACAGAAACTCAAATGATGTGTGCTGAAACATAACTAATTAATACACTAAAAGACAGCATTATTAAGATAACCATACTATAGATTCCAGAAACATGGTATGAGCTGTGTAATAATAAAAGCATAAACAATCCATGACGGAAAAACCCACGCCCCCCTATAGTAGATTATATGTTAATGACCAAATCTGCACATGAAGTATAAATCATGGACATTAAACCACACCACAAGCTATATAAGCAAAAGCCACTCCATGGTGTTTACTTTATCGATACATTTGACGCTGAAAATGTTCGAACAAAGTTCATGATTGATTATTCATAGACAGAAGAATCTAACAGACTAGATAAGCAAGTCTAGTATTAGTTAACAGATGAAGAAAGAGCGAAAGTGACGCTGTGAAGTCACAGGAAAGTGTACCAACCCATTTCTCCAGTGGTTCTTTTGTATCCTTGATTTTGACACTGTATTTCCACTTTTTGGCTCTGCAACCTGTGTGCCGTTCCCATTCACTAGGTGTCTGCATCTTTGAACCACACGAACCACACTTGCACACAATTCTACAAAGACAAACGAAATCAAAGCAGCTTATCAACAACCCTCGTCTAAATTAAAAATGTTCCCAAGTTATGCAGGTTTTCCATAATAAAAGTTCTGTTGTCTTCAACACACGCCATTCAGATTCCTTAAATTCCAAAGTAGACAACAGACTAATTCTGATGTAAAAGCCAATAAGCTAAGTTCATTAGTGGTAACCACAAAAAAGGAGGCCCGATCCACAATAGACGTTGTCGAGGAGTGAAAGATCAAGGAAAAGAAAAATGTTGATAGGGCAAAAAAGGCAGAGCAGCATTATATGAAATTCATTCTTCAGTACTGAAGGCTTACAGATGAAGTTTTGGGATATAAGACCACAAGCAGACAACAGACTAATTCTGATGTAAAAGCCAGCAAGCTAAGTTAATTAGTGGTAACCACAAAAAAGGAGGCCCGATCCACAATAGACGATGTGGAGGAGTGAAAGATCGAGGAAAAGAAAAATGTTGATAGGGCAGAAAAGACTGAGCAGCATTATACGAAATTCATTCTTCAGTACTGAAGGCTTACAGATGAAGTTTTGGGATATATGACCCTTCCATGCCATTGCACACCACAGAAACCTTGTCAGGCAAAGGAGCTTGCTTGTTTTCCACCAACCTGTTTCAAGCAAATTCAAGCAATCTAGTTCAAGTCCTAACCCAACTATAAAGGCATATGCGCACGTACGCACGAGCACACATGCAAGCAGACTAATTAACTGACCAAAACAGGTTATATATCTCTGAGCATACTTCTCTTTTGGCTCCAACTTCTGTAAATTTGGCCTTTTGCAAGTGGTCTTGGCCTTGCAATCCGGGCAGTAGTAATCAGAGTGCCGTAGATCCTTGGTGTATAAGCATGTCAGAAACAACTCCCATTTGCTTGCATGAACAGATCTAGGAACAAAACCAAATCATGCATGCTCACCTTAAGAAGTCGGCTGGAGATATTGGCACACTCAGCATGCACCCAAACATTGCAACCATCACAACATACCTAAAAAAGAGTTCCACGCAGCAAGAAACAACATCAAATAACCAATTATTTTCAAAGAACGAAAGTCAACTATATCAAAAGTAAGATATCTTACCCAATCTCCACCATCAGAATGATGCCAAATTTTCTTGCATATTCCACAGTATTGTTTGGATTTCAGTAACTGTAGAAATGATGAACATGACATTGGTCAGAACCCTGAGACATCTCGCAGACGTGTCATGAAAGTTTTATAAAAAAAAATATGCAACTATGGACCTTGGCACAATGTCTACACAAAATTTGAGCTTCACCACTTGGGCCTTTCATCTTTTTCATACTTCTAAAAGGGAAAATGAGGCCACAGCTGTCACAAGTTTGCATATTCTTGGAACACATATCCTGTATCAAAGAAACAGGGAGCCCCACTTTCATTGAAAAATTTGTGACCAGCGCACAAATGGTTTAAACAAAAAATTCTATGCAAAATTTAAAAACAATAATTACTTCCGAATCCCAATTGAAGTGCAAAGTTGTTCACAGCCAAAATGTCAATCATCAAAGGATGGATCATACCAATCATTATGAAGGTAAATGGAAATGACCTTTACCCAAAAAAAAAAAAGATAAAGATAAATGGAATGAAGCCATGAACCTCTAAAGCAGAGACTTTCCAAAAGCACCATGATTTGCAGGAAAATTTCTAGTTTAGCCATGTTACATCAAAGAATTCAGTAATAAAGACTTTTCAATTTCATATGCTAGCATGGAAAAACAGGGAAGCGTTATTTACACAGTTGCCATAAACAAGATTCAAATTAAGTAAATAGTGATCTACACCTATTATAGTCACACTCTAAACCGTTGCCATCATAATTTTCTTCAGCTCACTTGCCTAAAACTCAGGAAAACATGTGGTCAACAAATCGAACCGTCCGTTCACTAACCACATACCTGATCTGAAGTGAAGCCAGAGGCCTCTTGGCTGACACTGGCATTTGCTTCTGCACAAGCCATTCGCCCATAGCCAAAAGAGTCCATATAACCAGCTTCTGCTAAATCCGCCTCCTCTATTGCCATTTTGAATTCACTTGGCTTGCTTTTATGAAGCTGTGTCTGACTCTTAAATCTGGAGAGATAAAAAAATAAACCTACTGTAATCTTCCTTATGACTTTTCTAACTTGCACAAACCCATTACAGAAGATAAAAATTAACTGACTTATCCATGAACTGTGCATAGGGGTATATCATTCCTTGTTTTGCCCAGCCATAGTCCTGCACATTGTTCAATTGGCTTTATAAGGATAAGAGAGACACCCAGTGTGGATGAAGATCATCTTTTCTTTTCTTTTTTCGGCAGTAGCGGATAAGAATTATCAAGGAAAGAAAAAAAACGGTACCCTTTGTTTTCCATTCTTGGAGTACCCAAAAAACATCACGCAGACGGCCCCGGCAACACAGCATTTCAAAACCGAATCGGGCGCGTGCAACAATGGATCGATCACTATAGCTGGCCAAGCTGGGTACTTCTTCCCGCATTTGACCCAAACTATATCGCCCAAGCTGAAATCTTCCGGCCTGTAACTCTGTCTTCTCGTCGCCACCAAGGCACAAGAGGGTACGTACTTCTCGCTATCGATGGACGGCGAAGAATTCACATTGCACACCACCGAACCACGCGAACTCAAATGCTTGCTACTATTGCCGCCATCCGCAACCTCTGCACCGTCCGATACCCTAACTTCCTGCAGATTTCCGCACGAATCGTCCGCACCATTCTCTTCCGCGTTCCCCAATTCATTGTACTCGAGTATCTCGCGATTTATCCTGCTCTTCTCCAAATTGACCTGACTCGCAAACACTGACTCGGTGCCCTTCGAATTCTGGATATTCCCATCAACCGAGCCGTTAAACCGCGAACGGAGCGCGGAGCGAGTGCGCCCGCGCGAGTACTTCAACAACGGAGGCCGAAACTTGTCCGCGCTCCCGTTCGACTCTTTCGATTCCATGGAACTCAGTTCCGCCCCAATCGCCGGGCGCGGGCGCCGCGACGACTCCTCGCTGCTACAGCAAGAACCCAAGCCGCCGCTCGTCCCGGACGACCCGTAACCATTCCCCTGCTTCATCCTCTTCCAATTCACCTCCCCGCCGGGAGGGCCTTGCGACTTGCATCGCTTCAGATTCGGCATTTCGATCTTCTTCGGCCGCTCGACGATCATCTTCGGACCATCACGCGGCGACACGCGAGAGAGAAGGGGGAAAAAAAAAAAAAAAAAAAGAACCCTACGGCAGGAGGCACTCCGAGGGCACCAACCAACCTCCCCGGTTCGAAATCGCGACTGGCTCCGGACGCCCCGGAAACCGCCGCGGAGGTGGGGAGCCGCCGTCTCCGCCGACCAGGCGAAGGCCGAATTGCGCGCAATTCGGAACCCTAGCGGCCGGAGTTTCCTTTCCTAGAATGGGAGCTCCGACGGCGAGAAGAGAGAACGAATCGGCTGCGGAGGAGTGCGCGGAAATCAAATCGCGCGAGAGAGAGAGAGAGAGAGACGGGTCTTTAGCAGCAGCGGAGGATGGCTTTGTTGTCCGAAGGAGCTCTGTTTCTGTTTTCGTTTTTTTTTTTAATTATTATTTGATTTTTTTAAAATTATTTTCGATATTCGCCGGATTGTGGGATAAAAAAAGGTATTTGAAAATAATAAAATATTAGGGGGGTGGTGCTGACGTGGCGCGGGGCCCGGGGACGGTTTCGGGGTTTTGGCTCCAAAAGGAGCGTCCGCCGCGAAATTTGGTCGTGCGGAAGGCGCGAACCGAAATTTTTCTGGGAATGGACGGGCTTGCGTTGCGCCCCTGCCGCCACCGTGGGGCGGCGTTTGGTCATCCGCCCCGCCGTTTGTGTTCCTCGCTAATTCATCCCGACTAGACACAAGCCAAGATTATTGAGACCAAAAAAGGAAAATGTTATCGATACGTGAGAAGGAGAAAATATTAAAATAAATCTTGTCAGTATTTTTATTAGTACATTAGACGGTGATAATTTTAATATTCGATTGAATTAATTTGACGAATTTTATGACTTGATTGTACTTTTTGTAAGTTTTCGTAATAAATTTTATGATTTATAAATTATAATTAATGTATCTCGGGAAAAAAAAAGTAACTTTTAACGTATCATACAACTACAACAAGTAAACTTTCATTTCTATGAATAAATTTTTATCTGGGAAAGTACTTATGCATTTATAAGAATTGACTAAATAAAGTTTTTAATAGATTAATAATTTTTGTTTGGGAAAGATAACCTAAAATTAGACTCAATCAATCAGTAGGCCATTGCGAGTCAAACCTAAAAATTATGGATTAGACCAACATGTGACAAGATAGCACTGAGTTTTCCATGTAAAATCGATACGATAATAACATAAACGGTCCATAAAATTTAACCCGATATACAATATGATTTTTAAAATTTTAATTTATTTAATGTGGTTCTTAAACTTTAACTCAATATGTAATATGATCCTTGAACTTTTAATACATGTTCAACGTGGTCATAACTTTTAATATATGTGCAACTTCGACCTTGAACTATGTAAAAATATTCAATGTTTGGACTAAATTATTGATTAAATTAAAAGTTCAGGAACTAGATTGTATACTGAGCTAAAATTTAAGGACTATTTATGTCATGAATAGGTCAAGTTGGAAGGGCTAACCTTAAGAAAGGAACTATTTGCCTAGACCTACTCATTTATAAGGTCTAAGGCCCCATTCGGTTTAACATTCCCAAGGGCTTCTCGGCCTAGGGCGTTTGGCAAGCATTCCCAATGGTCTGGACCAGCTTTGGACTTTTCAGTATTTGTTAAATGTCGAAACCAATTATTTTCTTCCCAAACTACCCTCACTTATTTTTTAATATTTCGGTTTTGCCCGTCGTTGTTACTGTTCATCTTCTTTGCACAAAGACGGTCGACAATATTGGATATGGACGGCGAGGTCATGCGACCTAGGCGATGGCCGCTTGGGGTCACATCGCCTGAGTTGCACGACCTCAAGCCTTGTCGTCTGAGGTCAGGCGACCCCCTGCGAGGGTCGTGCGGGTCGACTACCGTTGGTGCTAGATCTGGCTCGTCAACGATCACCTGACCTCGGATGATGGTCGCCGGCGAAGGGTAAGTTTTTTTTTTAATAAAAAAGAAAACCCCAAAGCCCTTTGCAAAAAAAAAAAAAGCCAAACACTACTTGGCCTAAAGTAGCTTCATAAAGAATTTTTTACTAAACGTCATTTGCATTTCCCCAATAGGCTTTAACCTAAAGGTATTTGCATTATTCCAATGTTCATTTGCAAAGTTGAACCAAACAAACCTTAAGAAGGTCAAGCCTAAAATTAGGGACTAGATCCGATCACTATGAAATAATACTAAATTAACTACATAAAAGTTTTGAACAAGCAAGGTTGGAAGGGCCAACCCAAAAAAAGGAACTATTTGTCCAAACCTACTCATTTTGCTCATACGTCCTCAATGGCCTTAAAAGACTTAGGCAAGCTCATTAGTTCGTCATGCATCGATGAGGGTGAGGTGTACATTCAAGTGTCTTAAATCCGCAGCTCCTTAATTTAGATTTTGATGTGAAAAAGTAAATAATCTATTTATGTTAAATTGACATACGTATTTATTTTTAATTAATATGCTAACGTGTGATAACTGATAAGTAACTTCGCATTAAAAAATAAGCTACTACTATTTTTTCTTTTTTTGTCCTTAACTTATGACGACAATGCAATTTAATAATCGAATTTTCAATTTATTTATTTATCTTTAATCGGAGTTTATTTAAATTGAATGAGCTTGAATATCTTGTGCATTGAAGTGTCGTTTTGGTTCGCATATTATGGCGATAACAGTTTGAACGATTATTAATAGCAAGAAAGTTAAAAAAAAAGGAAAAAACGAAGATCGAAAAATCAACACTCTAAGCAGAGGTGGCGCCGCCGGAGCCGGAGCCGCACCCACAACCACCGCCTCAGGACGGCGACGGCGGCAGTTGCCGTCCTCACATCCGCCCACATCGAGAGAGAGAGAGAGAGAGAGAGAGAGATGGTTAGCTTGTCATTCTTGCATTGTTTCTCCGCCCGTCGATGGCGGAACAGCGGCGGAACAGAGCTTAGAGTGGCGCGACGAGGATTGTTGCCTTTATTCTGCTTTTACTTCTGGTGCTGGTATCGATTTGCTTGGCATGTTCCCGTCGCTTGGTGATTCTTCGTATGTTGTGCTCCTGCTCTGCCGCTTCATCCATGACGTTTTCAAATTCGCGGGCTTCCACTTATCGGAACTTGACAGAGTTAGCATTCCGAAAGCTATGGTGAAGCTGCGATGGAGTCAAGTCGTCCACGGAACTGCCTTGTCATCAAGTTATTGGCCATTTGCAGACGCTTTTCCGGCACTTGGGTTGTGAGCTTGTTTCTCCTTATGTCCACAGCTAGCTACCCGGTCATATCATGTCATTCCCATTATTTCTGTATTGAATATAATCTCAGTCTTAGAGACGCAGACAGGAACAGGACTCTTCGGCAATTGCCTCAATGCATCGATGTATCGAGTAGTTTCCGTGTTACTGCATGGAATCAAGCATGCATGCTTGGTATTGATATGTGCCTCTTTCACCCTCTTAGACCACCTGACGTTTTTTACCTGCACAAGGTTGAGAACGAAGCATCAGGGTTGAAATTAGGCTAGAAGGGAATGCTTCTGCCGGTTAAAGATGATGGCGTGCGTGTTATAATGTGGCTTTTGCCTAATTATACTTCAAGCTGCAGATATTTACCAAAATGAATTCCATTCCTTTCCTCACAAGTAAAAGCTGCTTAAAAATCTTTTTGCGTCTTCGTGCATTCACCTCCTCATTATAAGTGTATCCTGTTTCCTGATTACTTACAGTTACATGAGAAGGATATGATGTCTGAAAAGTAAAAGGTTTGAGCAAGAAATTCATGTCAGCAGTGGTGATATGATCTGGAAAAGAAGAGGGCCCCTGTCCTTGTAAATGGTCATTGCATTGCAAGCTCTTCTACAATGACTATCCTGTGCTCTGCAGCTGTTAACAAGGCTATTGGTTGAATAGAAGGGATGGATGCATTATAATTTTGGATGTCTTCCTGACATTGAATTTGTGTTTTGTCCTCTTATATCTCTCGTTTCCTGTTGTGCTTCTTGCATTGGTCATAGCTTGAAACTGATCCTTCCTTCGTTATTCATGGAGCTTCTGTATCTTTTTTTCTTTTGAACCCAAACGAGCTAATGAACGGTGGATGCCACTTCTAGTTTATGATAGTTGTGGATCCAATGTCTTGTGTATGGTGATATGTTTAGTTCATCTATACAAAGGTGGAATAATCTTTTGCTGTTGTCTTATTGTAGAAACTAAAACAAAAGTGATGCATGGTGATGGAGCTTCACCATCAGAGAGGAGATTCTAATGTTCGGTGTTGTCATGCTTTAAACCAAGCATTCTCCCTGTTTGCCCATTTTGGTTTATCAAGATTTGCACAAGATGAGCTCATGTACTCCATTTTCTCCTTTTGGAGGAAGATTTCACACTCAGTATCAAATGATGATTGCAAATCGGCGTCACAAGTGAATTTACAAAAGGAGTCTAAGCTCAAATATAGACTTTTGGTGAAGTGGAGTTCAAGTCCAGCCACCATGGATGGAGATTTTGAGATCTTAGAGACATGGAGGTACTGCAAGCAATATATATCCTTTCACTTCTTTCAAATACCATTGCACTAGGAAGCATTTTGACTCAGTTTCGAGAAACTTTTTTCCCACAAGAAGTATTACTGGCTTATCTATCAATGGCTCAGGGGTTCTTGCAGCTCTAGTTTATTTTTAGTACATCTATCTTAAAGGTACTGACAAAGGTGTCTTTAGTCGGACTTGCTGAATGTGGAGATTGAAAAGTTTACTTTGATATCTCTTTGTAATGTTTGAGAAATGGAAGTTTGACTGCACTTTGATGGAAGACTAGGGCTAGATCAATGTGTTACCACTTTGTCAAATATTTATACCTCTTTAGCACTATCTTTGGTGTTTAGGTTAATTAAGTCGGCAATAGTTTTGACTGAAATTGGACTTCAGTAGAGAATCTGACAATATACTAGTGAATTGCGCAGAAGAATAACCCATAGGCTGCATGTTATTAGCAATTTGATGCATTTGTTAGCTAAGGAAAGGATTTTGCCATACCACTGACACAGACAGTATTTGTGGACCAAAGAGAAAACATAATCAAGGTGTGTGTCTGTTCGAGTAAAAACCTTGATTTGAATTTCACACTTCATTATTTCAAGCATCTATTGCAGCCACACAGTGTTTCAGCGGGGGGGGGGGGGGTGCGTGGTAATCCAGACCTTGGAAACAATCAACGACTTCCCCAATTGATGTTGAGAGATGGGGGTCTTAATTTTGGTCTTGCCACGAATTGGAATTGTGAAATGCTCTGTCGGTGATGACGTGGTGCAAGCAACGAGGCATTGAGGAAGAGCACCAGTCCTAGACCCTTGGCCTATCAGGATTTTCGAAGGCCATTGTTGGATGCCGATTTTCTAAGTTATCTTTTGACTCAATTTGGGTTGAAACTTGAGAGAATTAATTGAAGAGACTTCGATTATTTGATTAAGTGGTTCTTACTGTGGATGATGATAAGCTAGCTTTATCTTTTTACTGTTATACTTAGGGCATAATCATGACACAATATGAATGCAAAAGTCTACTGAATTTGAGTGGGTGGCCTTTGAAAGTTCTCTTCTTGTGCGTGTCAAAAGGCCTAAAGGTGATATGGACCAGAAAAGGAAGATGCGAGCTATCCTGGAATGACAACATACATTTCCAGGATACAAGTGCTCTGATTTCTGGAGAATCCAACTCGGGATGTAAAGACTGTATCCTAATCGATGCTCCTGCCCTTCTCTTTTCACACTTGCATGCCCTATGTTTCTATCTGAGAATGGTGGAAATACCTCTAGTTTCAGGATATGGTGCTTTTGATCTTTTATACGTCGAAGATCCAAGACAGTTTGTTGTCACTCGTAGTCATACTGGAAATGGTGTCTAATATTAGTTTCAGAGGGGTAAAAAGATGATTAAATCAGTAGTGCATATACGAGCGAATGGTGACTGTTACCATTGTCTGCAAGGTTGATTTTTCAGTGACTACAACATAATGAGGGAGAGATTGCTGATCTTCTTGACTGCAACATAATGAAGGATGGATGTTGAAGCGTGCCTTATGGTAAACGTTCAAGTGCATTCTTGTATTCCGAAGATAATATAACGATGGTACATAACTTTTTTGGACGGCAGATTTATTTATCACAAGTCATACTTAAGGTAGTACTTTGGGTAGGCAGACGCAGGTTTATGGATACCTAAATGATGAATGACGTGTGTAATGGTGTCAGCGATCACCAAAGTATGTCATTAAGCTTGTACCTGTCATATTCCATCGAGTAAGCATTGCACAAAGAAGACAATTGAATGTCAAAATGTACAATTCCTAAATTCTGGCTTTGCCAGATGATTGGTCAATTGCACAATGATACAGTCAAGTGATAGGATGGTTTTGACCAATCTAGGACTCTCATTATGACAATCTTAGATTCACTTTCTCCCAATAGCATGTCGACGGGTAAAACTAATCGGCACGTGGGCAACACTGGAAAGACAAAAAAGAAATCTACTGATTACATGGTTGCACACGCGGCAAAGAAAAGCTCATAATTTAATCGTAGGATGTCCTTTCTTGGTATAATAAGCCACTGAAATTTGACGTAGTACCGCCCCACTTATTAAGTTGAATGGCTAAGACGGTCCTTCTAAGGACTAATGAAACTTTTCTAGGTGGACACCAGTAGACCCCTCTAATTCTTGAGTTGTTTATTGCTGTTCTTGGTTGGAGATTGTGTTTGCGCTTGTATATACATGTTAATGGGGCGTTAATAAAGCTATGCCGAAAAGAGAAAGCAAACCTTTCATAATTCAGCTTAGAATATCCATTCGGACGATATTTTGATGTCTAAATGGGGCACGGAGCGATCGGCTGTTTCATTATTGAGCTTAGAATAATCCTTGCCACCACTGTATAGGCAGTTGCTGTATAACATGATTCTGTAACGTGTCTTGATCTCTGTTAGACTTAGCTCTTGCCATAGACAGATTACATTATTGTTGCTTTTGCTGACAAGGAACCAAGGCAAAACGTAATGGTTTTGGGCAATAATAATTGCATAATGCCTCTCTGCCGTCCATATGTCCCGCGTCTTCATTGTTAATTTCTTCACTCGCTTAATGGACAGCAACCAGAAAGAGCTTCTGTCAAGCTGTCCCAAACGCAGTTCAGTCTTTTTGTACTTCTGAGGCCCCATTGAAGCCCTGAATACAAGTTTCCAGGAACAAATTTTCAATGACATCTAATGTGAAAGAAACAGAACTTTGATGCCCGGTAACCGGTAATGGCAAGATTTGTACAAAGCCTAACGTTGAAAGGATGGGATATGGATGTCCGATTGGCCTCATAGATGGAGCCAAACATACACATCATAGCAAGCGGCTGTATTGCCATTTCTTTCTTGGGTTGGTTTCGAACTCTCTTGACAATTTTCAATAAAAAAAAACCGTTGAAAAATTGTGAACCACGTAAATAACCGAGAGCTAGACAAGAATGACTTGAAGAATTGCATTACGCAACGGCGTAGACCATTGAACGGTTACCAAACAGTCACCCGTATTCAGAGTTCACTAATTCTTGCAAGTTAACAAAATAGAGGACACCGAGTCTCGGACATGGGGGTTTCATTGCGAGTACTATAGCCCAAATCTGCTTCCTCCATCTGATACTGCAAAATTTCTTCCTGCTACATCTGCAATTGAACAGAGGAGTTTCTCCTGTAAAAATGTATGGCAGGAAATTTTCCTCGACCTATAAGATGGATTGCGTTCATTAACGTTCTGCTCAAAGTTGAAGACACCGGACAAGAAATGGAAGGTCTTCGTCAGCTTATCCTCCAACCATCATTTTCAGGAAAGAACAATGGTGGGTTATCCTCCACCCACATGGAACCTGACTTTGGTATACATAAACTCGCAATTGCGGAAGCATCGTCATCCTGTCCTTTCTAGTCCGCTCAAAGATTGTCTTGATCTGACTACTTGGTTAATAACCTGGTTTATTCATTAATTGATGCTGAGCTTCAATGCCGCGCCTATAACACATTTCCGCATAGCAAACAAATGGACTACAAGTTTCCTTGGATGAAGATGTAAGGTGTGGCCAAATCCATGTCATACACCGCCAACTACTGCTGGTCATTTCTTCTTTACACGGCGGTGATGGATCCAGTCGTACCCCTCGACCCCCTGTCTATTTCGATTTAACTCACAGCACAGTTCAAGGGATTCTGGATTATCAAGTCGTTTCTAATGAGAGCTCTTCCGCGTTGGAGTAGCGATAGGAATGTCCCCTGCAGTCAAAATTATCAATTCGGCAATCGAGCGACTCAAGAAACGTGGACTAACATGGGGCAAAATATGCTAATTTGGGCTATACCAAAGGCAACCTCAGATTGAGCCGACCACACGTGACTGCGAATCTAAGTCTGGCACAATTTCAAAGATGTAGGAACTCGTGCAGCAATTTGTTTAGAGTGGACCCTCTAGAGCTCCTCACCTCATCCAAGATGCAATTTAGCAGCAGAAAGAAAGAACTTCCTCGTTTCAACTTCTAAATTGTATGCACGAATGATTAACATTTATCTTAATTGTAGATGAAAAATTCACACTTCACATTGCTCTTGCATGAGTGGGGAATGAACTGCAATTGGGTTGCATCCTCATCAAATATCCTTGAAATCTTTCTTCACTTTTTTTGCTGATTTTGCCTTGGTCTTCCTAGTCTCGAGTGAAATCTTACCAGAAAAGTGGTCCCTCATTGCCTGCAAATTGCTGCAGTAAAATTTGGCGGGTGGCACTTTGCACTTCTGCTAGTTTGCAAATAACATGATAATTCGAAGTTGCAATTTTTTATATGTATATTTCCACAATTCGGAAATATCCAAAATAAAATGATAATTACACCATAAGCCAGAAACTGCCATAAAATGCCATACGTCTGACTGTTAAATCTCCGCCCTTCCTTCCTTATCACACCAACCTCTCTGTCTCTCTCTCTCTCTTTCTCTCCGTCTCTCTCTCTTCATTTCTTCGCTTCCCTTCTCGCCGTTTCTTCTCTGTGGCTGAGAGCTTCATCGTGAATTGCTCAGACCACTTCTTTCATTCCTCAGTCTTCTGGAGCACTGTTTGTTATTGCAGCGACCATCTCTATCAGGTTCTTGCACGCAAATCTTGGTTTTCCCGCACCGTTGAGATGCGACCATATGCTACTGGCGCTTTCAAGTTCGGAGCTTTTATTGTTCATTAAAGAGACCCGTTTCTCTTGCTTCTTCAATGCTTAAGACCAAGACGTCTTTTTATTTCTACTCTTTGCAAATTTTCAGTACGGTTGGTGCTTGTTGCGTCCATCCTCAGCTCCTAATGCCAATACAGTACATAGTCTAATTTTCAAAACAAGGAGATTGTAAATTTCGGTGTAACTGTCGCATTCTCTTGTAAAGTTATCTGAAGTGTTCGTCCTTCGTCTAATCAGCTGGGTCGAGATAATACTAATCGAAAATCAATCTGCGGTTTCCTCTGAAACTGTTATTCAATAAAATATCAGAAGAGGAAGTAGCTGGAGTCATATGGGCTTGAAGAACTCTATTCCTTTTCATTTGCTCTGTATTATTGGTTCTGTGTAGTGAATGGGTAGGATAAGACGATAAGGTCATCTCTGCTGTTAATTTGAAGGTTGAGTTTAAAGAAAGACAACCGCTTGAGCTTACTTCAATCTAGAGAAGGTCAAGAATGGCGCCCAGGAACAACCGCGGAAAGGCCAAAGGAGAGAAGAAGAAGAAGGAAGAAAAGGGTACACTTTATATGCATATCTTCTTTTACATAGGACAGACATATCCTTTAGTATAATTTGCAGCTTCTGAATCTTATCTTCTTTTCATTGTTGAATTTTTGCAGTGCTTCCGGTAGTCGTGGACATCACTGTAAACCTTCCCGATGAAACTCACGTGATACTTAAGGTTCGACCTCTCTCTAAATTGTTTATATCTGACGATATCTGAGATCCAAGGCCCCGTGTTACTTCGAATTTACTGTCTTAGATCCGATTTCATCGTTCAGATATCTTTCGAACAGCCTTTCATTTCTTTTCGACCTTAACATGATCGGAAACCAAGCTCATTGCCACAACTAGAAGCTAGTATACAGTCTAGATTGCGAGGCTTATCCGGACAAGAGATTCGAATTGCCGGTCCATCATTAGCTCCTGCTGTTAGTATATGCGACCTTTGCTAAGCAACAGAGACAAAGGAGGAAACGGCAAAGGAAGCAAAGAAAAGAAAAGTAGTTCACAGTGCCTAGATATTCAATCAGATTTCGTGCTTCAGTTTCCTGTTAACCTTTAGCTAAAAAGTCATCGGCGGGACCGGTAGGAGTAGAAGAAGTACAAGCGCGCACACAAGACTTATACTTGTAAACGGGTGGCTTCTGAAGCTTTGCCAAGGACATCAGCAATCGAATTTGTCATATAGTAAAAGATTTCAAACTCCGTAATCTGCGTGAAATGAAAACTCCACTAGCGAACTAACTCTTAGTCCAGCATGGGTTGTGTTTGTGCTTCCTTTCTGGTTTCTACTTCCATGCCAGGAATGGCAAAGGGCAGATCCGGGCATGTTTGTTCACTCTTTCCGCTTCGGTTTTCGCAGGGGATCTCGACGGACAGGATCATCGACGTTCGCCGGCTCCTGTGCGTGAACACCGAGGCGTGCCACGTCACGAACTTCTCGCTGTCGCACGAGGTAAGGGGTCGGGTTTTAACCAAGTTGCGGGTTTCTGTACTGCCTTATAATCGTGTTGGGTGGCCCGTTGGATTTTCCGCGCTCTCGTTCTCTCTCTGTCCAATCGTGTTTTCACGCTGTTGTTAGTACGATGATCTGCTCCGGATCGTCTGTCCAATCGCGGGGTGTTCTTCCTGGAAAACGTTTTTCTTACCATTTCTAGCAACGTCAACGTCGGAAAGCGAGGCGATGGAGGTGGAAATCTCAAATGAATCCGAAGTCTCCGGCTAAGGTCTAATCGTGCGCGTGCTGGGATCAATCGAAAAGGCCAAACCCCTTTTGTTTTCCTTGTCCTCCCTAGTTTCCGGGCATATTACCCGATCGATCTTAAAATTATTGAACAGATGTCAATTCAGGCATAAACTCTTTAATTTTGGCGATGTAATCCTAAACATTTGCATGACATTCCAATGTAGTCCTTTGGCCAATTGCCGCCGAAAAATTGCTTACATGACCATCCATAAATGGTCACGTGAGACGGCTGGCAATGACTGGATATCACGTCCGTGATTTCCGCAGGCAATTGATCGAAAGGATATCATTGAAATTTTACGTAAAAGTTTAGGACTGCATCGACTAAATTAAAAAGTTTGAAACTGAATTGACATTCGTACAGTAAATTTACGGTTATATTGGTTATTTTTTCCTGCCTTTTGGAGTTGAAAAGGGGCATGCCCAACGAGAAGACGGGAGGCCTCGTGATTGCAAATTTTTTTTGTCGTGTCACTCTTAATTTGTGGCCGGGCAAAATGACCACACCGCCCTCCTCGCATTTCATCGAAGCTGAATTTTCAGTGATACTATATGGAGCGACGAAAATAAATTTATGAAAAGCTCGTGCCTACGAAGATAAGGCGCTATACCATCGAAATCTTATTGTTCTATAGGAAAGACATGCACAATCAATGAATCTTGATTAATTGATAGAAATCCGCTTACAGCTCCTTAAGTTTGAACAAATGCATGCTGAAATCAATTTTACTGCATTTACGCTTTTTATTTTTCACTCACTTCTTTACATTGCGTTTGAGATTTTAATTCATATTCTAATTTTTTTTATTTGGGGTCGAATTTTCATATTTTAATTTCAATCACTTGAAAGTCGCATTAATCTTCAAACATATTTTAAAATTCCGCCTAATTTCTCCCCGTCCCTTTTTATCGAAAGTCAAAAAGACCGATTTTTCTGCTTCGATGGCGGGGAAGCCGAGGATCACGAGGGGGAACGGTAATAAGGGAAAACGGACAAGGGCAATTACGGCATTTCGGCTCGAGCTGGGCATTAACGGTCGGATTTTGGGGTGCTCTGCGCAGGTTAGAGGGCCCGGATTGAAGGACACCGTGGACGTCTCTGCGCTGAAGCCATGCACGCTCGCGCTCATCGAAGGTACCGCTCGATCTCCCATGGCTTCGTCCCACCCACCCAAAAACAGCGTCGTTTCGCCACCTTCTCCTCCTCATCTCTCTCTTTCCCCTCTGTGTGTCTGTGTTGACGGGATGCAGAGGACTACGATGAAGAGCGCGCGGTGGCGCACGTGCGGCGCCTCCTGGACATCGTCGCCTGCACGGCGTGCTTCGGCCCGTCGGCGGCTGGGGGCAAGGACCCTCCCCAGCCCGAGGCGCGGAAGAGCGGTCCGGACCCGCAGGACAGGGGCGCCAAGAAGAACGGGAAGGCTTCCCAGGCAGCCGGCAAGCGAGCCGCCGCTCCTCCGCCGTCGAGCCCGCCGCCCAAGGAGCCCGCCGCGGACGGAGACGGGGAGATGAGCCACTCCTGCCCCAAGCTCGGGAGCTTCTACGACTTCTTCTCGCTCTCTCACCTCACTCCTCCTCTTCAGTGTACTCTCTCTCTCTCTCGCGCGCGCGCGCGCGCATTCTTTAGCCGTGATCATTCGGATATTGACATTTGTTGCTTTTGTAGATGTGAGGAAGGCGGCAAAGCGGCACGTCGATGAGGTGTATCCGGATGAGCATCTTTTCTCGCTTGACGTAAGCTCCCTCTCTCTCTCTCTCTTTCGCTCTCTCTGGCTTTCTTTCCTGGCGCCTTCGACCAGTGTCTCGCTCTCATGAAACGAAACCATATTGGGTTTTAGGAACGTAGCAGCACAGTTCTTTTTTTTTCCCTCTTCTCTTTTGATGATTTTTTTTATTAGAAGCGCTTGTTTAATGGGAAAACTGTTGCGAACTAGGGGTGTTTGCATGGTCATTTTGTTTCAACCATTTAAGGAGTGCGACTGTTTTTGTGCGTGGCTCAGGTGAAGCTGTGCAATGGGAAGTTGGTCCATGTCGAAGCCTGCAAGCGAGGCTTCTTCAGCGGCGGAAAGCAGCCGATTCTGTGTCACAATCTTGTCGATTTGTTACGACATCACAGCCGAGCTTTTTACAATGTTTGTCTCGCATTCCTTGCTGATTTTGTTAACACTACAATATACTGCTGGACTTCCTTATTTGGACGTGATACATCTTATTTGCTGTACTATTCTTGTTTTGGGCTATAGTTCATTTGAGCTTTAAAGATCGGAGCAAGAAAATAAAGATTTGTAAATGGGTAAAAACAATTCTCAGATCTTGTTCTGTGTATTCACTTTTTGTCGGTGCATTATAACGAGGAACATGATTTTGCATATTTCTTATAGTTACAAAACTTGGTCAAATTCTTCAGACCAACTTTTTTTCTTTGTTGAATTTTAATATATGTTTCATTTCTAGTATTATTTATTCTTTTTGGCATCTTCTGTGCATCTTTTTAATTGCACCGAAACACCTTCTAGCTTTTCCCATTGCTGGATTAATAACCACTTTTAGATTCTTCATGTCTGGATGGATGATCAATATGTTTCTCGGGATTCTTGAAAGTGATCCATTTTGTCTCACGTGCTGCGCATCTATATTGTTTGTTTTCGATCACGGAAACGAGTTGTTTTCTTCTCTGAAATGGCTTTGTTTTATTCTTCATTTCTTATCTCTCTCTGGATGACACAAGCATAGTGAAGTTCCATATGTTGTTTGTATCTTTTTACAGGCATACGATGATCTCATGAAAGCATTTTCAGAACGAAACAAGGTGTGCTGTAACTTTTAGTTTTTGATTTAGACAAGTCAGCTTAAGAAAATTTTCTTTGAACTTTTAGTATCCTCCATAAGCATACAGGTTACTTTTCCAGCTTCGCGGTGTATCTGTGCTCTGCACTGATTCATCCTTGCTCCGATTTTGCAGTTTGGGAACCTTCCTTATGGATTTAGAGCAAACACATGGCTCATACCTCCTGTCGCAGCTCAATCACCATCCATTTTTCCTCCTCTGCCTGTGGAGGATGAAGGGTGGGGAGGAAATGGTGGTGGTCTATGTAGAGATGGCAAAACTGATTTGCTGCCATGGGCTAACGAGTTCTTGTATCTAGCATCTATGCCTTGCAAGACAGCAGAAGAGAGGCAGGTCCGCGATAGAAGAGCTTTCCTTCTACATAGCTTGTTTGTTGATGTCGCCGTTTTAAGGGCAGTTTCAGCTGTGCAGCATGTATTGCGAAATCTAGATTTAATCAGCTCTACTGCAGACGTTAATTATTTGTATTCAGAGAAAGTGGGAGACTTGTGCGTCACGGTAATCAAGGATGCTTCCAATGCAAGCCGTAAGATAGACACAAAAGTTGACGGGATTCATGTGACTGGGATGGATCAAAAGAAATTAGTGGAACGAAACCTGCTTAAGGGGATTACTGCTGACGAAAATACTGCAGCGCATGTATGCTTCTTCTTCTATGTTTGATTTAGGTGATCATATAGTGTACTTTCTAGTTGCATGATCTTATTTTTAATCGGATGATTAAAAACACCATACATATTGACTGCAGGACATATCCACTTTAGGAATTGTCAACGTGAGATACTCTGGTTATATTGCTGTCGTAAAAGTTGAGGGGCAAGAGAGTGAAAAGGTCTTTCCTGTACCTACAGGCATTGAACTTCTTGATCAACCTGAAGGTGGTGCCAATGCCCTCAACATTAACAGGTTTTCCAGCTCAACTTCTTCTTCTAATGAAACACAATAGCTGATCTTTTAGTTTTCCTATAAACACTGAAACTGATGTTATGGCATCTGGATTTTACAATTCTGTTGCTGGTGTCGAGAAGGACAATATACATGTGAGAAATCCCTTACTGAGAGAGTGTGCACCTCTTTTTTGGGATGGCATGTGCACTTTTATTCGAGTCATTATGTCGACCGGGGTGGCTTCATCATGACTTCTCAATATCTTTTGGTTTTTTTTTTTTCAGTTTAAGATTACTCCTTCATAAAAGTGTTGCCCCAGAAAACAATAAACACGTCCAACAGTTGCATCCTTCAGAGCATGATGAGCTCAGTGCTTCTGAATCCATTGTGGAGAGACTGTTGGAAGATAGTCTTGGAGAGCTTGAAAAAAAGGATGAAAAGAGAGATCAATTTGTGAGATGGGAACTTGGAGCATGCTGGATACAGCATTTACAGGACCAAAATAATTCAGAAAAGGATAAAAAGGTTTCTACTGAGAAGGCTAAAACTAAAAATGAGATGAAGGTCGAAGGACTTGGGACACCTCTCAGGTCCCTTAAGAACAACAAGAAAAACCCACTGAAGATGGAGAATTCTTCTTCCAAGGCGAATTGTGTTGCCGGAGAAGCTGAAAATGCTATATCACCTTCTACGGAGACTGAACTCGAATCTATGATGAAAGAGAATGAGCTTGCACTCAAGACTATGATGTCTGATGCAGCCTTTGGCCGCCTAAAAGAATCGGAAACTGGACTTCACCGAAAGGTAACATCTTGTATTAGATAATCATGGAGGGTTTAGCAAGTTTTTTATTGTTAACATTACATAATTACTCACTGACTACACGTGGTTACCACTTAGCAGTCTTTGCCACAGCTCATCGAACTGTCTCAGAAATATTATAACGACGTTGCCCTTCCAAAACTGGTAATGACTGTACTTCTTCTTTTAATCCTGCAATTGGTTCTGCCCAAAGATCTGGTTATGCATATTTTATTCTGTGGTACATAGGTGGCTGATTTTGGTTCGTTAGAACTCTCACCAGTTGATGGTCGGACTCTAACCGACTTCATGCATACTAGAGGTCTTCGCATGCGTTCTCTTGGGCATGTTGTAAGTTCCTTTTTCTCTGGACTACAATCAACTACAATCCATTGTGACTTTCTACTTTATAGCTCAACGCGTGATTTTGTCCTTGGTTGAACTAATCAGGATAAAATTTAATTTACATACTTACAAAGCAGAGATTCTTTTTTTCCTTTCTCTGAATACTTTGCAATCATGGTGAAAATTGTCCTTTCTCTGAATACTTTGCAATCATGGTGAAAATTTGTTTTCTTAGTTCTCAAGATCATTTTCTAACCTGCGCCTCACCATGTTCTCATCAGGACATTCATGTGTGTGCCATTTAGCTAATCATTTGGAAACTTAAGTCTGAATTTTCCTCTGTACAACCAATTCTTACATTCTGTCCATAATGTGATGGATCTGGCCATGTCCTCATTGTCTGGCACTTGGGCTATTGTAAGATTTGGCGCAGAGTCAATAGGGAATGTAATTGCAGATGTTTTTCGTTGCTTATTGCAGAATAGTGTAGAGTATAGCTCTGATGTAGTCCCCTTTGATCATGATGCCTGTGCCGTGTCTCCTTTACCAGGTCAAGCTTTCTGAAAAGCTATCACATGTGCAATCTCTCTGTATTCATGAGATGATAGTACGAGCTTTCAAGCACATTCTTCAAGCTGTGATTTCTTCGGTCACTAATGTTGAGAAAATGGCAACGTCAGTAGCTGCTGCACTGAATCTGATGCTCGGTGTGCATCCAACAGGAGAAAAGAGTAAAGATTGCAGTTTCCCTCCCCTTGTATGGAGATGGTTACAAGTTTTTCTTCTGAAACGCTATGAGTGGGATGTTAGCAGCTTAAACTACAAAGACGTTAGGAAATTTGCAATATTGCGGGGATTATGTCAGAAGGTATGCGACTCTATGAATGCATCGTGAAAATGTTCAAACAACCTTATGTTGAAGGCATTTTCTTTTAAAATCATAATATTACATCAGAACTTTGTTTATTAGTTATTAGATGTTTGCCTGAAATGTGGCATACTTGTCTAGTAGGAGGTAGGATAGCAGTTGGGAGAGCTTTCCTCTTTGTTCCTAATATTTAAATCAATTCAAAGAATATTAACTTCAACTTAAAGTTTAGAAATTCTTTTGAAAGAAAGAGGCCCAAAAAACTAAGTGCATCTGTAGAATTTTCCTTTAATGAACTTAGCCTTACTGAACAAGGATATCGTGCACCTAGCAGAATCCAATGCCAATATATTGTTCTTAATGTTCTATAGGTTGGCATTGAGCTGGTTCCGAGGGACTTTGACATGGAATCTCAACATCCTTTCTGCAAAACAGATGTCATCAGCCTGGTTCCAGTGCATAAGGTAATAATACACTATTACACAGAATTGTAATCTCTTGTGTCTGTACTCTTTTACTAAACAGGTTAATATGCTAATGCAGCAAGCAGCGTGCTCATCTGCTGATGGAAGGCAGCTGCTAGAATCATCAAAAACTGCTTTAGACAAGGGGAAACTTGAAGATGCAGTAGCCTATGGGACAAAAGTATGTCGTTGATACATCAGCTTGCTTCCATCCTTTTCTTTTCCTGGTGAATTAACTTCATCTCCTGCTGAATGTCCTTTGTTTCTCGCAGGCTCTGGCAAAGCTTGTAGCAGTTTGCGGTCCTTACCATCGAATGACGGCTGGGGCTTACAGTCTTCTTGCTGTAGTGTTATATCATACTGGAGATTTCAATCAGGTATCTGGTATTATTTTCTTTGTCTAGCACACGATATCACTGTGAAGAATGAGATTGTGGCAGGATGACCTCTGAACTTGCTATGCATAATCTTGTTGAATATTTTTTTTTCCGCATTGGCCCCTAAAATATTTTTTTTTCCAATCACAGTTAAATTTTCGGTTAAATATTCATGAGAAAAATTTCCTAATTACAGGCAGCAATATATCAACAAAAGGCGTTGGACATCAATGAGAGAGAACTGGGACTTGATCACCCGGATACAATGAAAAGTTACGGTGACCTTGCAGTGTTCTATTACAGACTTCAACACACGGAGCTGGCTCTCAAGTATGCTCTCATCTTTCCTTTTTCCACCTATAATTTGGTGAAGTTTTATGTGTTTTATCATCTAGCTTTTGTGCTTCATGGCAGTCTCCAATTTAAGCTTATTGTTATTCGTGTTTGGTGTATATGTTCCTGTGGCATGTACTAAATGTGTTTCGCATACTTTCATTTCTTCCACATGCATACCTTGATAGTTACTGAGGATGGTCTTGAATGATATGTTGTCCATCTCTCCAGAATTCTAAGATTGCCATTACCTAATTTGTTGAATACACTCCAAAATCCGAGTTATCTTTCAAGTTGCTTGGGAGGTTGAGTTGTACCAGTTTATGTCCTTGCTAGGTTGTATATTCCGTCGAGTGAAACTTCTTTGTGGAATTGCCATTTTGTCTTCAGAATTGAAATTAGCAAAATCAACAAGACTGTTTTTCTATAAAGGATTAGTCATTTTTATGTGTTGTAGGGTTCTTTTAGTCTTTTTCCGTGTGCTGAAGTTGGTATTTATGCTGAACAGGTATGTAAAGCGTGCTCTCTATCTGTTACATCTTACTTGTGGTCCTTCTCATCCCAACACGGCTGCTACATATATCAATGTGGCAATGATGGAAGAAGGCCTGGGGAATGTGCATGTTGCCCTCAGATATCTCCATAAAGCACTAAAATGTAACCAAAGGTTACTTGGACCAGACCATATCCAGGTCTCTTTCGGTCAATCATTCTTTCCCTTCCTTTTTTTAAGTGCAATTATTGTCAGTTAGTTGGTTGCTTTATGTTCTCTCGTGGCTTCATATCTTTGTTGAGGGTCACTAACACTGTAAGGCTAGGTAGCCAAACACAATAAATCTGAGATGGACTTCTAGATGGTGCCTTACTTCAGATAATGAAATAATTTATGAAAGATTGTCCAATGCTCAGCTGAAAGGAGGTGAAGAAATGGTCGAGTTCACTTCCTCTCAAACTTCATAATCAAACATAAAGGAGCTTGTCATCTGCGGGGTAAATATTTGTCGAAAAATCTCAGATAGTCCCGATTCCCAATTCAATTAGATTAAACCCAAAGAAAAGACGTTTAGCCATCAGACGATGAGATTAAGAGAAGTGCATGAGGGGGCATACTCATTGGTACAGAAAAGATACTGCTATTTCGGTGGTGCATGAAATTTACAGTCTATAGACTGTCTTTTCTGGAACTATATATTATGCAGTCAGTGGCACATTATGAGCGTCAAATTCAATAGCAGGACTCCTGTTTTGTTCTCGGTATTCAAGACAATCTTAAATTGGACTTTAGTGACCCATCTGATCTTGATGCTTTGCAGACAGCAGCAAGTTACCATGCCATAGCAATTGCACTCTCATTGATGGAAGCTTACCCCTTAAGCGTTCAGCATGAACAAACAACCTTACAAATTCTCAGAGCGAAATTGGGCCCCGACGACTTACGTACACAGGTAGTATGCTCATACATTAAGTCAAATTTCAAAGATATGGATGCTATAGTATAGCATCAGAAAATTGTTATTATCACTCATCAGGCAATTTTGCATCTTCTCCAATGCAAATCATGATTGCCACTTGCAATGACACAACATGAGCTTTATTGGACATGATCATTTGCATGCTTGAATTGATTGGATTTTGATGGACGCACTTTTCTTTAGCATTGTGATTTCTGCCTTACTTTGTAATTTGATTTCTGCCTCACTTTTCTTCAGCATTGTGATTTCTGCCTTACTTTCCAATTTTCTGAAATACCAACAGGATGCTGCTGCTTGGCTTGAGTATTTTGAGTCCAAGGCTTTTGAACAGCAAGAAGCTGCACGGAATGGAACCAGAAAGCCTGATGCATCCATAGCCAGCAAAGGTCACCTAAGGTAGAATTGCACTATAGAAATATCTTTTGCACATTTATTAGCTCTGATTAACTGATCTTGGTCATCAAATAAAAGATCGATGATTGATAAGACGGAGTAAATTCATTTTTACATTGCTTGAAACATTGTGATACATTATCCCATCTGGTGTTTCAAAATGCAAGAGCTGTCTATATCCTTTTCTCTAATCTGTTCTACTGTTAAATGGTCTGAGTTTTTTATAAAATGAATCTAACATGGAAGCAAGATAGGGAATGGTGTGTTTGCTATCTTCCGAGATGCTTCTCCCTGTAGGACTAGTTTTTGGCAGAGTTGATCCTAGGGAGGCATATCAACTGATCTCAAGAATCTCGCTTGCCGCTATTATAAACAATATATCGCTTCTGGGGTGGAGCATATCTCTGCTGACCTTTTCCGGATTATAGCCAAGTATCTAGTCATTATGTCAATGAAAAGGAATATTAGTTTAGAGAAATTGGCTTGGATTTGTGGCTGATATGCAATACATGATGTATGCCATATGGAAGGGTCTGTTAGATCCAAAACACATACCACTGATAGCATATTCACATTGTGTACCATGTGTGTCTTAATTCTTTTTCTAGGTAACTGTCATTTCATTCCATCAAAATCTGTCCGAAATACCTTGCCACAAGCCAACTTGCAACAATCTATACAATTATCACACATCACCAAAAAGAATTACTTCATCAAACAATCGAATCCCCCATCCTCTCTCTTTACTGGAATCAGTTTTGTCTTTTTATTTTGCAAATTTTCAACAATTGATAGTCAAAATAGTTATGGATATGGGTACTGTACAAATCAAATTCCTTGATCAAAAGCATCTGGTGCTGACAAAATTGTTACAGAAATGTCTATTTGGGTACTATGTGTACTTTTTATTCTTATATTGGCACAATTAGCTAGAAGTTCAGAGATGCACATTTCTCTTTCCCGGCCCCTTATTCCTGCAATTGCTGATTACCGTTCATGAATTTGGCAGCGTATCTGATCTGCTTGACTACATAAATCCTAGTCAGGATGGCAAAGGGAGGGATGCTTTAGCAATGAAGAGAAAACCCTATAATTCAAAGGTACATGAGACTGCATTGTACACTAAATACGTGATGATTTTTGTCATTATCAATGGTGAAACCCGGGGTTTCATTTTGTTTGCTCATGTAGAATTCGAAGGACTGTCCTGCCATTCTTATACCATAGCTTAATTTTTGGTAGTAGCAGCCCTACTGATGTGCTACGATTTTTATGTAAGTTTGACAGTGATGATAGGCCTTTCATTGCTATCAGGTTCTTCGCACCAATATATGAGCAGTGGCACCATACATAACCTCCTGACCCGAGTGCTTTGTTTTGGCTGCATTTTTTAGTTCACATTTGTTGAAAATGCGAATAGGCAGTGACTTGCAAACTTTGAAAAAGGTTTAGCAGCTAGTCATTGTCTTAGTATAGTATTATGGCAGTAATCAGATCTATTTAAGTAGCTCTATCAAACAGAAAGAATTGATCATGTCCTAACAGTTATAGTTGATGGTATAATTTGCTCATTTGTTTATTTTCCAAGAAAGGCTGAAATTGGTTTTCATTATTTCCACAAGCTTGGCATGGTCTGTGCCACCTCTATTGCACTCACTAAGATGGGTGTCAATAAGCATTCATCTTTTCTATGGGATGGCCATTTCTACTTTCTAGTTTCCTTCTTCTATATCCTTTTTGCTCTAATTGCTTGTTTGTTTTGCTTGATGACTTTTTTCCCCAGTGTAGAAGGGCAGATTGAGAGAATGTCTTTTTATTACTGTTAAGCTGTGAATTTTCGTTGTATATTAACTGCAAGTCCCCTTTTCAGTTGAGGGAAAAATCTTTAAAGAGTATTTTGCCACCAAGCTCTGATGCCTCTCCCGAAGAATCCTCAAAGGAAGATTTGGATGAAGAGCCCCTTAGACCAAGAAATGGAAGTAGCACGGACTTTGACCAGGAAAAACGCATTGAGGTGGGAAGTGGGGCAGATGCTGATCTGGTAATGGAACCTATATCGACCCACCTACAGCAGCCCTTCTTGGAAGACACTACTGAGGAAAAGTCACTATATTCTGACAAAATCTTGCTGGAAACACATGATGGAGATGATGGTTGGCAACCTGTCCAAAGGCCAAGATCGGCAAGCTCAATGGGACGGCGATTAAAGCAGCGGCGGGCAACCATTGGAAAAGCATTCAGCTATCAGAAAAAGAATACAGATGCAGATATCAGTTCTGCTGCTGGGATGAATTCTCATCCAGGTAATAGGTATTACATCATAAGGAAATGGGCAGTTTCTCATGCAGGTTACCCAGATCACCATACTGTCAATAGTTCCCAAGCTAGCAAATTCAGCAGAAGAGTAGTTAAAGCTGTAACATATAGAGTTAAGTCTACGCCTCCTGCTGCTGAAACTTCAGTAACTGAGAACTCTAGAGACGGTGCCGAGGATTTTGGCTCTTCACGAGAACATGCATCAACTTCTGCATCGTACAAAATGAGTTCAGTGGAAGGTTCAATTGGTACACTCGAAAAGTCTCCTTCATACAAGGAAGTGGCATTAGCACCTCCAGGAACCATCTCTAAATTGCATGCAAGGTTCCACAACGAAAGTCCTGATAAACAGGAGGCCAACATCTCAAAACATGATGCAAAATCAAATGAAGATAAAGGATCTGCTGACCCAGAGCTAGCAGTAGTAATAAATAAAACGGAAGAGGAGACAAAGGACTCTGCATCAGATTCCCCAGTCTTGAAGGGTGAAATTGCAATAAAAGAGAAGCCAGAGCCAGTTTCATCTCCTGATTTGAAGGAACAAGAAAATACTTTGATGGTGTCTGAGAATGTAGGAAGGCTTGAATCAACTATGATCAAGGTGGAGATGGTGAACAATGAAGCTCACAACAGCAGTGGTGTGTCAAGTTCAGATGATCCTCAGGAGAAAGAACTTGATGAAAAGGAATCATCGAGGAGTTCTGAACCCCACGAAAACTCAGGCAGCTCCTTGTCAGAGGTAGAGGATGTGAAAAATAAATCTTTAACCTTGAACTCCAGTGAGGGGAGGGGACTGCCAAATAAGAAACTATCTGCCTCTGCAGCTCCTTTTAATCCTTTGCCAGCTGTTGCACGTGCCATGCCCGTTACCATGAACATCACTCTCCCTTCTGCTCCTGGGGCTGTCCCCACTGTCGCACCTTGGCCAGTGAACATGGCACTCCATCCAGGGCCCACTACTGTGATGCCCACAGTTACTCCATTATGTTCCTCTCCTCACCAACATTATCCATCACCTCCTCCAACTCCGAACATGATGCAGCCCTTACCCTTTCTATATCCTCCTTATACTCAGCCTCAGCCAATACCCACCAGTACCTTTCCTGTGACGAGCAGTGCCTTTCACCACAATCACTTTGCCTGGCAGTGTAATATCAACCCCAATGTATCCGAATTTGTCCATCGACCAGTTTGGCCTGGATGTCATCCTATGGAATTCTCTATGCCATCACCTGTTGCTGAGCCTATCGCTGATTTCATGTTGGAGCAAAAAGTGCAGCCTGTTGAATCTGATACCTCAGATCCAGCTCCGGTTCTGCCTGTGGATATTGACAATGTGGAAGAATCTAAGGAAGAAGTAAATCCTCCAGCATTGGAGGTGGTGGATAGTACCAAAATAGTTGATTGTGTTGGATCAGAAGATGTCAAGGAAAATGGTCAATCAAATTCATTCAGGCGGGACAATCCCAGTATTTTGCAAAGTCATGAAGGTATGCAAAAAGAAAATGGCGGTGGAAGTGAAATAACTTGTGATGGTGAGAAAACCTTTAGCATATTGATCAGGGGAAGACGAAATCGGAAACAAACTCTGAGAATGCCAATTAGTTTGCTCACCAGGCCAAATGGGTCACAATCCTTCAAAGTAATATACAACAGAGTACTTAGAGGGAGTGAGGCTCCCAAGTCTGTAAGCTTTTCTTCAAGTGAAGCTTGTTCAGCTGCTGCTACATAACCTGGCTTTTTGAGTTCTTATAATGTGAGGCAGGATCCACGAGGGAAAAGAGTAGAAAATGGTGAGCTTTATTATTTTGGAAGCCAGAAAGGACGGGCAGTGTGGATTTTTTCTGGTTCACTCCAGTCATCCTGTCAGTTTCGTAATGAGGCCATCTTATGAAAAGATGAGGTTTGTTTTCTATCACCATGCCCCCTTCTCTGTGCCTGTGTGTTTTAAGAAACACTTCAATTGAATGTGCAGATTAAAATCAAGTACATGGATAAATGACTTTGCAATACTTCAAAAGTTCTCTTATTCATCCACTCAATCTTCTGTCATCACAGACTTGACTCTGCACACTAGATAACCACACCTGTAAATTGAGTTCATACCAATCGGACATGGATCAAAGTATTTTCTCCATCCAACTATAGTCTGGAGAGGGTTCAGAGTGTCTTAACAATATGCGAAAGGGTGTTGTTAGTGCACATACTTTTAAAATGCCCCTATTATGTTCTGTGGATGTGCCGCTTCAGTTGCATCTGGTAGGCAATTTCTATGCAGCAATGTTTTGTAGGGTGATAGTCTCTCCTGTATGTTTAAGTTTTTTGTGAGGTGGAGTCATCAAATTTTGGGATTTGGAAGCAAAATGTCGAAATATAGCAGACAATGTAGCGTGGATGTTTCGACCAAAAAAAAAAAATTGTAGTGTGGATGAGCTTTATATCTCTTTGTACATTAATCATTTTTTTTTCTCTCTGGCGTGCAGGTTCAAGAAGGGTTATTACTTTTTAAACTAGGAAATCCTTTTTGAGGTGACAGTTTTGGTCATTGTTGCTATTGCATTTTGACTTTTGATTTCGTAGCTTTTGAAGACAGATAAGAAGATAAAGTTTCCCATCCACGACAAGGGCTTCGATTAGTTTATTTGAGGCAAACTGTATATGACTTTGATATTCTTTCAGTAGGAATAGGCTATTGACAGAGTCGTTGAAGTTGATGCTGCTTATTAACTCTTGTCTAGAGAACATGGAAATAAAGCATATCTTCTGGCCTTGCTGGGCTTACTGAAATTCTTCTAGTGGAAGAAAAATCTTTCCTTCGATGAGTAACTGAGGTAATGAAAACAAGAGATGAATCATCTCTATCAGTTTGTCAATGAAGAACATGTCTTTCTGCGCATCCTTATTGAAGGGATAAGATGATAGAACACACAGACTCGCATCATTCAATCTCAGAACTAGCAGAAAGCAACGAGTTCTTGATTGTAATAAGTTCTTGATCTGGGTCTAAGAAAATATCTCAGAGTTGCACTTATCGAGTTCATGATTCTATGCCCCATCTCACACCTTTTCTTGAGATGTAAATGCATTTGCGCATGATTTTGCTTAGAAAATTATGATATTCATGACAGCATTATGAAGTTTAGTATAATATGCCTCCTCAATACAGAATCCATATGACGTATTAGTACATTTCTTTCACTCAATACTTGATAAGCAAAACAGTAAATACAATACTTATATAGTGGCAGTATGAACCTAGGCACAAGTTTGAATCGTTTTTACTTGTTAAGGAGAAAAGAAGGTAAAAGTTCAGGCCATCCCTCTTTCATCAGAATTCTTTCACAATTTCTTCTCTGGTGTTTTCAATTGATCCGGCGTTAGGCTTTTCCATGTTCTCTATACAGCGAACAGGGACTGTTGCTGGTGGAACAGCCAACCCCTGAATATTGGATCCTAGAACCCCCACTTCATCACATTGCGATGCTAATGACATTCGAAACCTCAGTCATGAATTCTTATGCGTGGATTGCTGCTCCAGCTTCTTGGCACCCTAAAAATATGTTCCTCGCCGCTCACCGCGTCAACCTTGACAATCCATCTGCTATTATTTTTGGTCCTCGCCGGCCCACCCTCGTCCACTTCATGATGATTTCCTCCACCCTTTCTGTCTTTCTTCTCCGGCTCGTCGTTCTTCTTGATCACAGTTACTTCCATGCCTTCCCCTATGGGATGTTTCGTCGACCTCACGGCAACTTTATTCGTCACACCCTTTACGTGTCCCTCCAATCCTTTTCTTTCACCCACCAAGTTGTTTGCCACCACCACCGACTTGCTAGGATTGACGTCCAGCAACTTGAGCAAGTCGGCATTGTCGTCTGAGTTGCAATCGACAAGAGAGAAGTCGATGTTCTTGTATTTAGGGAGTAGCTCAAAGGGGTTCCCAGTTTTGAATTCGACCATGTCTTTAAGACCCGTGTCTTTGATAACTCTCTTCGATTCGGCGAGCACCGGCTCCGGGACAATGCACACGAGCTTGCCTCCAGTCTGTCGGGCAGCAGCTGCCAAAGCAATCGTGGACGGGGACACATTAGAGGCGACCTCCACCATGAGTTTCGCCCTCATTCCTGCTGCCAAGGCCGAAATGAATTCGGTGCTCCCGAGCTCCTTGGTAACTGCTCTCCAGGGGTTGGATGGCCGTAGTCTACGCTCGCTACACTGCATATGGTTGTGCAAATAGAGTTAGCTCTAGCGCAATGCTTAGGTACATGACGACACAAATTGGTGGTGATGCGGAATATCATGGCTAAGATCGAGCTCGAAAGGAAATGACATCAAAAGATGGCCATTCACAAACTCTATGGTCGAGCGTTTCTGGGTTTGTCAGCTCGTAATAATAAGACCAATCAGTTCTTGGCATATTTCTACATTTTCATAGAAAGCTAAGAGCTAATGTCCATTGGTTGTCTTCTGAATGGTTGAAGACCTACCTTAAAAAAATTAAAATCCCGAAATACCCAGAAAAGAAACCTGAAAGAGATACATCCACAAGACATTCGATCCCTCAATAAGATCTTTCTTGTAAAAAATTCATGGATCATTCGAAGAGTCAATTTCATCGAGCAACAATTATCTGATTGAATGACATGCACCTTTCTTCTGCCCAAGAAGCAAAAAATTAAATGGAAATTAAAGAGGAAAAAGGAAAATAAAATACCAGCTTGAGGGTGTCAAGATAAGCTCCCTTAGCAGATGTTGCCGACCACTCCATCTCCAGGATTGTGTTTTGAACCTTCAAATTTTTTTCCCAGGAAAGAGAAAGTACATTTGCAGTTACCGATGATGAAATCAAGATTGAGACCACTGAATTCGTTTCTTAGTCCTCGGAAAAAATTCGACGCTGCTAAGGATTTCGATCCTACCTCGTTTTTCTTGGAATTTTTCTCTGTTTTATGAGGGGTTGGTCTTGTCTTTTGGGAGGCAAAATAGCAAATGCATTGTTCTTGTTATTATTCTGGGTTCACTTGGTTGGTATTAACGGCAACACGTATCCAGCAAAATACGTTAGTTAAAACCGTGGCCGCATTGGAGGGAAACAGACTCCTCTATATTTGGCATTACTCAATCACAGTTGAGAGCAACAAACTAATTGATAATCAAGAAACCAAAAGCATGCTAAGTTTGGAATTTCTTCTCCAGCTCATCACTGATGTTCCCGTTCTAATGCCTAGCCTGTTGCTGAAAGGATAAGAGCACCACCACTGAGGCCAGATAAGATAAGAACTAGTCCCTTGTTGTCAGTTATTACACATTGCTTACAGGCAATGTCGGTGTCGGGGGCTCTGACTCAGATAATTTGGAAATCTTGTTGCAGACGATGTTCGTGACTACGATGATGTTGCTCCTCTGGCTTGCTCCCTTTCCAAGACAGCATCCTTAGTGAGCTCGAGCGCTTTGACAATGTCATCGCATAGCCGATGAGGATCGGGTATAGTGCCTTCATCGACCGATAATACAAAAGTCATCTTGTTCACATAACTTTGGAAGTTTACCATCAAGCCCTGCGACATAGGGACATCTGGACTAATGTATCATGCTCCCCTTTACGAACTAATTTCATAACAGAGAGCAACCATGACTAGCTGGACGTGCATTGGAAAGCAATAAGATCATGACATATGGAAAAACATGGAGAGCTGATAATATGATATGAAAATTTTTGGGCAACAGAGATACGCACGTGCGGTTGGCCGTAACAACCCGGCGCTATGTAAGCCAATGGATGTCCACAGAAGCCTATCTCGTCCAGAGGTCCGACTAGATTTGAGAAGCACATTGTCGTATGAGTAATAACTCTGTGAGAGAGAGCGCTCGCTGCCTGCCCAACATGTGAAACCAATTTTACACTCGGGAGGACTCGAGACGACTTCGACACAATAAATAAATGAAAACTGGTCTGAACATTAGCAACTATTTGTTCTGTCGAAAGTATTCCTTTATAGCTGATCCATCGAATTTCTGTAACCATACCTTAATGCCGAAAATCTTGAGAACCACCTTGGCAATGGAGTAAGTAAATATAGCTTCAAGAGAGTGCTTCTTCCTATCGATGGTAGCCTTAGCTTCACGGACATAATCCAAAGGATTGCTATGCAATGCAATGGTGATGGGGACAAGGACATAGCCAATCCGATTTCCCCACTTAACTTCGGTGTCCTTCTCCATCATAGCAGCTAAAGCCTGCAAATTTAGTATGGCCGTGACAGATGAAACTACTCTCTTGCGTGAAAAGCTGAGTTATAATGGTATTTAACAAACATCGGCTGGGAAAAAAGATGCTGTAACCTGGATTCCTACGGATGGCCTCAAATTAATGAGCAGAGTCGACTTCAGGCGAATCTTCTTTGGAAGGTTATTTCCAATCTCAGTTGCTCGATGACTCTTCTTGGTTTCAGCTGCTCAATGAAAGATTATGATAATACAATTTTTTCTACAAAAATAAAGGCATCACACAGATATTTGTCCTACTTAAGTAAGGATACTGTGCTGGCTATATAAACCAAAATTGTCGGCAATATGAACGAACCTAGGAAACGATTATTTTTGCCTCTTGCTTAAGCTTAAATGCAGATTACAGGTGATGGATATAGTTCTTAGTCAGGGAGGCTGACCATATCTCCAGTTGAGATACCGGGATAAACCTGCCTGAGTAACCCCCAATGCGACATCATTCACCGTCTGCAAAATCCAAATTCATGATCAGAGGATGTACAAATTCTCCACCTCCTTCAGTCTACAAAGAGTATGGCTAGTGTAGGATCAGAGTCAAGCTCCTAGAACTCACGGCATTCATAGCATTCTTCACCATCTTAATATCCTCTAAACTCACAGTCCTGTACACAAACCGTCAAGGCATGAGTTCAACGCCTGGCGGACCCTCAATAGGACTCTCGCTGTCCTTTAAGAACAGCACAGTTGCCGCGAACATGATACCGCAGTATTCAACATCAGCACCAAGAACCAGGATACACCGAACAACCACCCCCAAATCCTGCCATAATCTCTCCAGTCTTTCTTTTCCTTACTCTTCTTCACTGGGATCGTAGGCAAAGCCTCAGGATCAGAGATTTGACGAGTACAAGCAAGCAATAAAGACATGAGAGAAGTCCCATCTCCGAGTGAGTGGTGGATCCTGAAAACTCCGACCGCCTCAGCATCGGAGGTTTTAACATTGAGGATGTGGATGTCCCACAGAGGCTGTGTCTTGCTTATGGTGGTTTTGCTGAGATTGGAGACATAATCCTTGACAAACTGGTCAGGTGAGTCCATTCCCAGTTCAATCTCTGGAATGATAATGTGCTTTTCCAAGTCCACATTTGTTGGAATCCATCTTAACTTTCCCCTTTCCTTTTCATCCTCAACCTGTCGTTTTTCAGAATTCCTAATCAAGAATTACTCAAACTACTTGAGTCTTGAATCTTGATCTAAAATTCAAGAACTAGAAACTCATGATTTATCACTAATGCATGTTGAGACTCCGAGAGACAGAGACAGAGACAGGGACATGGTTATCATAAAGCATGTTGCAGAGCAAAAGGTGAGCATCCCTGATTAAAATATCTTTTCTTTTATTGGTATATGTAATGACGAAGTAGAAAATACTAGGAAAAACTTATTTTGCATAATATTGCCCATATATGATGAATCAGTGATTTTCATGTCAAGAACTTGGAATTTAGAATATAAATAGCCTGCATAGTTACAATAAATACTTCTCATGCATGATAATACAATGAAAGGAAGTCACCTGCAAACTGGAGAAGCGGGGATGTTTGAGCAAAGTGTGGACGAGGTTAGACTTGATGACAGGAAGGTCGACTGGAGTCTTGCAGCCCATGATGGCTATTACGTACACATTGAAGTTTGGTTCATGGAACATCTGAGCTGATGGGCTAACAGGCTCTTCGTCCCCCGCAACTCCACTGCGTCCTTCATCTTCTTGTGTCTTGTCCAATCTCCCAGTTGTTTCGACTGGCTTAAGATTGGGTTTCACTTTCCTCCTCTTAAAACCTTCTTTGGGTGACATTTTGGGACCAAAACCGAGTTGTTTCCCTCTGTAAATGTTCAGCAAAACAAGAAAGTGCACACTTTGATCTTCGGAGAAGACCCTGCAAGCTTTGTTTCGCCGTGAGTCCAAAAGATATGTTTATGGGTCTTCCAAGGTTTCTGTTGAATGGTGAGAGGCTAATTCTTCCTATATCTTACAGAAGTTTCTCTTTCTGCTCCTGAGTCTTGACGTATGCAACGTAGAACAGCTTGTGCAAGTATCGTTTCGGTGTGTAACATTTTGTGTCACGTTTCTATACAATGGCAGATTAGAGCTGACACCTCATTACAAAATGTTGCCACCACAACACCCCAACCGATCACTGCTCTGCATGATCTGCTTGGTCTCTCTCTCTCTCTCTCTCTCTCTCTCTCTCTCTCTCACACGCGCACACACAAAACGTCACAGCCTCATCTCTTTCTTTTCTTCTGACTAGCGCTGCAGCAAGTTTGGTTGGATTGGACCTCAAGTGGGTGCATGCAGTGAGTGCTTAAGTTCCAACCAGAGTCCATCAAAGGTTCAAAGATAAAACTGTTCATAATCGACATTCTTCATTCATCAACAAACAGCATGTATCTACTCATTTTCAATAAAAGACGTAATCAAGAAATACTTTTCGATGCATTTAGCTCAGTTACTGCTCGAGGTAGACATCCTTCTGGAGCATTTCTACTTTCTTGGCAAATGGCAATTACATTAGCTAGGCACTAACAATAGGCCTCCACCCCATATATAATCTGGCGAAGTGGCCTGATCAGAATTTCTTTTTAAAGTCGTGGTCTGGCATCAGCCTTGCCATGTCCAACCTGAAATTTTTGGCACGGTCCAAAATCGAGAGAATGCAGAGTACAGTCCATTCTCATCCAGCCAATCATTTGAGCCTTTGGCATCCTAGATCTCTGTCCTGTGAATAGTAATCTAGTCTCAGATCCAATTCGACTTATGTTTGGCTTTCACCAAGAATAATGACTCGAATGGCTTTACAAAATCGATTCGCCCGATGTGCTAATTGGTGATCATATTCGTGCACGCGACAAGAGTTCATCAAATCACTTGGCAAATCAATTTCGCAAACTTGTGCTAATACCTTCATCATAGTCATCGATGAACTGATAGTGGGATCCTACCTTGGGGCACGAGGAATCATGGAAAAGCAAACCAAGAGCTGAATAGATAAAGTTGGGTTCTTGAACAGATTCGGCCCCCATTCTTAGAAAGACAAAAGTACTAGCTAGCCCATCCACATTTATCTTGGGCAAGCATTCGACCCATTTTGTCTTGGGCAAGCAAGCATTCTACTGGACGGAGTATCCAATGAACCTCATTGTTCAATATGAACTGGAGTGGGTTCTTCCGCATTCGGTTGGAACGAGAACTTTTGCAGTTGGACATATTGGTCTTTTGTTTTTGAACATTTCCTACCAACAGGAGTGGGCCACTCGGACTTGGGTACAAGTAACATACTAAAGCATATTCCTTTTACTAAAATATGCATCATTCCAGCTTTTTCCGGCGATGGCGTCCGCTACATGCCAGTTTCTTCTCCAGGCCGATCTCATTCCTCAGTTGGCACAAAAATGGCAGCACTTAGATTTGGCTTCCTGTGATGGTAAGGTCGTACCTTCTCTGCTTTCCTCGCTCTTCCCTTCTCTGAGATGCTGATTGAACTCCAGAGCAGAAGACCCTCTTATGGAGACTGCTGGTATCCTATTTAGACCATCGTTAACGCCTTTCACCTTCAATGCCATAAGCACTGTCCAAAAACCACTCGGTCCGAGGAACCACTCATTCTATAACTTTACTAGTTGCAGGAAACCCAGAACCTCTTCTGTCTCCGTTTCTTCTAAAACTCCTCCAGACGAAAAAAGTCCCGATTTTGATGGCAATAACACGACTTCCCCGTTGAGCCCCTCCTGGGTTTTGGTCAGAGCCTTCAAAAGCATCAAAGACTTTGCATATTTGTACACCCAGAAATTGGTTTCTAGGATACGAGAATATGATGAGTCGGAGGGGGTTGTAGACGGTTGTAGTGGTTGTGGATATTCACAAAATGGAGGGATAGGAATTGCTTTGCTAAGTTTGACTTACAGTGCCAAGGTCAAAATCAGTCCTTTCGTCGCAACATTAGCCGCGAACCCGACTTTTGTTTCGGGTTTTTTGGCTTGGTTTTTTGCTCAATCGGTGAAGGTGATACTGAATTTCTATGTGGAGAGAATATGGGATCTAAGGATTTTGTTTGCCTGTGGAGGCATGCCCTCTTCTCACTCGGCTTTGTGTACTGCTTTAACTACTTCAGTGGCGCTGTGTCATGGCATGACAGATTCATTGTTTCCAGTTTGCTTGGGTTTCAGTTTGATTGTTATGTATGATGCCATTGGTGTACGACGACATGCTGGCATGCAAGCTGAGGTGAAGTGTCTTTCTTGTTCTCTCTATTCTTGGTTCTACTCGTGGTATTGTTATTTAGTGAAGAGGTTCTAATCTTGTATCTTGATCCGCAGCAGTGTGGATATTTGGAAATGATACCTTGGTATGCTCAAGTTTCTTTTTTGTTACACTCTTCTTCTATTGATGGATCAATCATATGTGTTGCTTATTTGAGGAAATTGCTTAATCCAATCTTTGCCAGGACTTTTGGTGCCTTTTGGTGTAGAAATTTCCGCCATTGACTTTCTATGTGATGGGTTGGGCGTTTACCACATTGTACATAATTATCGCATAGCTTTTATCAAGCTTAATTTCTATAAAAATGCTTTTGGTGCTCTCTTCTCTTCGTTGCATAACTAGGCATTATATCAGAATACCACTTTTCTTCTTGCTTGACCAGCGATAGGCTTTTTGTAGTTAATAATCTGCAAATTTTAAGTGAAATGCGATACCATATGGTCTTTTCTAGCATTCACTTGGTTTTCCAAGATGAAAGATTGAAGATTATTAGTTCAAATTTCATCTGCTGTTTTTCGCCTTTTTATCTGTGTACATTGCTAGTTCATTGTGCTTTTTAATTCTGCGGTATAATGTTAGATGAGCTAATAGAATTAGGTTTCTACTAATCCAGGAGCCGTAAAACCTTTATCATGATGGTTCTCAAGCCTAAGCCCATGGAAGAGAAGTGAGTGATCATTTGTTTGCTGGCTAGAATTAGAAATATAGCAGATCAGACTGAACTCATTTTTTGGGTCTTGAACACCTGTTGCTGTTATGGCATCCATTGAGCTGTTTTTGGTCAAGTATCAGCAAGTCTATAGGCTAGTTGGACTTGAACAATAGCTTTGATGCTCTTTCATTCCATGGTGGATTATATGGCTTTTGGCCTTGGAGCATTACTGCTTCATAGGTAGATTTGGATTAGGAGTCCTTGTGAATATTTCATTTTCTTGCCACCGAAGAGTGGCGGAGTGAGCGAATTGGCTTGTACTTAGATAAAGATGCATATCTTCAGATTGACTACCTGCAATGGTGCTCATGTTCACTTTCAACAGCGGATCGAATCTGAACGCTTGAACTTAGAGGAGGATCTCTTGCATAGCTACATATAAATCATGAGTCCATGCATTTGTATCATGGCATTTCACTGTTTCTTCTGATTCACTGATTCGCAGACCGATTTTCTCCCTACATGGGATTTCTCTTTTAAGTTCCACCAACATGCAGATCTCGCCACACTTCATCATACATCAGAAAGATCTTGGTGGCATGCACGAATAATGTTCAGTTGTGCAATCTGTCTGATGTTTTAAATTGATGCTACAGCAGGTTTCACTGAAGTGTCACATTGTAGGCACACGCTGATTAATTCGGTATGATCCTGTCAGCTGATCACTTTGTCCCGTGTTTTTACAGGTTCTGAACATGATAGTCGAGGATTTGTTCCAAGGGCATCCTATTCGTAAACGAAAGCTCAAGGAACTGTTAGGCCACACGCCATCACAGGTCCTCGCAGGAGCTCTGCTCGGCTTTGTGGTCGCCTGTATCTGTCATCGGGCGTGCTTGGTTGCAGCCTGATCTATCGGAGAGCAACTTTTGTGGGATATAGAATTGATGGTCAGTTGATCTGCTTGTGCACTCGGTTCCTCTTCATGTACCATCAGGTCAATGCAACATATCACGCTTCATCAATAACCAAAATTTGATTCTTCTATTGGTGAGACATTCTCCTATATTGAGCAAGCAATTGAGCAAGTGAAGATGACCGTTTCAACACAGAGTGGCATTGAAAAGGGGCTTCCTTCTGTCTGTCTTTTCTTGCTCTGAACGTGGAAAATTCGGCCACGGCCGGCTCGGTTCCACCAAAAACAATAACCAAAACCAAATGAGTCCATGAATCAGCAGCACTCAAAGCCCAGTTAGACATGATGTAATGGGTGACGTATCAAAAACAAGAGTCATCCCAACATGTTCCACAACATGGAGGTCAATCTAAGCTGCTTCCTGATGGGTTTCTGCAGTCGTTAGGACCATCAATTGCTTGTTAAAGAGTCTCTGGTCTTGTACAATCTAGTTAACCATGCATTACAAATCGGTGCGAGATGATATCATCGCCAGCGAGTCGCTCTAACTTAGCCCCAAAAAGAAGGGGAATTTGCTCGTTCTCTTGATCAGCAGCTTCGTCATATGATCATATGATTCAACATTAGGCCAAAACAAAAATGATCGATTACCCATTTGGAGAAATTAACATAATACAGACAATTGCCATTTACTGATCTATATTGAAAAGCTCTTTTAGAAGCCTCGTACATGAGGTCATTGCTGGTTAGGGGCGAGCACCGGAACTGGACCAACCCAAACATAATCAGCCAGTTTTGGGCGATTTCCGGTTCCAAATTGTCGGTCCGGTTCCCTATTCCAGGTGTGCATCCAACCACCCGGATCGGATCGATGCTTTTTTTTTGTTAGCAAATTAATGATACTTGATCATATTTTATTACACATTTAGCTTCTTTCCATTGAAATTTTCATTGATTAAAGATTCAAAACACTAAAGTATAAAAGTTTAGATAATGCAGCAACACTTGGAATCTTGAAGAGAATAGAAAACAAAAAAATCACCACCGGTTTCAAGACCAAGTGGGCCGATTCCCAATTCCACGAGTTGGGAACCGACCCTTTTAGTTCTCAGTTCCTAATTTCAAGATGAGAATCAACCCACCCTCGAACCCATCACCGCAATCACCCCTGTTTACAAACGGGGAAGAAGGCTCTTTCTTTGGCTAGTCAAGGCCAATTAACAAAAGCTGGCAGCATCGAATCTGATTGGTGCGCAATAATCAACTTCCCTTATTGAATTAGCTCCTAAACTTTCAAACCGACCGTCCCAATTTTTTTAATAATTGCTCATAAAATAAGAAGAAAGATCAAACAGTGCACGGGTGTCCACGTCAGCTGAGCCCCCGCAGGACAGAATGGTAAGGGGATCATTTTTCATTACATGAAAGAATAATGACACGAACAGTCCCGAACTTTAACTTAATATGCAATTTAGTTCTTGAACTTTTAATTTATTAAATGTAGTCTCTAAACTTTAGTCTAATATTCAATATAGTCCCTGAACTTTAAATTTGTTCATGTGATCCCTGAACTTTTGGTAAATATTTAATTTAGTCTCTGAACTATCTGAAAATGTACTGTATAGTCCCTGAACTTGAATTAATGGAATGACTATATTAAGTATTTTTATAAAGTTAAGAGACTAAATTGAATATGTATCAAAAATTTAAAAAATATATTAAATATTAAGTTAAAATTTATGAATTATATTAAATAAATTAAAAGTTCAGACATCAAATTTAGTTAAGTTCGGTACTGCTTGTGTCATTTTCCGTTCCATCATCAATGGCAAAAAGTCTGGTCAAAAGGCGCAATAAAGTCGCATCTTTCTACGCGGTACCTGCTAAGGCCGCCACCTCCTCCCTACACGCCTTCTCCTTCGCCCTTCTCCTTCTCTCTCTTCTTTCTCTCTCCTCCGTTTTCGCAGGCCATCGTGAACCAAGGAAAAGCCGTCAACGCCCAACATCTAGATCGCTTGTTGTTAGGGGGGTTCTGCTAAATTCGGCGTGTGTTTTAAGCGGAGCCTCCTCGTTGCTTTTCCCTTCGGTTCTTCCTCTCCGGTAAGAATCCTGTTTTGTGCGTCTCTCTCTCTCTCTCTCTCTCTCTCTCCGGTGCGCGTCGGTTCGTGTCCCTTGATGTTCTCCTGATCTTAGCGGCTTGCTGAGGTCTTCCGGGTCCATTTGCGGTTGTGAAACGAAGCTGTGAAGGTTGGAAATTTGGCCTCTGTTGTTGGATCTGCGGAAAAGGTTTCGTTTTTCTGCGTCTCTTCCTTATTGGGTATTTGCCCCTTTTGGCCGCTGCGCGTCCCGATGGATGAAGAATGAATTTCTGGGATAGATTGTAGCTCCTCTGCCTCTTTCTTTCGTCCTTGCTCTTGTGTAGGTTTCTTAGGTTCGAATTTGGTCGATATTTTGATCATCTGAGCTTGATCGGATGATCAGATTATAAATTATGGTGATTTCCATGGAGTTGTAAGGGAGAAACTTTGTGTAAGTCGATTTAAAGCGTAAAGCTTTATTTAGACTCTTCGACCGTAGACAAAAGTGTTGGCAAGATGTCATCCGCCGGTGTTGCGGTGAGTCTTATCCGCAGTGACTCTTTCGTCTTCCCGAATCTGTTTGATTCCCAATGGAGTGTGCCCACCGAAGAGCCGATATTGGTTTACGTCGCTGTCTCTGGCTCGATGATACCCATGCGGGTGCTAGAGACCGATTCGATTGAGTCCGTGAAACTGCGGATCCAATGCTGTAAAGGCTTTGTCGTGAGGAATCAGAAGTTGGTCTGTGGAGGCCGAGAACTCTCGAGGAATAATTCTCTAGTTCGGGACTATGGTGTGGAGGATGGGAATGTGCTGCATTTGGTTCTCAGGCTTTCAGATCTCCAGGTCATCCATGTGAGGACGACATGTGGGAAGGAATTCACTTTCCATGTGGAGCGGAGCAAGGATGTTGGGTATGTCAAGCAACAGATCGCTAAGAAAGCTAGAGGTCTCATTGACTCTGATGAGCAGGAAGTTGTTTGTAATGGAGAGAGAGTCGAAGATCAGAGACTTATTGAGGATATCTCTAAGCAAAACGGCGCGGTGATACATTTGCTGTTTCGGAAATCTGCTAAGGTTAGGCCTAGGCCTGTTGAGAAGAACTTTGAATTGTCTATTGTAGCAACAGAATTGAATGATAGGAGAAAGTATGATGCTGGCAAAGAGAATGACCAGACACAAGGTGGTGTTAGGGAAGAGTGCTACAGGAAAGAGGGTGAATTTGATACAGATGTGGTCACAGGGAAGTCTCCAGAGAAAAAATTCTACTTGGAGCCAATTCTTGTTAACCCCAAAATTGAATTGTCTTCTTTCATCTGGGATATGATCAACTCATCTTTTGAGGGACTGGAATGTGGGTATCAGCCAGTAAGGTCCATGGAGGGTACAGGAGGAGCTTACTTCATGCTAGATTCGTTTGGGCAGAAGTATGTTTCTGTTTTTAAGCCAATTGATGAGGAACCCATGGCTATCAACAACCCTAATGGTTTGCCTTTGTCTGAAAATGGTGAAGGACTAAAAAAGGGTACAAAGGTTGGAGAAGGAGCCTTTAGAGAAGTTGCGGCTTACCTATTGGATCATCCAAAGACTGGGCACCGCACGTTATATGGCGATGCAGAAGGTTTTGCTGGAGTTCTGCCTACTGTAATGGTCAAGTGTTTGAATACAGGATTTAACCATCCAAACAATGTAAGTATGAAGATTGGGTCCTTGCAAATGTTCATGGAGAATAAGGGCAGTTGTGAGGACATGGGACCTGGGGTGTTTCCTGTGAATGAAGTCCACAAAATCTCTGTTTTGGACATAAGATTGGCTAATGCAGATCGGCATGCTGGAAATATTCTCTTGAGTAAAGAGGGAGCCAGTGGCCAACCACTGTTGATTCCAATCGATCACGGATACTGCTTACCTGAAAGTGTAAGTACTCTCAACCTCTACCATCCTTGAAATTGCCATCTAATTTAAAATAATATGCACTTGGCCATCTGGTTCTTTGTTACATATGCCACTATAGTAAGATGCAATAGATAGGTGCTTGTGCTTGACATTCATTAAACCAAGTTACCATGTAGCAATTGATAAAAGAGCCCGATAGATTAACATCTAGATGAAATTAATCAGGTATTGTATCATTAGTCTGGGTAGTAGCATTCAACTAAGATTTGGTGCAACTTTTAACTTGTGGTTCTGCAAATTATGCTTGAAACTCAAGTGCCTTTCATAGTAAATTTTTTTAACCTCCTTAATTTGTTTCTTTTCCAAATACTGGGTGTATACTTTCGAGGTCGTAAATGTTGAATGATCGTAGTTCTCAACTTGTAGTCACTGATCTTGCCAGGTAGTTTCGTTCATTACTGGAATATATAAAGAGAGAGCAAGTACTTTATGCTATCCCCTTAGTATCCCAAAGGGATTAGTTGAATTCACACCTTTCTCTAATTTATGCTAATCCAGCTTTCTTGATTCTTCATTCACTCATATATAAATTTCTTGCCTCCACCTACAGTTTGAAGATTGCACATTTGATTGGCTGTACTGGCCACAAGCTCGCCAGCCTTACTCCCGTGAGACAATTGACTACATAAGATCTTTAGATGCTGAAGAAGATATTGCCCTTCTGAAATTCCATGGCTGGGACCTTTCCATTAGATGTGCCCGTGTACTCCGCATCTCAACAATGCTGCTGAAAAAGGGAGTAGAAAGATGCCTCACTCCCTTTGCAATTGGGAGCATCATGTGCAGAGAGACCTTGAATAGGTGGTCCATCATTGAGGAGATTGTTCAGGAAGCAGAAGAAACTTTGCTCCCTGATAGCAGCGAATCTGCGTTTCTTGATGCTGTATCCCAAGTGATGGATTGCTACCTCGACGAGATTGCCGGTCATCATCCCGGATACTCGAGTAGTTGTTGATATGTACTGACCATACGACGTTGTACATATGTATGTACATGAGGACAAGAGGGTCCTTTCATCGTTTACTTGTAACCGTTTGTTTCACGGTTCTTTCGTACTTCTTTTGTTTCACTGTAAGTGCACACAGTTCGTGTCCTTGAACTGTAGGTTAGGTGCTGACTAAGATTCTTTGTCATTAACTGATTCATTGCTTTCTGGAGTCATATCTATTATGTCTCTTTTAATTTTGGCCAATATCGACGTTCTGTTGAATAGATTTTTCGGCAGATGCCGCAGACATGCATCCAAGGCGGGCATGGGATGTGTTTTAGAGATGGCCGGATGTACTAAAATGTGGCCGTTGCTGTTGTGTAGTGCTGAATCGGCATGTCACGTTTGATACCTGTTTTCAATTCGTGCTGGCAATTGAAATGTCATGAACTATTCATATCGTGTTCAAGCCCATCTAACTTTGTCAGTTCTGCTACTTTTTATGCTATTAAAACAGTACTGATGCTACTAGACAGCATTGGGTCTGTGTTTCACCATTTCACTTATTTTAAATGCATTCAGATTTTCAAGCGGTTGTCCAAGTTTTGGCTCAACTTTCAGTTAGGCTTATTTGCACAGCCTCGAAGGGTGCACAATGCAGACTTTCAGGCCATCGCACCTGTAGAAATTTCAAGGGTCCCAGACACAATCATTAAATAGAGAACACTTCATGGTAGAGATTACCTTGAGCACAACATGATATTTGGTTATATATCATGCCCTACAAATTGGAAAGCAGAGGTGTTCGGACAGTCTACTCCCCATCCTTGGAAAGTATATGAATTGCGGCCTATCCCTTGTAGCATGTAAGCACACAAGGATCGCAAGGATAAATTTCTGATTCTGAAGATTCAGAAAAGGTTTTAGTCATGAATTTTAGGTTAGGTCTTTAGAAGGAACCGAGAGCAACGTGACATCCTCTTTTACCCACCGTTTCGCATAAATCTTCTGGAGGTATTGCTGTCAAGATATCTCAAGATTGACCAAATCATATGTAAGACTCCCCGAATGAAACAAACAACACATTCAGTTCAAAACATCAACGACTTCACTTCACGCATGGAGGAGAGTGACACAAACAAACTAGAAACTCGATGGATATATTGTAGTTACACAGTCAGCTTTATTTGTACACTCAAACTTAGCCAAAAGGCTGAGAAAGTATGGTTATGTTCACGCAGCTAGTTAGTCTACACTGGCTATGTTCTCACTCAAATGGCAAAACTGCACTGCAAGGCGAGATCTTCTTCCCTTCATGAAGAATCTGGCAGATCCAACCAAATGTAACGCTGTTGAAGCAAAAAGACGGAGAATTCATGCATACATAAGGTCCACAAAGTAGACTCCACCTTATCCAAACAACATTCTGCAGCACCCAAGGACGGCGACCCAATATTTCGAGCTCTCCACATGTGGTAATTGATACAATTCTAAGCCATCAGCACGAGAATCTTCCTTTAAGGATGTAGAGTTAATGCTAGTTTCAGTCAGATACCATCTTCAAAGCAAAAAAAACTCTAGTCATAACTTCAAACGAATCAGACCTCCGATGCAGAGGAAGCACGCGTGTGCAGTGCAACCAATTTTGCGCTTGAATTGGCAAAGGTCATACAGACAAATAATGGACTGGTTAGCAGATTAGCTGTGTCTTGATGAGGTGGCTCAGGAATGACTGACGCGACAATCAAACTCCTGAATAAACACAGAATTTCAGGCAGCCAGAACCCTGCAAATGAGCTGTAGCGGCTGTGGATTCCATAAATGAATATTCGCGGTCATTATGTGTCACTCAACTCTCATCTGTAGAAAAAGCAGTTCACTTTGTTTTCTTATTACGGCTCGGTTTCTTTCTTGCTCTCTTTAATCTTCTCCTGAGAAAGGAAATAAGAATCGCAGATGAAATGCTTCAAAAAACATAATATATTATCAGATTATGTAGCAATAAAAAAAAAATTTGTGGTGAACCTACTGTACTGCTCAATATGCTACATAGGACCAAAAGGACTACAAAACCTCCAAAAGCTGAATGTAATTGAAGTAGCAGTGCCTTAATGCCAAAGATCCGAAACCAGCTTTGCTAATATGCAAAACAAACAGAAATTACCTCTTAGAGGGTTTACTGTTGCCACCAAACACGCCCTTCATCAATGCACCTATATCCACAGAACGTTCTTGCATGATCTGATCATGGTATATCTTGCTCCCAATCTCAGTAATTTGTTCTTCCACTTCCTCCAGTGGTTGATCCACATTTAACTGGATCTCTCCTTTTCTGACAACAGTTACACCGAAGCCATTCGCTTTGGCTTCTCGAAAAGCATCCTGAAAATGTAAAGCAGTTACAGTTCCTCAACAGATGATGACGCCACGCACCTCAATACAGTTCAAACAAAAGGATGTACTTTGTTATTACATTCGGGATACACGAAAGGAAAAAGTGACCTTGGGTGGGAGAGGAACAATGAATGCTTGACCATTTCCAAGCATGTCCATGTGAGCTTGCATGATGTAGCACAGGTTCTTGCAATCACCAGCATCTTCAAAAGCAATTACATGATGTGGCTTCGGTTCCAATTCAAGATCTGCAGCCATCTCCAGTGAGTAGAACCCAACTTTCTGCTCCCCATCTTGATGCGTATATAATTCAATGCACTGGAAAAACAAGCAGAGAAAAGCACTTTTATTACTAAATACTTCCTGCCAAAATTGAAAGAGAACCATACATACTTTTATGGAGGGTTCGTTGTCCCCTCTCGAAAAGATTAATCTTTAATATAATAATATAACAGAACAGCAACATCTTGTGATACACAATATTCCAAAAATCATCAAAAGCAAACTCAGTTTACAGGCATCACAAAATCTCATGGTAACAGATATCCTGAACGAAGGCTCAATGTCCAAAATCCGGTATTTCAAATTACAGATGTCATAAAAGATAAGTAGTGCTGGTTTTTGAAAGTATCCATTCATAGATTTTTAAAAATTCATTTAAAAAACTGGGGATTTTATGGACTGTGGAACTCGAAATTTGGCATATCACAGGCTATTAATTAGATATACAACAGTGGAATGAAAGTGACGAAGTGATACTGTTTGGAGCACTATGCTCCACCTCACAAAGACTTTCCATACCCTGTATTAAGATTCTAAGGATTAGCAGCACTGATATAATCGGAGAAGCAATAGGAGAATCCGAGTCCTACCAATACATGTGGAAGATCTAGCCACCATAAGTAATCTTCGTCCTTGTCTTCTGCATACTCTCGATATTTGCTTACTACAGCTTGAGGTCCAAACAATTCCATCTCTCTTTTGAGTTTGTTAAGTTTTTTCCCTATATATTCCTTATTTCTCTTGGGTAATTTATCCATTAGTTCAGCAGCTTCCTGTATTTCCTTTTCAGTGATCCACCGATCCAGATCCTTCCCTATATCCTTCATAACAGATTTAACTTCTGGGTCCCTCTCTGCATTGTAAGAATCCAAAAATCCTCGAGACCACTTTTTTGTATGTTGCCAGTACTCCTTTCCTGATTTTTTACCAGTTCTAACAGAACCATCACTGCCTTCTATGAGGATCTTGGTCATTTTAGGATCCTCACTCTGAATGTTATTTACACTGTTGACTGCTAAGGAAGATGGAGTATTCTCATTCCCTTGGGATCCAGCAGATTTCTCAACTAAATTCTTTTCATCCTTCTTTATAAGAGGTGATACTTGAGCTTCTCCAGTCATTGATGCCTTCTTTTCCTTCAGATGTCTATTGACAAAGTCGGGTTTCCTTTCCACTGGAGGCTCTTTCCAGCGAGGAATAATCTTTTCCACTGGATCATATATGCTGATGCCATCTAAGGAAGAGGAAGAAAGAAGTTATCATCCAAACTTAAATACATGTGAACAGTAGTGATGGCAGCAGTCAATAAAGCCCTAACAGTTTGATGGAAAACCAAAACAGGATATTACAGGATTTTCTCTTTTTCTTTTTCAAAAAAATATGCAAAGGTACTATTCTAAAGCTCTCACGAATCCTAATGTTGCATGCTCATAAATAATATCTGCTAGTCCTCTTCATAATATAGACGTACAAATGCAAAAGCTGAAATGTAGACCAATGACTACCTGCTCCATAGTCAAGATTTTCGATGTTAGAATGGAGGTACTCGTGAACTTTTAATAGCTCTTCATTCACTTTCTCAACTTTCTTCTCGAGACCCGCAAAGAAAGCACGCTTATCTTCAGCATCCATGGCATAAAATGGATCCTTCCCGGTCAATTCATTATCCCGAACTTGAAAAACAATTTCCCGAAGATTATCATCTTTCATCCACTCAAGTTCACCATTATCTTCATCGAGGTGAAGCTGAGTCAAGTCGATACTGGCATTTAAAGGCTGATTTACTTTCTCTCTTGCAATCATGTAATTATTCCTAAATCCATCCCCAATCTTCCCCAGAATAGGTTCAACCACATTAAAATTTTCCTCAATCCAGTTTTGAGATTTTTTAGATGTATCAGCCTCAGCAGTCGAGCTATTAGCTTCATGTTTCTGCCAAGTCAACGGATTGCGGACATCATATGCTCCATGTTCTTCACCATGGCTTGCCAAATTATCAACCATTTCTGGAATAGATTCTAATTCCTCAGCAATCATATCTCCGTGGATGTTAGCATTCACCGTCGAAGAATCAGGTGTTTCTCCAGACATGCCAACGCTAGCTGATTGCTCGACTATGTTGGTTGTCTCTCTTAAATTGCTGTTAATCTCACTCTCTCCCAGATCCACCTCTTTAGCATCTTCATTACCTTCTCGTGTACCAGGTTTGTCAGAAAGATACTCCCTAGCTTCTTTCACTGACCGAATGATCTTAGGTTTCCTTCTGACTGCATTTCCTCGGTGTACTTCACAAACAAGAGTATCTAAGGACTGGATTTCGCATGCATTGGTCAGATCTGATATGCACTTGGTAGCTTTGTCTTGCCTGCCGCTTCCAATATCACTATAATCTCCGATGGCTGAAACACTAGAGGCTCTGATATCTCCATTTCCTTCTGCCAATGATTCACTACGGGATCCATCCCAATCACTTTCTGGTTCAGTTGTTGATATCACATGAGATTCATTAGCTGGCATGCTCCCTCCGGCATGTGCATGATGGTTAACTGGAGAACTTACTCCATCTTCATCATGTTGCTCGATCAACTCCTTTACGGTGGATAATGACTCCTCCTTTCCCTGCTTCTCTCCTTCATAACCTTCAATTAGAGAACTATCTCGACCCTCGGTTTCCCTAGCTCTTTTAGCCAGTTCTCTTATTTCCTTAATTTTACCATCAAATCCAACAGCTAAGCCATCCAGGAGATTAGAACGGTCCAGGTTGGGCTCTGCCAATTCACTGCTCGAAGTCTTCGATTGCCGGATACTGGCTACAAGCGCATGCTTATCTAGGTGAGGCCTTGGCATTAGAATATTTGGCGTTTCCGAAGCTTCTGTAACAATCTCCATATGCCCCTTCTCCAAAATTTCCTTCTCCTTTCTCGCCTTCATCTTCCTCCTCATCATTTCCTTCTCCAGTTGTGTGTATTGCACCTCCCGCTTGCGGAAAGTGAAAATCCACTTGATCGCGCTTAACACAAAGACACCACACAAGACCATGGTCCCAGCTCCCAACACTTTAGGCCTCAAAGCAGAATGCAACGGAAGATTCGGAACGGTGCTAACGGAGCCACATTCTGCATCCGCAGCAACAAATTTAGCCACCGAGCTGTTCCTTGGAATCACATTGCTCCCACTCTCCATCTCCCTAGCTAAACCCCTAGCGCGGGCCACCTTCGAATTCACTTCATTCGAGTCCCCGTGCTCCGGCAAGACCACTCTGCTTCTTCTCAATACCTCCTCCTCGTCAACCGCGACACGCTTGACATTCCCATCGGGGTCTTGAAACACCGTAAATACAGGAGCCGAACCAACCCCCCACAAATCGAGATCACTCTTATACTGATCGACCCAATTCTCCAATCTACTCCACAACACCGATTCACCCAACACCCCGCGTTTAGATTCTACCAGACCACCCACTCCGCTCTCGACGAAACCATCATTCTCGAGAACGCCGCCAAAGGAGGGAGCTCGAGCATCGGATTCGGGGCCCAAATGAGCGAAGTCGGGACGCACCTTTCGGTCGCGGAGGAGCTTCTCCCTGAGGCGGTTCCGGCGCCGCCCGGCTCGACGGCCCGGCAGAGCCGCGACCGGCGGGTGCCCGGCGCTGCAGAAGGGTGTGCGGCGAGGCGGGGAGGGGGCTCCCCTGCGGAATCGGGAGATGGGTACTCGGAGAGTGCGCGGCGGGTTGCGGTTCCAACTCGGGATCGACAGTTTGGGGACGAAGAGCGGTGCCGCGGAGGAAGCGGCGGCCGGAGTTCTGAGGAACGGGAGCGGAGAGTCCATCGGCACCGCCGTGAAGGGGTTTTGCGGCATGGATGATGAGGTGGGAACACCGCTAAAACCCCACTGATAAGTCCGTTGGAGCCTGTCTCTCTTTTTTTTTCCAATAAAAATTTGCATAAAAAATGGGACATCTTTAACCTAAAAAAGTTTTGATTCAATAAATAATCTAAAAATGTTACAAAAGCCATCAAAAATCATAAATCATATCCACCGTGACACGATTACTTTAAAAAAAATTCCTGTGACTCTAAAAATCTCAAATTTGTACATGTGTGACATATTAACCTCTGTCAAAATTTTGCTGATAAGAACTGTTAAAAATCTGCCTTCGTGGACATCAGAAAGCAAACGGTGTTGACATGACACTCGACTTAAGTGAAATAAAAACGGCATCGTATGTTTAGGGGAAACGTGTCACATATGTTTAGATTTGGATTTTTTACGTCACAAGAAAAAATTTAGGAGAAATGTGTCACATATGTATAAGTTTGAGGTTTTTTACGTCACAAGATAAAGTTTAGGGGAAATGTGTCACAGTAAGCATATGGGATTTTGACGTGACAAAAAAAAGTGCAGAGTAAATGTGCCACAGTAAGCATAATTTGGCATTTGTTTGGCTTTTTCCTTCTAAAAAATTATCTCTTGAACGCTTTATATGGTTACATTAACCGTAAAAAAAATCATCCTTAAATACCCAACCGAATTTTAAAACATATAATTCTCTTATGCAATGTCTTACTCATATGGGTTTTGGATCATCAACAGGATTAAACACGTCATTTGAAAGGGTCTAATTAGTTATGTAGATTGGATTCGGTGAATAAGAAAATTTACAAAAAGAGGAGAATATCATTGAAAGCTTATAAAAATGCGCGTAATATGCCTAGTGAGTATTGAAATTTGAAGAGACGACGATAACGGCAACAGCAACAAACAAGTGTTGCCTGTAGTGAGGTCGGCTATATGAATCCTACAAGACTATTAGGTTCGATTAATTCTTAGTTTTTTTTTTTTTGTCGGAGTTGGCTTCACACGAGGTTCACATAACTGCACAAAGTTTCTTTTGAGGAGTTAAAGAGGCACCATCTCGGTTATACAAATCTTATGATGCATTAAATATCAGGTTAAGTAATTAGTTGATTCAAACTGACATGCGCGACTCTTTTCGGAAAAATGAAGGGTCAATCACGACCTTCTTGATAGGTTTATCCCCTCACTTTTTCCCATGGCGTAGCGAGAATAAGAAACAAGAGGAAAGAGGCAATGATGCCATGATCCATTCCATTGACTATTAAGCTATAGATAAACCTGAGCGAAGATCTTTTTTTTTTTTTTTGGATAACCCAGGGAACCCGCACGGCCGACAGCCTTTTTTTTTTTCTCTTTTTGGCGTTTTTCTGCCTTTATTTTACGTTGGGAGAGGATTTGTTTTTTTGGAGAGTTTGCCCGGGGGGGGGGGGTTTCCCGGGGGAAGATCTTTGGTTTCTCGTGGTGGAAAAAAAGCTAAATCAATGATGATATAAGCTGTTCATTCTTAGTTCTCTTCTCTTGCATCAATATATCATACATCGAGAATATAGCATTATCCAAGCGTGCACAAAGATGATCCGTGCTACGGTTGGTCAAACCATAACAATTCACTTTCTTTAAATTTTGCCAAGTACACTGAATTCAGTTTGCAGTTGAGCTGATCGTCGACTGGGTTGGACCGGACATGACCGGGCCGGGCTCTTGGGGTAGGTATAAGTTACTGCTTGTGTGCTATCACAAATAATTTATGTACAAATAAGTCGGATCGGGTCTAAGCCGACCTTTCTAACATAATAGCATCATCCAAACCCGCACAAAGATGCTCTTCGAGCCCGTTTTTCTTGGGCAGGCCCATGACCCGTTTGTGTGTGTGTGTGTGTGGGGGGGGGGGGGGGGTGTGATATGCCACTTAATTTTAAGAAGTATATTCTATTAAACCACGATAGCATATTCTCATAACACATAGAATTGGACGGTTAAACATTAAACACGTGCACCGATCGATCGAGCACAGCAGAGATGAGAATGCCTCGTTGGACAGACGGCGGGGCAAGGGAGGACAAGATTAGAGATGAATCGATTTCGAAAGACGAGAAAAGTTTATTCGAGATTGATTTGGTCCCATTTGAAAATGTACGAAACGGGTTCATTGTATGTTATCCACAAATGCGGCAGAGACAGAGGAACGTGGTACGGATTTCACACGAGATTTCTCTCTTGTGAACATGGACTGGCACAGCACACCACATGGCAAAGCAAGGCGTGGATCTTCTCATAGAATTACGTGGGGCAATCCAGTCCGTGTTGTTTAAGATTGCTTTCTGAGTCCGCCTTTTTTAGACAAGCACAAACAGGTTTTCTGGTCTCCCATTGCAGAACATGGGGCTCTTGAGTCACTTCATGTGACAAGATATTGTTTTCTCATGCTTTTCCTTCTCCGTGGCTTGATTATGAAATTGGGTTTGTCCAATGTACACTAGTCAAGTCATGTGCGGTGAGTAATCACGTGAGAAATTCCTCCATATGTCGGTGTTATAGTTTCTTGCAAATCGAGGCATGCCAGGGAAGGTATTACCAAACTCTCTACATGTGAGAGCATCAAGTTTCAACGACGTTAAAGTGTCACACGCCATTGGTCTCCTCCATTGATTGGCTCAAGCTTTTGAGTTTGGACATTTGAACGTGGTATCTTAGCCGGATCTTGCTTGAATGATCTCCGTTTGTCGAATCCCGTGTGTGCTTTCCTAATCCTTTCTCAACATACAAGCGATCTCCCTCCACATCGCCACCACAGACGAAACCCGGTGGCAGTCTTCGAGGATTGAGATGCACAAGAAGCGGAGGAAGCACGTGATTTCATGGATGAAGCTTCCACCACAAATTTGTCAATTAAGCTCTACTTATTATCGTGACGGGTGATCATGATGACCCTTTGTTGTGCAAAAGCAGAGCAAAGAGCATGAGCATAATACCTCTAATGATGACCACACCACACCTCTCATGGCGCTCGAGGTCAACCACATCGATGCATCCCCACTAGACACGGAGTTACCGGTCTCCTCCATTGATGGGCTCAAGCTTTTGGGTTTGGACATTTGAACGTGGTATCTTAGCCAGATCTTGCTTGAATGATCTCCGTTTGTCGAATCCCGTGTGTGCTTTCCTAATCCGTTCTCAACATACAAGCGATCTCCCTCCACATCAGCCACAGCCCGAAACCTGGTGGCAGTCTTCGAGGATTGAGATGCACAAGAAGCGGAGGAAGCACGTGATTTCATGGATGAAGCTTCCACCACAAATTTGTCAATTAAGCTCTACTTACTACCGTGATGGGTGATCATGATGACCCTTTGTTGTGCAAAAGCAGAGCAAAGAGCATGAGCATAATGCCTCTCATGATGACCACACCACACCTCTCGTGGCGCTCGAGGTCAACCGCATCGATGCATCCCCCCTAGACACACACGGAGTTACCGGTCTCCTCCATTGATGGGCTCAAGCTTTTGGGTTTGGACATTTGAACGTGGTATCTTAGCCAGATCTTGCTTGAATGATCTCCGTTTGTCGAATCCCGTGTGTGCTTTCATAATCCGTTTTCAACATACAAGCGATCTCCCTCCACATCAGCCACAGCCCGAAACCTGGTGACAGTCTTCAAGAATTGAGATGCACAAGAAGCGGAGGAAGCACGTGATTTCATGGATGAAGCTTCCACCACAAATTTGTCAATTAAGCTCTACTTATTACCGTGACGGGTGATCATGATGACCCTTTGTTGTGCAAAAGCAGAGCAAAGAGCATGAGCATAATGCCTCTCATCATGACCACACCACACCTCTCATGGCGCTCGAGGTCAACCGCATCGACGCATCCCCCCCTAGACACGGAGTTACCCATCGCTCATCCCAAACAAAAGCGAGAGTAAAAGCACGGGACTAATCATCATCCTCTGCACAGCACTCCCATCACCACCACCAAATGAATCGGCAGGACACATGTGCCAAGACCCACCTGTCGTTCTCGAGCCGGTGGCGTTAGCTCGTCTCCACGAATGGAGAGAAGTTAGGCCGAAAACACGTCTGAACAACAGCGCCCGTCTTGTCCGCGATCCACGTGAGCGATCAGGATGCATTTGCATCACGCAGCGGATTGCGCACGGCAACGGGCAGGAGGCAGTCGCTTTCGCTCGCCAATTATTGCGTCTGAAATCTAATCTACCCATAGATCTCAACGCCTCGCCGTAATCCAATTGACGAGATCGAGCTGAGTGCCGACAATCTTCTAGTCGCAAGACCGTACAGTACAGCCCGCATAATGGGGAATGTTAAGAGAAAAGATGAATTTGCTAAGCAGGTTATCGAAAAATATTTGCTTTGCCAGCTTAATTCATATAATCATAACACGACAAACTGAAACAGTTTCTCGATTTAAAAAATAAAAAAAAACAGGGGAGAAAAAAGAGGAAAAAAAACTTTCCAGCGTCCTGTTCCTGCTAAATTCCAACAGACATTTCCGCCTTTCGGAAAAAGATAAAGGCAAAAAAAGGAAAAAAAGAAAAAAAAAAAAGGACGGGTGGGTCCCACGGCTACCGCCAACTCCCGCACATGGTTACACGGGCGCTCAGGCGCACCCACGTGGAGAGAACCCGACCCGGGAACCCGCAAGGTCGAACACGACCCGGAACCCCTGCTGCTGGATGTTCCCGACGATGGAGAGCCCGCTCATGGTGCCCGCGAACGCGAAGCAGAAGGTCCCCTTGCTGTCCACCGGGATCAGGTAGTTCGACGCCGGGAGGGACACGTCGGCGCCCCGGAAGTGCAGCACCACCGTCGGCACCTTCACCTCCGTCCTCCCCGACAGGTCGTAGCACGTGTCGAAGAGGGAGAAGTCCGGGCCCCGCTTCAGGGTCGACGCCCCGGCCCGGAACGCGTCCCGGAGGGCGACGTACGCCGGCCGGGTCAGGCGGGTCACGGACGTGCCCGAGTCGACGATGACCCCGCCGTTGCCCGCGGGGTCCAGCTTGAAGAGGGAGGCCGTGATGCCGGGGACGCGCGTGCCGCCGACGCTGATCCCCAGGAGCTCCACGTAGTAGAACGTGTCGAGCTTAGGGTTTTTCAGCAGCGGGGTGAACCGGGCGGGTCGGGACAGGGCGGCGTCGCCGAAGATGACCGAGGACGGCCTGGTGGAGGCGGACCGGTCCACCAGGCAGTATGAGAACTTGTTGTTGAACCGGCGGCCGGCCTGCGACGGGAAGGAGAGCGTCCCGCGGCCGAGGCCCAGGAGCCCGGCGGCGCCGATGAAGAGGCCCTCGTTGTCGTGGCCGCAGCCGATGGCGACGCGGCCGACCCGGGTGCGGCGGAAGGTGAGGGTCTCGGTGGAGAACTCGCCGAGGGTGAAGGAGCCGTCGCCGTAGGAGACCTGGTACTGGCACCTGCGGCGCTGGTTGCAGCCGGGGGAGTCGAGGCGGCGGCAGAGCGGGGAGGAGCAGGAGATGGCGGCGAAGGAGGTGGACTTGGAGGGGTCGAAGACCGGGTCGGTCTGGGAGTAGCATCTCCGGCAGGGGGCGCACTGGACCCAGACGACGTCGCTGCCGGTGTCCAGGACCATGTAGACGTACCGGGGAGGGGTGCCGACGCCGAGCCGGGTGAAGTACTCGCCGCTCCCCTGCGCGAGCCCGGACACGACGGAGCTGCTGAACCCCATGCGAGGTCTGCTGACGTTGCCGCCGGGGGCGGCGGCGGCGGCGGCGGCGGCGAACTCGGAGATGGACTGGACGCGAGAGGCGTCCCTCTGGAGGCGGAGGTGGAAGAGGGCTTGCGGGGTGAGGTTGAAGGACAGGGCGTCGATGTGCTGCAGCTCCATGGAGAGAGTGGTGGCGGCGGAGGAGGAAGTTTCGGACTCGGACTCGAGGACGGCGGCGGCGGCGGCGGCTTCGGACTCGGGCCACGAGGCGACGGCGGGCGGCGACGGGAGAGGGCGGAGCGCGAGGGACTGGGTCTGGAGCTGCAGGGCGGCGGGAGCGGAGAGAGCAGCAGGAAGCTGGAAGTTGAAGAAGGAGACGAGGAAGAGAAGGAGGAGGAGATGGAGGGTCTTCTTCCCTCCTTCCATTGCTGTCATCTTCGCTTTCGCGGAGGATCGGCGAGGAAGGGAGGAGGAGCTGTGCTGCTGAAGAAAGAGCGGAGGGGAGAGTAATAAATAATGGAGGATGGCAGAAGGATCGAAAAGCGGGCTCTCTTCAGTCCTGGACCGACGCGCGGATTGATGGCAGCATTTCCTCTAAAAGATCCACTTTATTCTTATCATTATTGCGATAATTGAGCAAAATTTTACCTGACATCAAACGGAAATTTACCGAGACACCTTCTTTTGTCTTCTCTTTACAAGGTACCGTACGAGATGTAAGGAGACGGTAACAGTACACGGCGTTTGTCCGAGGCGGGAGGGGCAATGCAGTCATTTGCTCTATGAATTCATAATTCATCGCGTCACTATTAGATCCAGGTCGGGTCGGGTCGGGGTCGGTATCGGGTCGAAAATGATTCAACCTAAATTGACTCATTTATATCAAATGCAAATTTAGTAACGTGTCTTACCCGACCCAAAATTCATTTTTATCAACTTTCCTACTTAAATTGTTTCCTTTGAAAAATGGGCCACCATAGCAATCATCCTTCGGCACCTAACTTTCTCGGCTCCGCCATTACTCTCAAGAAGAGACTTTAAAACCCATATGACTAGGGGTGTGCAAAACGGCACTGGGAGCCCGCTCAGACCGGACCGGTCAATTTGGTTCGATTTCCAGGAGTATCGGTCCGGTTCCCAATTCCTAAAAGTGGAATCGGTGTCTGAGCAGTCCGATTCCCGATTCCTAGTTCCTAATTCCAAGGGAGAACCGGACTAGACCAACTACATATACTTATTTTTTATTTCCTCAAAAAAAATTAATAAAACGTGAACTAAACCCATGTATAACGCTTTTCCTTTATCGTCGCATCACAATAACTCTTCACTCATCGTCACTTCTGTCAATATATAGAGATATATCACTTTCTCTCGTTATGGTAAGAAAAATAAAAAAAAAAGTGACCGGTTTTATTTGACCGAACTAGATTGAGAACCGATCACCCCGTACATACGACACATACTTAAATATGAGATGACCCCATTTAAGTAAATATGAGTTAGAATATGAATTTGTCACTAGTTTTGGATTAGCACCAACTACTACGGTCCTCAAATAGCAAATCAGGTCAGAGAGAGTCAACAGTAAACCTGGAGGACGTAACAGTAACAAACATCTAATCTTGGGGACGCAATTATAATATCGGATTCTTTTAAAAACACCACTTGTTGGGGAGCGGGATGGTCGGATGACGTAAAAGCCCTCGGTCGGGAGGACAAATATCCGCGGCGGGGCTTCGGCCCCGGTTCGGAGTCGGGTCGGGTCGTTAAAACGAACCGGAAATTAATGCCGCAGCTGCGATTCCCCACCGGCGCGCCCTTTCGGCTTTTCCCTCGACAGAGAGGCGGAGGGGTGCGCCCCGGCTAGGCCACGACCAATATAGTCACGTGTCGTCATCGCATTCGGCTCGCGGGATTCGAACACCATGTCCCGCCCAATTCCGTGTCATTTTGAGGGTGTAGATGGCCAACTCAATTCATACACACTTTAGATTGATGTGCAAACGGGCTGTACTTTGCACTGGACCTGTTCAACGGGCGGATCGGGATCGAGAATGGCTCGATTCAAATTGACTCGTTTAATCCGTTTTGATCAGTTTTCATGCAATATAAATTTAATGATCCGTACTCGACCCGACGTATGCTATAGCACTTTCGTATTTAACTCGATTTAGGAAAATTCGTACCCAAACTGAGGTGAAAGCGCAAGATCAAGTGATGGCGAAATAGATTAATAATAAAGGTAGGTTGGGTTGGGTGTTAGTAAGTTATGAACCCATTTACTATATAACCCATATTAGAAATTGGTCGGCCGTATTGATCTATGACTCAGCCATCAAATATGGGTTAAAAAATTAGTCTATGACCCATTTTGACGAGTCTACTTTGCATCGATTGAGTAAACCATATTAGAAAGCTAAATATTCCGTACATGTCATCTTCTTTTAGCATGCCGTGAAACCCGATCGTCTGATCACGAGCGCACGGCTTTCCTCCCCTCGGATCGAAACGGTGTCACCGTACGTTGCTATTCTGAAGAGTCGTTTATGTTCGACGAGTTCATCAAAAAAACATGCTCCGGCCATTTCGAACGCGCGTGACAAGACTCGGGCATGCGCTGGAATCTCGAAAGACTAGCAGTTAAATTCGATTAGCTTATGTTTTGCAACGGGGGAATGCGGTCAAGATCGTGGAAACGAGCCGCTACAAGTAAAATGACGGGAGGCACGTGGTGCTCGCGTGATGGTCGAAATGAGGGGACGCCGCGAGCCGCCGCCGCGCCACGGTCCAGGCATGCACCGACGGACCTGGTTGCCTTTGATGGGCACGAGACGGGAGACTCTTGGCTGTAGTGGGCAGAGGTCTCCCCACCTAATTCCCATGTTCTCATTGATTGCGACCGACGAGAGCGGTGCGTGCCAACAGTAAAGACGAGATCGAATAAAGGAGGACGAGAGGAGGAGCTGCGAAAATTAGGAAGGTAGTAGGAGATGAGTAATTGCAAATTCATGCGCCTCCCGCATGCCTTCTCTGTTTTCTATGCCGTCTTTGTTTGTCCCTCTCAAAACGTACGGTCTGAGGAGAAATCATTAGCCGGTCCCGGTGCGCGCGCGGGGGCCTAACCGATCCGACTCCGATCGATCGTATGGGACCCACGTAGGCCCCGCACGATCCGTCGGCTTGAAATGAATTGGGCTCATATGTTCCGGGATCGCGCGCGGGAATTGCTCGTATGGTGGGAGGTCCGCGGGGGGGACATCCTTTGTGACTCTGTTGTGTGCCTTCTTTCTTTCAATTTTTAATCTTATCTTGGGAAGCGCCTTCATCTCTTCCCCTCTTTTCCACCTCCCCTTTCCTTTCTCCTCTTTTGCGCCTCCTCTCCTTTCATTGATCACCCTTTTTGTGTGTACCATCTCGTGATCACTCAATGTTTATGGCATTGAAAATTCGTCGCGCACAATGGAAATTAATCACACCCGAAAAGAAAAGCCACTTGCGCTCTCGGCGTCAGCTTACTTGCACCCGGAAAGAAAAGCATTGATATGCCTAGCAAAGATCTGGTCACGCATCTCCTAACAACAAACTATATCGAAGCACGATTCATCCATGCGATGCCCACGTGAAGATTTTCTTTTAGGTTGGTTTATCGAACGGCTGGTTTTTATCTAACCACTTGATGTGATTAGGTCAAGTTTAGTGAAAACTTTAGTACCCCATTACTCTAAAGTCGCAAAAGCGAGAACTTGCCTGGCAAGTTCCCCTCAGGCAAGAAAGACGAGCACGACCTCCGCTGCAAAGGTGAAAGACGTCCTCGAAAAGCGGTAATGGCGGTATCATCTTTTCACACTAAAGGCGATAGACGTCTTTTACAGCTCGAAGTTGGGGCCAATCACTTTGTTGTTCGTCACAAAAAAAAGTCAAGATGTTCAACCGTAACTTTAGTAGAGCAGGTGGGCATGGCCCATGTTCGCTTTGCTTTAATTGCAATTTAGAGGTACAGATGTTCGCGCAGGCGCGGCCGGGCAACGGCGAACAAGGGCTGGGCCTTGGGCATGGTCATCCCGTAGACCTCGGCCGTGCCGATGTCCTCGGGCCTCAGCCCGTGGGGCGGGCTCCAGTCGAAGCAATGGAAGAGCCGGGCCAGGGCCGTCAGGACCAGGGTCACCCCGAGCGGCGCCCCGGGGCACTTCCGCTTGCCCGCGCTGAAGGGCAGGATCTTGAAGTCGGGCCCGTGGCTTATCTCGACCCGGCCCCCGTCCTCCGGCCAGTGCCGCTCGGGCCTGAACTCGTCGACGTCGCCCCAGACGTCGGCGTTCCTGCCCAGCCCGTGGGTGTTGACGAAGACCCGCGTCTTGGCGGGGATGTGGTAGCCGTTGACGGTGGTGTCCCTGATGGACTCGTGCGGGATGAGGAACGGGCCTGCCGGGTGCATCCGAAAGGTCTCCCGCACCACGCAGCGCAGGTAATTAAGGTGCGCCAGGTCCGGTTCCGACACCATCCGGTCAGGCCCGACGACGGAATCGAGCTCTTCTTGGATCTTGCGCTGGACTTGCGGATGTCTGATCACCTCCGCCATGGCCCATTCGTTGGTCACGGCCGATGTATCGGTGGCAGCCGCTATCATGTCCTGTGATTCTATCAAACATCAAGTTACGTAACATTGGACACTAACACGTAAGAGAAAGAAGAAGAAGATGGAGACCTGAATGAGAGCTTTGATCTCCACATCGTCCATGTGGTCTCTTCCATCTTCGCCGGGCAAAGACAGAAGAACGTCCACGAAGTCCATGTCGGAATCTCCGGCGAGTCCCTCTGTTTTCGCCTCTCGGGCTCTCCTGTGTTCTTCAATGATCTTGGTGTGGAAATCGTCCACCCTCTTCTCCACCTCCCGCATCTTCTTCTCGCACCCATAGGGGTCGATCCACCTCCAGAACGGCAAGTAGTCCCCCAGATAGATCACCCCCAGGAGCCGAAATAGCTGGTGGGTTACGTGCATGAACTCCACGGCTTCTTGGGGGCCGGCCGATCCGGCCCCGAAGTACTGCTTCCCCAGCAGCATCCTCGTCACGTTGTTCATGGAGAATCCGCCCAGCACCTCCCTCATGTCGATCCCGGCCCGACCCCCGTCCCGGCAGAGCCCGTAGACATGCCGGACCAGGTGCTGGGCCTCGCAGGCCCGGTGCTTTGCGAACGCCTCCAGGCGCTTTGTGGTCAGTAGGTGCTCCATGCAAATCCTCCTCATCCGCTTCCATCGCGGGCCCAGCGGGGCCAAGGCCACGTCGCCGCAGTTGTAGGCCAGGTGGACCGCAGCGAGGGTCCGGGGCCGGGAGGCGAACACTTCGTCCTGCTGGAGGAGGATCTGGCGAATGATGGAGGGGTCGGAAGTGGTGATGGCGTCGACATTGCCGAGGCGGAGGTAGACGAGCGGGCCGTACTTCCGGCACAGAGAGGCCAGGTCCCTGTGAGGGAGGCGGCCCAATTGGAGGAGGTTGCCGACGATGGGCCGTCTCGGCGGGCCCGGCGGCAAATTCTTGGGTTTCGAGACGGAGCGGCGGTGGAATACGATGCATGCAAATAGG